GCTGGCGGACGGCATGCTGATCTAGTGAATCTTTAACAACGGAACTGACTTAGCAAGGTGTCTATGAGAATGGCTCCTGTAAGATGGGGATTTTACTTATTCAGAATCTCGTCCTGTCCAACAGACTGCCAGATATCTAGCTGACGTAGATGAAACGCAAAAGTGATGATAGGTAATGCGCAGAGTAATTATTGTAATCTGTGGCATCGCCGGTTGCTGCAAGGGCTCTTCGATTTTGAAGATTCCTAGTGCTTCTTGATGACGAAAAAATCTCGGGAAGATATTGCGACATGTTAGATATTGTCGCCTTTTTGTATCGGCGAGTGCCAAAACATAGTCCATTCTGCTTGCTCTGCGGAATCTGCCATTGGATTTTATAACCAAGGCCATAGGCAGTTAAGTCACTACTGAACATCTAATGGGTAGCCAAATAGCTTTTTACTGAGAACGTCATTTCTATTGAGTAGCTAAACTTTAATAACAGTTCAAACTTTTTCGCATCCAAACCAAAGCAAGGTCGAGTCCATCCGGCTACAAAACGGGTACTTGGGATATTATGCCACTCGGTCCGATATTGCTGGAAGTTTGGGTTCGCAAGTTGTATTGGGCGTAGTATTTTGTACCACGCGTCTACAGTTCTTCGAATGAGCTGGATTGCATCACCTATTATGGGTACAAGATCAAGACGTACTCGTGCTTGATACTGTACTCCAGGTAGGTTGACATTTCCTATCTAAGACCTAAGCTGTGATGTCTGAGATATCTAGCTTTTTATTTAGATCAGCTAAAACAGTTATTTCTGATATTTAAATAGTAGGTAGGCAGGATAGCAGGTGTGCACTATATTGATTTCTCATCCAACCTGTTCCAGCAGCAAAGGATACTTTCCAAAACCCACTACAGCTACCGTTCCGTACGTTGTAGTAGACGTGAAGGGAAAATAGTGGTCCATCTGCAAAGAACATACATCATAGTACTTGTAAATGACAGACCTCAAGTTCAGATGCATAAACGGCCCCCAATCCCCTTGCTCCAACGCAGCCCGGCGCGTAGGAACTGCAGCTAAGCGCACGGGCAATGCTCCTGAGAAACGTATTGCCCGGCTGACTATATCAAATGCCAATCAATTCTCATGTACCTGTGGTGTCTCTCTGCTCCCTGCAGCTGCAAAAGCCCGTCTGACCTGGCCGGAATAAGCAAGGGGATACCAGAAGGTGGTCTTGTGAGTGCGAGTACACAGTCTCCATCCAATAGGGACTGCAGCTTTGCCTGTTTTGTTCACCCAATATTTGTTTCTTTTGGGCTCTGTTATGGGGAACTGGCTGTTTCTCAGATGTGGCCGGACAAGCGAGGCGACCATTCGGATTCGAGCGCTGTACGTCTTTAGTCTATCTGTGAGTAGAAGCGTTTGGTCATACTTGGATGCTTAACTTTTTCCTCTTGCAGCTTATCTACGTGTTACCCACGGCATGTAATACAAATGGGTATGAGCACATGTACATGCAGGGAGCCATATAGGTTATGCAGTTGTTGAGCTGGAAAGCATCAGGTCGAGAGAGTGATACTACCAGACAGTTCAGCTCCGTCTCGAAGAGATGGTGACGACGGCCCAATTCGCAGAAAGAAAGAAAAAACAACACGTCACTTGACTGTCAACGACCAGGGAATAAAAACAGCCCTTTGTTGCACCACATTAGGATGCTGTCCCGGACGTGCATCTCCTAGAGAGCATTCGTCGACAGGGGCCTGTTCGTGGTCTCGTGGCCTCTGTGTGGGGCCCTGGAAAGACATCAAATTATGAAGACAAAGTCCATCGTGTTCTGGAATCGAGCAGTGAAACGAGGCCCATGAAGGCGTCGCCGAGATCGATTACATGTATTTACATCGAGGGTTCAAGGGTTCAATGGTGACGGCTACATATGCCTGTAGTACTGCCAAGTACGGCTAGATACCGCGATGGTGTAATAAAGTTCCATCAGATCCAGCGTCCTCAGTTTGGTTTACAGATATTGATATAAGTCAAAGTATCTCTGTATCGGGGCATGATGGGGCTTTGGACAGTGTGTGGCTTTTGTCATCGTCACTTGTGGCCTCTCTAATATAGACTGCATTAGTATACAAACTATTGTGTGTTATCCTCACCAGCACCACATCATGTGCTTTCAGCAAAAAAGGTTGAAGAAGCTTCAATATTGCGATGATGAAGTGTTTGAAATGCTTATAATGACGTGAGGCAGGGGAGATGGCTCAATAATGGGCTATCCTCTAATATAATGCTCTAGGTTAGGTACAGATACGAGGTAATGTACCTAGCTATAGACGAGATTCCCAAAAGGACACGAAGCAAGACCAAAGAGCAATCGCAATATGGAAAGTTTAGTTATGACTTAAAGAGCTATAGATTTGAGCAACAAGGTTCAATGGCGACTTAATGGCTGATGCCATTGGGTACAATGCATCAAGATACTAACGGCCCTCGTAGTAAACATCCCTAAACGCCTCTATGCACCCAACTGTCACGCATCAATCGCAAAAAAAACCTCGAAATCTTCAATAGTGAGGAATCCTTTAATACCAGATAAGTCGGCTGCTAACGATGATATAGAGGTAGCAAAAGCTTATCATAATCTTGAGGCATCTCGACTTCATACGCCTTACATAAATAACAGTAAGATATCCTGTGAATATATCGATAGGCTTCCAATACAAATTACTCTTTCTAGGTATATGTCAATCATCTGAAACCAGAGTAAAGCAATATCGCCTTTTATACACTTGCCAACAAGTAAACATCATGGCGAACTACAGCAAAGTAGCTAACAGTCATTTTATATAAAAGAGAGCGGCTAGGTAGTCGGAATCACGGGTTTATAGACGATAATATATGCTCTTTGGATATTGATAGACACTAAAAGATGAATGCTCCTCAGATTACAAGACATATTTGTAGCTTCCTTGCAACTGCACCAAGGGTTCTGTCAAGACACGGGTACCTAGATGCGCACAGTGTTAAAAACGACTGCACTTGTTGGCCCCACCATGTCCCATTCTGGTAATACCTCTAAATTAGTACCAGTGGGCAGACGCTGAATCTGAACTCCATAGCAAGAAATCCTCCTTCCTGCTGCAGAGCGAAGCACAAAGGGCTTGACGCCCTGAGTTCAGAATCTGGATGCCAGTAGAAGCGTTTCTTGCAAGACAAGTGAATGCAGAGATCGTCGTATTTGGTCAAGGGTTGTGTGTGTGTGAGAGAGAGGGAGAGAGAGCGGCAGCAGCATCAACAGCAATAAGCACCAGCAACAATGCGAGAAGCTTTGGTAGACACATGCACATGCGGACATGGCCCAGCCGGTGCTACATCCGTCGAGCCCAGTTTACAAACTTGGGGCGAACAGGACAGGGCGCCACGTTGCAGCTCAGCCAATTGACGGCGGCCATTGGCTGAATCTGTAGGGAGGCATTGGGTAGCCTGATTGAGACAGGCAAATGGCCGGGTCATGCTCTCATGCTCATGACAAAGCTCACTACAGAGAGGCCGACGACTCCACAGACATACATTCGTACTCCTGTCTCGTCATGCGCGGCGATGGATATCATCGCCATGGGAGAGGCAAACGTCAGGGTCTCTAGCGTTGCATGATTTCGGTCATGAGACCTTTGACGAAAAAAGACGAAGGGGGAAGAGAGGTCAGTCAATAGGGTCACCCTTGGCTCAGACAATTTCATTTGCTTTTGACGCAGAAAAACCCTGAGATCACAGCTGCTGAGGGCTGGGTCGGGCTGACAAAAGATGCTGTCGTCGCTGTCTCAGAGATAAACCAATACTATGCACAGTAATTCCATGGCCCTCAGTGTTGGACGGGTTTAACTCGTCCACTTGGACGCACCAGATGGCGGACTAGCGCTGCTAGTTTTCGCCGGCCGTGTGTCTCGCCCAGATGACTTCCAGCATGACGTTGAGCCCCAATGTGACCAGGACGAAAAAGACCTAACACGGAACAGGGGGGGCTTCAAGTTGGCGTTCGCGCTATGCTACGTGGGCCTTTTTCGCCGCATCAGCATATGCAGAGACGACACCGACCTGTGCACTTTTCCGCAGGCCGTCATGGCAATTGGTTGTCGACATACGCAAGGGGGGATCTCGGGAGGCGCCATTTAATCTCTCAGGGCTCACATCTCCGACCGCACACTGCGAGACCCTGCGCTTTCGAGAAACGGAGGCAAGGAGGATATGAGCATGAAAATGGTCGAGTCCACAGAAACCCCGTAGAGGCTGGAGCTAACGAGAGCCCCGTCGCCAAAACAGACGAAAAAAAAGATGGAGAAGAGCTTCCGGATAGCGAATCCCAAGCCTCTCCATAGTTGGATCTGGTTATTGTCCTCTAGTGGTACCGGCAGCAAGCCGTTGGAGACAAAATCACTGATCGACCTCCCAAATGGCAGGACTTGGGAAGGGGGAGGGGCGAGGAGGGGCCGGATGCTGCAACTGGTGAGGGGAATGGAATGCTAGCAGGCTAGCAAAGCACTCAAAACCTTGCGTCTCATCCACAGTGGCCAGAGACCAGAAGACCGGAGACCCGAAAAGATGCTTTTCTCTCATGGTAATTCGGACGAGCTTGTCGCCGCTCCACCGTGGCCGAGGCCTGGCGAATGGGTGGCGACCGGTTTCCAAGAAAGCAGAAAGGCTGCTTTGTGCTTTCGGACTTAGAGCAGAGGCACGGGAGCCTTGTCTCGCTTTTGAAGCTGAATGCCGGGATGCTCGCTGCCGGGATAATCCCAAGAATGACGACGCCCTGCTGCCGCTAAAAAAAGGCGCGAGAATCGTCCAACAAGGCTCTGGAAGTGGCAGAAGCTTGCATTGGATGTGGTGACAGACATATGACGGCGGGCATCTCGTCGTCTCTGCCACCACCGGAACACACGCGACAACAAGCCTGCGTTTGTCAACAGCCTTTGGTGTATATTTGCAGGTCGCAAAGCCGGCACTTTGTTCTTCTCGCAGCGAAATTCCCAGCTTCGCCCGTAGCCATTTATTGATGACGGCTACCGACCTTGCAAATAGCATCCAAACAGACTTCTCAGCATCCCGCCACGGCGCGTTCCTTTCGGCCCCTTGCTGATATTGGCGTGGTAAAAAAGCAAAGACGAGAGGGAAAAAAAGGACAAGTCACATCCTTGCTTGTGCAGGCACCTGCTGCCCGATGCTACATTTCTATATGTAGTAGCAGTAGCGCATGCACCTAGAATAGCGTGTAAGATGCTGGGTGTTGCCACAGCATATCTGCTTTACTACGCCGTACGAGAACGGCACACGCTTGCAAGCATCCGGATCTCTGCCTGCGAGAAGCCTGGCGACAAGGCTGCTCGTCTTGCACCCGGGCTGACTAACTGGCTAGTACTGTACGAGTACGAGCCTGTAGGATCCTGATTGAACAGCATGTCTTGTTTCAGGGACCTGGCCCAAGGGCGGCCTTGCTTGGCTGTGGCAAGCTCCATCACGAAGGAGGTGTGCCTGCAGCTTACTTTGTACCAGTCTGGATGTGCTTTCCGTGCCGTGTGAGGTCATCGTCCAAAGTTCCTATTTTGGGCAGACGATGCTAAATCGTCGATTCCCACAGGGGCACGCTCGAGAGATGGACCAGGACAAGGCGGTAAAGGGCCGGAGAAAAAGATAGGAAACGGCCATGGGCAATTGAGCCGTATGGGAACATATTAACCGGTAGATGAGGGATTCAGAGACACTGCCACATCTGGCGTGACCTGGATGATATCACGAGCAACATGATTGGAAGCATCATACACCCTGGAGCACCCTGGAGCATACAGGTATTGTGCAAAATCCTGACGCATGCACTATACATGCAAGCCGGATGCAGGTATGAGCGAAATATATATATCAAATTCGTGCCCGTGCATTTGGCCGCAGATCACAGAGAAATACAGTCGATGTTGGCCCATGGCTGCGTGAATCTCGCCGCTGGCCGGAGCTAGTCGGGAAGCAGGGTCTCAAGGTTTGGCTTGGACCACCTGCTTCGTGCCGTGTAGGTGTAATGCTGAGTCGAGTCAACGAAGCGCGTCTCAGGTCATCGTCAGCTGGAAAAACGAGGCAGACGTGGCGTTTGCTGCGCATTTTGTCCAGCACAAGTACGAGTATAGCAGCAACAAATCGAGGCGAGAAAAGGGGGGTGTGTGGTGGCGGCAACAGCAGGTCAAGTGGTGAGGGGTGCGTTCCGTCATTCACAGCAATTGACTCTGCAAGAATCCGCCAGCTGCTCGTCAGTGGTTTGGCCCGCAACGAAGAAGAATGGAGAGTGAGGTGATGGGATGCAGCAGAGATGAGATGGAAATTGGATGCAATTTCTGCCACCGTCAAGTGACCTCTCAAACCTCTGTTTGCTGGCAAAGAGGGCAAGCGATTTGTGGAAGCCTCCTGCAGCGCTCAAGCAAAAACTGCGGTAGCTCAGCAGCAAAGAGGACGGTGCTACCGGCACATCAGGCCACGGCTTGTTGCCACCTTATTAGAACGTGACGCCTGAGCCATATCCGCATTTGGCCACATAATACTCAGGTAGAGGTAACATGTACAAGTACCACCTGTGGCTAGCAGTATAGTGCAAAGCAGGGAGAGGAGAATTAGGTAGAAAGGAAAAAAAAAAGGGGGAATCGAGACCAAGCACACGGAGTATAGATTGATCTATTAATATGTCCCGTACATGGTGCCTGAGCATCGCCGCGTGAGTTGCTGTCAGTGCGGTTTGACGCTCAGATGGGCAGGGCGGCTTATGCTTAGCAGCTCGGCTCTCGTCGTCCAAATCTAGGTCCAGGGCGTCCAAATTGCTGTGGCTCTGATCTGGCCCAGGCGACTTACAAATGCCCTCTACAGGTACTAGTGGCCACTAGGAGCGCTCAGGCTTGCATGGTTCTCTGCACGGCCAGTCTTTGACTTCCGCTTGCCGAGTTTTAGCGCCAGGTGCCCGTCTCAAAAATGAGCACATGAGCACCTCGAGCCTAACACTGCGGGTCTGCTGGATCTCTAGCAGGTCCTGGAAGCCCATCATTGCGTAGCACTAGGTGGGAGGTACCTGTACTAACCAAGCAGCAGCGGTGTTTTTTTTCCCTGTTCCCCTGTTGTGATCGAATTGGGGCAAAGTAGGAAAAAGAAAGAAAGAAGGGTGCCTGAGAAGACAGGGATGGGGCGGAATAAAGAAAAGAAGAAGACGAAATGGGATAGAGAGACGGATTGCTGGCGTTGATTGATTGAGATTCACTGCACGATTGATTGAATCAAGCGAGCCCAACAGGTACGAGTACCGACTCAAGTAAGTACTGTACTGTACCTGGTCGCCGTTCCCACGATAAGCGCGTCCCTACCGCCCTGTATCCATCAAATTTCTCTGTATGGAGTGCAGTATCTCCGTACGAGGTCACCCGCCATCGCGCTGCTTTAGTGGGCTTAGGCTCCCCTCCCGCAGCAGCTATGAGGACATGCTCGCAGATTACCTCACCTGCTAATGCCATGCCATTCTCTGCCAGCTCGCACCATCTTTCCCTCGTCTCCCGGCTCATCGACCCATTGACCAAGACGAGGAAAAAACAAAAGTGTGAATGCCCTCTGCCTTGCGTGCATCCAGACACTGTAGAGTAGAGCATTAGCATTCCCACGGTAAAGGGCATTCGCCGTGTTGTTGGTCCTCCGTCTTGCATCGACTCGACTCTGTTTTGTGCGTGCTGCGTTGGTCAGGTGGTTACTCGACGTAGCCTCCCCAGTCCAGCCTGCACCCTCGCTGGAGACTTTTATTACCGCGCCTCGCCCTCCCCTCTTCACTTTTTCCACCTCACCTTGAACCCTTCTTTCACCGAGCAGCCCAGAGGCACAAAGTGTACGTTGACCACCGCTAGGCACACCATCTCCCCTCCTCCCTCCTCCATCGTGCAATCCGTGCAGCCTTTCTATTCTCGGGAATGCTTGGCTCTCCCTCTGCACATCTTGACCGGGCTGATGGCAGACTGAGCTTGAAGAGTGCCGCAACTGACCCTGAAAGCAGCCCGAAGCAGACGCAGACGCAGGGTGCCCCGCATCGCCTCAGAGTGTAATAGCCCGTGCAAAGCAAAATCGAGAGCGCAGCAGTGCAACGCGACAGACAGCCAGTAATCGTCAGAAGCATCTCCCCGGCGTCCATCCCGTAATCGACCGCCAGATCACGAGATTGAATTTGTCGGTTTACTCTGCACACCATTCTGCTCTTTTCCTTTGGAGCCGCTGCATAGCCTTTTTTCTCTCCCTTGTCGTGAGCCTGTGCAACAGCTCAGACTCGTGCCGTCAGCTTCGCGCCGTGCTCCACAGCCCTCCGTGCCGGTCCTGACGTACATCATCCACCAAAAAGCCTCCCGTTTTCTTTGTGCTTGCTCCTGAGCCACCTCCGACATCTTTCGCAAGCCGCCGACAGGAATCACAGTTGACATCTTGGCCTCTTGCGCCACGACAGCTCGCCCAATTCGCATCGTCCTGGCCGTGAGTTCGTATCGGTAGGTCCAACCTTCTCTTTGTTCGCTTCGTGCTGCTTCGCAAAGCTCGCCAAAGCCCTCGCCGGCTCTGCCTGCCTCGCAACCCGCAACCCGCTGCCCCTTCCTCTCCTCTGCTGGGCGACTCCTTGGCGACTCCTTGGCGTCACAAGGCTGCAATTCGGCTCTCGTCCTTCTCTCATCATCACCCTCGTCTCTGCCAGTGCTCTTTCCCCTGTTTTTGTCGTTTGTCGGCTCCTGCCGTGCTGCTCGTCGTCTGCTGTATGTCACGAGCCCACCACGTTAAGCACCCCGCCCTGCTCCCTCCAAAGACCCGCCTCTTCCTCTCTCTGCCCAGCTTTCTCGTGCCACTACACCAGCTAGCCATTTTGACCTATGGAATTTTCTCTACACCCGCTGCCGCCTGTCACCTCCTGATTGCATGTACCTACACCTCACAGCTGCTTTCTTTCCTGGAGGGGCGTCTTTTTTCCCTTTTCTTCCTCTTTTTTTTTTTCTTCCCTCCCACCCTTCACTCTCCTAACCATTTCCCCGACATACTGCCTGGCGCAGCTGAACAGTCCCCATCGCACCGAGTAGTCCCTGGACTTTCGTACCAGAGTTCCTTGGCCACTGCCGTCGCGCCAGTTGACCATTTCATCATTGGCAAAGCTACCATTTTTTTGCCCAGCGCGTCCGCCTTAGTTGGTGCCTTTCCCCCTCCTGCTTCTCAGCCCCAGTCTCTTTCCTCCCCGCACTTCCCATTTCGCCCTGGCAGCGAGCGTGTCACCACAATTCATTACCTACTTGCCTGCACTCGGTTTCAATTGCCGCTGCATTCTCCAATTCGTATCCCGTTGATATCCCTGATTCGCATCCCATTTGGTTCCAAGGCGAGAACTTTTTTCGCTAAATCTCGATGCGTGTTTAGCAGCTCCTCTGCAGATCCTTTTCAGCTTCAATTTGACGGAAAGCAACCAGCCGCGTGTCGTCGCCGCAACAGCAAAAAACCCTTGAAAAAACAAAAAAAGAGTGCCAAGTCGATCAAATATCGACCTCTCCATCGGCGACAGAAGCTCTTGCGACACGTCGCATTGCATCACCCTTTACCACTTCCTTCATTCTCGTTGCCCACCACGGCCCTCGCCAAGACTCGTTCTTTGTTGCCCCTCACCTGCCTGCCGCTTGGGTGTTTCAAACTCGATCTCCGATAGCATTGGCGCTCTAGCCTGAGTACACTTGGCCCAAAATGTCAGCTCATCGGCCGAATGCTTTTAACAGCTTGCGGATGGGAGGTGAGTTCACTGTGTAATGCCGTGTGCGTTGGTGCCTATGACTAATGAGCCGATGCTGCCTACAGAGGTGATCCGCGAGAAAGTTCAAGATGGTATCACGGGCGAGACCAGAGACTTGCAGTACACGCAATGCAAGATCGTCGGAAATGGTTCGTTCGGTGTCGTCTTTCAAACCAAGCTCTCACCATCTGGCGAAGATGCTGCCATTAAGCGGGTTCTCCAGGACAAGCGTTTCAAGGTACGAACGCCCCCATCCCATCTCCCAGAAATCACTGGCGACTAACTGGGCTGTCGTAGAATCGCGAGCTCCAAATCATGAGAATTGTCCGACATCCCAATATTGTTCAGCTCAAGGCCTTTTACTACTCGAACGGCGAACGTGTATGTATAATCCAACACCATTTTGGGTGTCTCTTGACTAACAATCCTTTCAGAAGGACGAAGTTTACCTTAATCTCGTTCAGGAGTTTGTTCCCGAGACCGTCTATCGGGCCTCTCGCTTCTTTAACAAAATGAAGACGACCATGCCCACCTTGGAAGTCAAGCTGTACATCTACCAACTCTTCCGAGCCCTGGCATACATCCACTCTCAAGGCATCTGCCACAGAGACATTAAGCCTCAAAACCTCTTGCTCGATCCAAACAGCGGCATTCTTAAGCTCTGCGATTTTGGCAGTGCCAAGATTCTGGTGGAGAATGAGCCCAATGTTTCGTACATCTGCTCCCGATACTATCGTGCCCCAGAGCTCATTTTTGGTGCTACCAACTACACCACCAAAATTGGTACGACGCCATCACCCCATGGAAGCTTATCCATTTGCTAACCTTGACTGTAGACGTGTGGTCCACGGGATGCGTCATGGCTGAGCTGATGCTTGGCCAGCCTCTGTTCCCCGGTGAATCCGGTATTGACCAGCTGGTCGAGATTATTAAGGTTCTCGGCACGCCAACCAGAGAGCAGATTCGCACCATGAATCCCAACTACATGGAGCACAAGTTCCCACAGATCAAACCTCACCCCTTCAACAAGGTCTTCCGGAAGGCTGACGCCAATGCGATCGATCTCATCTCCCGATTACTCGAGTATACGCCGACCGAGCGTCAGGCTGCTGTCGATGCCATGGTGCATCCTTTCTTCGACGAGCTTCGGGACCCGGCCACCAAGCTGCCTGATTCGCGACATGGCACTGGCCAGCTGCGAGACCTGCCCGATCTCTTTGACTTTACCCACCATGGTAAGCTTAATGTGTCAAACATGTAGCTACGCTGATTCGTTTGGCTAACTTGATCTCAGAACTCTCCATCGCTCCGCACCTCAACCAACAGCTCGTACCACCGCACATGAAGCCCATCCTGGCGGCCCGAGGCCTTGACATTGACAACTTCACGCCAATGGCGAAGGCAGACATGCTGGCAAAATTGGACTGAGCCACACGGTGACCGAATAGAGTTGGCAGATTTCTGCTGCACTCTTGGAAGCACTTGGTGTCTCTGGGGAAACAACCCTGATCTCTCCCCGTGTAGAGCTTGGGTTGGCGCCGAGGGTAATGGCTCGCTACTGAACTTGGGCCGTGATTGGGGAGAGGCGATTGAGATATAGTCTCGAAAGCTTGCCGTGTGGAGCCCGCAATGCTCAATACTAGGGGACGGGGTGAGATAGGTTTGTGCGGTGCGTTGTGGAGAGGAGAGCTTCGGACATTGTCTCAAAATTGGCAAAGGAAAGGAGGCGTTTTTTTGATCCCCTAAAAAACTTGGTTTTCCGGGCGGGAACCTGGGCCACCCGCCAACACAAGGGAGGCTGCATTGATGCGTATCACAGGAGATCGCTTTTTTTAGACCACGTTTCGATGCATGACGGAGCTGGCTGTTGCTTCTTTTTGTTTTTCTTTTTCCTGTTGTCGTGTCATGAAGCTCCGTGCTTATGGAAATGGAGGGGATTATCAAGTCGATGGTATCGGATGTCGACCTCGTGCCTTAACATGAGTGTCTCCTTTGTCGCCTTCTATGCATCGGCGTACAGTGGGAGAAGGAAATCTGGGAGTGGGTGGAAATGTTGAAATTGCTGGACCAGATTTGATAATTTGGATCGTGGGATATAGAACCCCTGCAGCAAAGCCCGGATGTCGCAGACAATGGATGGGGAAAATGAGCTTTAGCGGGACATTAGGACAGGCATCGTTTAAACAGATGAAAAAAAAGGAATGGGAAGATGGACTTTTACTACTACCATGAGAGCGCTCAAGGAAACCCTCATTGGTCCTAATTTTTTTGGTGTGGTTAAAATTAAGGGAACGAAAATGAGCAAAGATGTATCACGAAAGTCAGGCAAACTGGTAGAGGAATCAGAAAGAGGCTCAATAAGAGCTATACACACCCTGATGAAGCACCTTATTCCAAGAAGCAAGATTTGTGCAAGATGCTGCATTGATTTCACGAGTGCTTAGCCGTTGGCTGGTGGAGAGCATGGAGATGGTATCCGCAGCACAAACTCCTGCAGCCAGCCTAACAGAGAGTGCTGCATTGCACGAGATACTGTCCATATGATTCTCTGACATGGAGTGCTACCTTGAAGCTCCTGGCCCCACATTTGTAGAACTCTACCTAAGGAACCCAAGATGATGAGAGTCAATGTATATACATATTTTCGGCTACTCGTATATCTCTAGTAGAAGATGACTCGCAGAGGGTAGCGAAAGAGGTAGAAATAAGTACATTGCTTTACCTGCCACAGGTAGCAGTAGATTAGTAGGAGGAGAAATAGCACAATATTACCTCATATTATCAGAGTTCCAAGTATTATATGTACCATTCGACCTTTTTCCATTTCTTTCACCCACCTACCTACTATATTAACGCCAAGAGGAGGCTCAATCAATGCTTTGGTTCAAGCACATTGGTTCTCGCAACCAAAAGCTGCGGCCTGAGGCACCAACCGAGACTGGGTAGCCTGCACGTCGCGGGCCCACTCTATTAGCACAGAGAATCACCACTAACCTTCTGTTAGTTCAGCGTTTGAAGCCGTCGCGCGCGTTGCAGGCCTGCAGCAGCTTTTCCCGAGCTTTAAGCACTTCAGCAGCTCACCAGCCAAGGGCTCCAACTGTTCAATTGCAATCATCAATTGCCCCCTTACAATCCATTTTCGCCGCAGCGGAGAGTTGAATCATGGCCGACTACGATCGAAGGCAGCAGGGCCACCATAACCGCAAGAGGAGATACAGAGGTACGTCAGGAATTCCCCCATGTTTCGCTACACGCTCTGCAGAAGCTCATGCGGCCGTCTCTACCTACAGATGACGACGATCACTACGACCGCCGCCAGCAACGACGGCGAATAGACTCAGTGCCCGTGCCCGTGCGTCTTCGAAGACAGCTGCTCAGCATTGCCGACTCCCCCTTGCGCCGATGGTCCGAGGAAGTGCAGTCCATTGCTCGCATGGTGGCCGACAACTATGACGACGAGAACCTACGTAGTACGTTTGTCAGTCTGGCCATGCAGCTGGTGATTGAGCAGCCCTTGAAGACGCCGTTTGTGGCGGCTGTTGTGCTGGTCGCAAACACTCTCAAGCCCGAGATCGTGGACGCCGTCCTCACCCCCGTTGCCCAAGACACCGAGACCAAGATCGCCAAGGGGGAGTGGAGAGATGTGAAGCTGTACCTGAAGTTTCTGGCGTGCCTGCAAGCGTGTTTGGAAGGCGATGGGATTTTCCCTCTGCTTGAAGAGCTCTTCAGTCGTGCTGCCGACTTGCAGACAGCAAGCTCCGAGGATGTAGGTTTCCTTCCTTTCCTGATCAAAGCACCTCAGCTTGTTGCTTCATACTAATGTTACCATGTAGACCATTGGCACGGAGATTGTCAAGATCATCCTTCTTACGATCCCCTACATCATGGCCGCGGCGCCCGGCCAGTTCCAGCAGAAGGCTGCGGATCTCATGGATAAGACCGATATCATCGCTTCCGAACCGCATGCACTCCAGGCTTTGGTCGACCCCTATCACCCCGACCCCACGAGCGAGAGCGCATCTGTGTCCCTAAGCCTCTGCATGCTTTTGCAAAAGCAATTGCAGGCCGAGGCATCCAAGAATTGGGAGTTGACCTGCATCCCAAGGCCCTGGAACATGCCTCTGGAGGAGATTGAGGCTCAAGACAAGCTTGCCAATGCGCCAAAGCATGCTTTACCTACAATTTCTATACCATCGACAGTGATCGCCGGTCCTCGACCGCTGTTTCCTGAGGTCTATTTTTCCGTCTATGCTGACCAGGAAGTTGAATCTGTCCCCTCAACAGATAGCGTGGCCTCTTCTCTAATCAGGGATGGCCTTACCGACACCATCAACGGTCTTCATTTCAATAGAAATGCCACGGCGAGATATCTAATTGATCTGGACTGCTATTTTGCAGACGATACCTTTGTTAAGCGGGCTACTCCGTTTGATGAGCTTCGCAACGCAGCTCCGGGCAAGTCTACGTGGAAGCCCGAAGATGTCGCTGTCGACATTGTGTTTGCACAGCTCTTCCAGTTGCCCTCACCTGAGCACAAGCTGGTGTACTACCACTCTGTCTTGACGGAAGCCTGCAAGCTCGCCCCTGCTGCCATTGCGCCTAGTCTAGGAAGAGCAATCCGCTACCTTTACAATAACTCTCCTCGAATGGACCTTCAGCTGAGCTTCAGATTCCTCGACTGGTTCTCCCACCATCTGAGCAACTTTGGCTTCACGTGGAAGTGGGCGGAGTGGAGCGATGACTGCAGTCTTTCTGACCTCCACCCTGCAAAGTGGTTCCTGAGAGGCGCGCTGGATAAAGAAGTGCGGCTCAGTTTCGCTCAGCGAATTCAGAAGACTCTTCCTGAACCATACCAGCCATTGATTGGGCCTGAGAAGGAAAAGGATGTTCCCGATTTCAAGTTCAGCAACCCTGGTAAGTGTGGCTATTATTTATATAGCATAGACGTTAATCAAGTTGCTGACTGTGTTGCCGTATCTAGACACACCATTCTCCAGTGAAGGTCAGGAGATTGGCGCTTTGCTTAAACGCAAGGCGCCTGATGAAGAATTCCAGCCTATCATCGATAAGATTCAGGCTGAAGCCGGCGAAAGAGCACTTGACCCGGTCGTTGCTAGCACTGACGTCTTCATGACGGCCATTTGCTGGGTTGGGTCCAAGTCTCTGAGCCACGTCTTGGCTTGCATTGACCGAAGCAAGGAACGCCTTCTCAAGGCCGCCAACTCATCTCCGGCGGCGCAAACCCAGGTTCTGGCAGCTGTTATGGCCTACTGGCACGCACACCCCGGTATTGCCCTGTCGATCGTTGAGAAGCTGCTCAACTACTCCATCCTTACGCCTTCGTCAGTCGTTCGCTGGGCTTTGACGGATGTCTCTCTTGTCGATGGTGCTAGTGCGGGCGAAGCTCTTGCGCAGCCTCACATCTTCGAGCTCGTCTTGAATACTGTGACCAAGGTTAGCTTCAGAGTTCGCCAGCTTCTCACCTCCCCGGACGCGGATGAGGAAACGCGTAATGGTGAGACCAAAGCCATGCAGGACCTCTTCGGTCTTCTCAACGACCTGCTGGTCAGCTGGGCTGGTGGCAACAAGGATGAATTGATGGAGATGGGCGACGGCTCCAGCGAGCCTGAGGCCTTGATCCGCAGATGGGGCCAGCGTTGGCTGAGGGTGTTTAAGCGGTTGGGAGCTATTGAGGAAGCCTTTGTGGTTGAGACCGCTAAAGAAAAGGCCGGTTCGTCGAATGGAGTCGATGCTGTTTAGAAGGCTTGGGTCGAAGACTATGACGATATACTGTAAAGATGAGGCGACGACAAGAAAAAAAAGGACCGCAGACTTCCAGACATGGTCCTAGTGGAAACTCCGGTGGCTACCTATTGTAGCCAGGGCGTGTGAATCCAGCTTCTCTGATTTCATCGAAGGGTTGAAGAGATTTTAGGACTCTTCTTTTTCTCTTCTTCTTTCTGGCCAACTTTTTTATTTACTCTTTTTTTTTCTATCTCTCAATTGTTAGGTTTATAAGGGCGCGGAAACATCCGCAAGGTTTAGAAAAATGAGAATACAAAACTTTGAGCAAAATAATGGAGAGATGACCCGCAGTAAAAGATGTTTCTGCTTCGTACTTGACAGAATGTTTCTTCTCTTAAATGCTGTTATATGAATTTTCATTCCCAATCAGTCTACCTCATGGTTTATCCTGTCCCCAAACCTATCTACTAGAGAAATAACAACAGGCGTGCAACTCATCATGGTATACATGCACGCGCCAAAGCGCAAATAGCAAAAGTCGTCTCATTTCTCAGCCGTAAACGCCGTCTTGTTACCTCATATCCGAGTTTCCCTGTATCTCCCAAATGGCCATCCCGAAGGCATGCTAGTAAACCTAAAATGAACACGAAAACGAAGAAAAGAGCGAGAGCAAAAAGAAATGAAAGGCCCAGTCACATCATGCGAGGATTTATCACCAAGAGCGGAACCAGGAAATTAGTCGTCGTCGTCCTCGAGCTGCAGCGTCACACTATCAGTTTCCTCTTGATCGGCTGCGGGAGTGTTCCACCAGGCTGCTGGCTCTGCGGGGCTTTTTCGCCCATTCGCTTTAGTTTCTCGAGTAGATGACTGTAACAGTGTCAGAGACGGTATTCTATCAGAAACGGGCTGGGGACGGCGGCGAAATTGGGCGACAAGTTGGCGGAATGCCTCTGTCGCTGATCCACTTAGATCTGGTATGCTTTCTGGTGGTGGGCTTAAAGGGGTATCGAGAGCGGGTGTACTTCTTGGTGTTGTTGTTGTTGCGTTTGTGGTAAGAGGGAATTCAACGAGTATCAAGAAGGGGGGGAAATAGGCATACTTAATCGGCATATGGCCACGGGTGCTTTCTGTAACTGCCAGGTTCAGTCTTCTATTCTGCTCCGCGTGTTCTTCAAAATGCTTTTGAATCCGAGTTTGGCACCCTTGAGCGTCACCACCTCGAACAACATATGAGCAGCCATCTTCATCACAGGCCCATGTATCGTCAGGCCCTCGAGGGACGGTGGAGGGTATCTTCTCCGTGCGAATCACAATCTGGATGGGCTCTACATCGTCTGATAGTGGCTGAACAGTCGGGTCGACATTTCTGGGAGTGTTCACTTCAGTCAAGTCTTGCATAGAAGTGTCTTCTTCTTCCTCATCCTCGTCCTTGTCGGAGAAGTAGTGCGACCGCTTCAGGATTGAGGCCTCAGAGTCCTGCTCACTCTCATCGTCGATCTCCGCATAGGCTCGCTTCTTCGAGGCAGTTACTGTTCGCAAGCCTGATGTCTTAATCGGTCTTCGGCCAGGTCGTTTCAATGTTTTGCCAATGTACCGAGGAGGGTCGTTGGAACTTGTTGTTCCAGTTTCATGTGAAGATGAGTCTGGGTCGGCAGCGGTTGGTACTGACTTCTTGGACTGGCGCGGCATGGCTTTGCGTGGCACTAGTCGGAAAGGAAAATCCGATGCTTTTATAGCACGTGGAGAAAATGGCTTTGTTGATAGCTCCTCAAGATATGAGTAGAGCTCCTGCTTCTGGAACCTCTCCTTGTCGAGTGCTTGCAATAATGCAACGGCGTTGTAATGCAAGACTTCTGCAGCAGGAACTCGATGGGCTCCTACAGAGCCGTCTTTAAAATTGGGAATCTTGTAGTTGAAATAGATAAAATTGAGAGCATTCGTCGTGGTAATCCCCTTCTTAGAATCGCCGCGTTCTTTATATAATAATTCTAGCGCATTAAGGACGGAGGCAAACGGAGAGTCATCATCCGCTGCGGTGCTCATTGCAAAGTCGGCAGATTGGGTAGGTATTGTTGGCCTCTGAGTAGCAGCACTAGGACTCGCTATATCTGTGCGCGGGCTGGGCTTCGGTCGTTTCGACAGTTGGATTTGGTCGGGATCAACCACCTCCGTGCTTAGACTCCTGGTAATGCGGTTTGAGGACCTGTTACTCGGCGCTGGACTCGCTGCCTCGCGCGTCGGGCTGCTTGGTTTTCGTGGGTTTTTGAGTGCCAACTCGGTTTTATGCACTACGTCCTGTTTACATGTCAGTTAACGAACAGTCATTGGAGGAGGAGTAGACAACTTACAGCGTGCTCAACGGTAAACCATTTGTGGAATGGGGTTTGCTTCCAGTCTATAAGGCTAAGAGACTCTTGCCCGAACTGGCAAACGAAGAAGATGGCGTGCTCAGCGCATCGCTGCACAACTTCGTTGAATGTTGCCCCATCGCCTACTCTCATGATATACTGCAAAACGGTGTTGGTATTGGTTATTGCGAGGAGTGTGTTCCGTGCGCGTATGGATCGTACTCACCTGCAGAAAATCCTCGTGGAGTGCCTCCAGGAGATTGGAGCCGGGTCGCGCAGGTGTCCTGCTAAACTTGGCTGAAGTATATATGTCCACCAAGCTGTAATACATGGTCGTTGCCTCGCACATCTTATTGAATATCGGTCGATATGCGTCTGAAGGGTTAATCTCGTACCACCCCCCGCGACCCAAAACCCATACGACTGGGCGCCCTTCGTCTTCGCCGATCGAATAAGCGATACAATGACGGATTTCTATAGGTGTAGATGACCGGACCCTCATAATGACTGTGATTGTTAGAAATGCTGATACTAGGAGCGAGGAAGCGAGGGAGTGGGTGGCAACAACTCACGGTGTGTCTTTTGAGAGGGATCGTCTATGATGAGATGGCCTCGCACGATATATGGGCCTCGCACGACAACATTGAGAGCGTTCTCGAGAGCTTCGCCCTTCCTATCGTAGACAGTGGCATCGCGCAGCTCAAAGCAAGGATATTCATCCTTGGAGACGTCCTTGGGCTGTGACCTGACAACTGAAGACTCCTGCAACCAGCGGATCTTGTCCCCATCGACGGTTTCGACGCTCGACGTCGACGCCCTTCGCTTACGCCCGCTCATTATGAATCGCAGAAACTATGGGCTACCATAGGACGACACTGCTTTCTCAACAGAATTAGGAACGATGGCGGAGTTGAGCTCGAGGGGTAGCTTGTCGTCGAGAACCGAGCTTGGCAGATAACGTGTCGGTGGTAGCGATGGTATCAGAGGCAGACTTGAAGTCGGATAGCGGAATTGCTAGAGGACCAGCTGGATTATCTCGGGGGAAAAAAGGGCCAGTATCTTCTCTGATTTTGATCGGAATGGGTAATATAGATAGTCGAGCCAAAGTGGTTTGTGGGCGGTATCTGCGCAGTTGTAGATGCAGATGCAACGTTGGAATTGTAGGTGCGGAAGTCGAAAAGGCTGAGACGCAGTGAGTGGGCAAACACCATAGCGCGCTAGCACGGCGTCATAACCGTTCGCGATTCTGGGCGACCCAGTAGAATCTCGGAGGGGCCAGCGGCTTTGAATGCGCCAAGGAGCCCTGTACAGTAACTTGTAAGAGCCTTGATGGGTCTCTGTAGCACAGCAGCGTCGCATGACCCCACTAGAGCCCTGCTGTAGAATGGAGAGCAGCCCGTTTGCCCGCTTACTGGTGGTACTGCAGAATTGCGTACATGAGTAGGTAGGTAGGTAAGCTACAAATCAACCTGTGAATAATACATTGATGTCCATTCAGCACCCCAAGTAGGCTATCCAGCATCCTGTCCAGTACCTGATGGAAGCTTAAAGCTACCTAGGTAAGTACATACCTTGGTAGGCAGTGATAATAGCAGATACGAGAGAGATATAGCCATAATCGCAGAGACGAGAAGAAAGAAAGTAGCCATACTAGAAGAAAGTGATATTCAAGGAACCGTATATCTACATACCTAAGTACCTGTAGTAAATAAACCTGGAAGGCATTTTCACTCCCTCTTGATTCGACGCAGTCACTGAGGAATTGAATAGCCAACTTGACTTGGAGTGCTGAATAGCCCCTCCCTGCAATAAAGCGCATTGTTCCAATAGCACCAATGTCTCTAAGTAGGCAGTTTCCAAAGTTTCTATGCCGTAACAGAAGAACTAAGCATTCCTGTACTGTTTACAAAGTGAAGGTCAACTGAATATCAAGTCAACGAACAATGGTAGAGGCTTCTATTGGTGCTGAAGCCAATCTGAAAGGGTCATGGCTCTAGTGAGAGTGACAGGACCCTCACATCACTTCTAACGGCGAGCCTGGCTTGCCTGGCTCCGTTCTGGTGCCGGGAGGCCCCTGTATCTAATACATTTGATGCACCTGGGAGGGGCCTCAATACATGCCTCACGCTGGTAGACTAGGTGCATCTCAGGTACTCTAACGCTAGCCTAGCACCGTTCAAGTATAGATACTTCCACCTCTCGTAATCTCTTATCTTCGCGCTAGGACAAGTTTTTTTTTCCCAGGCAAAACCACCCGTCGCCTGCGTCGCGGACTGAAAGCCGGAGGTGAAAGTGAGATCGTGGTGAGAACTGCATAACTTGCAGCTTCCCCCTCTTATACCGGCCCTCTCCCCCCCTGTTTCTTCTTTTCCCTTTTCTCCTCCTCATAGCCTCTCCGTCTTTCCATCCCCCGCCCATACTAGGCCTCGTATGCGACGGCTTGGAAAAGTGTTATCGACAATGGCTTCGGACGTCGTCCGGGATGGTGTCTTTGGTAGGCATCCCCTCATCCCATTTCCCAGCGCTGTCGCATCCTTTCCAGCGTATTTGGCGCCTATAGAGTGTTGCTAATGCAATCATGTCTGCTCTCTTAGCCATCAACAAGCCTTGCGGCCTCAGCTCTGCTCAGGTTGTGCGAGAATGCCAGCAGGCCTTCAATCCCTCTTCCTTCTTCAAGCCCATGATCGATGCAGAAATCGCGCGCCGGCTTAAGGAATCAGGCGGCCAATTTATGCGACGCAAGGCCGAGAAGAAAGCATCACAAGTCAAGATTGGTCATGGAGGAACCCTGGACCCTTTGGCTACCGGAGTCCTGATCCTGGGCATCGGGTCCGCGACAAAGCTACTGCCCCAGTTCCTCGACTGCACCAAGACTTACGAAACAATTGTTTTATTTGGCGCAAGCACCGATACCTATGATCGAGTGGGCCGCGTCCTATCCAAGCGACCGTACGATCACATTACACGAGAGATGGTGGAGAAGGAGCTAGAAGCCTTCAAGGGAAAGCAGATTCAGATTCCGCCCCTGTACTCGGCGCTCAAGATGAACGGCAAGCCACTCTACGAGTATGCGCGCGAAGGGAAGCCTATACCCAGGGAGATTGAAGGAAGGGAGGTCGAGGTATTGGAAGTCGAACTTTTGGAGTGGTACGAGCCGAAGAAACACAATCATCGCTGGCCGACAGAGGAGGCCGAGGCTGCTGAGCGTCACCTTGCCGAGCAGGTCTGGAGGGTGAAGAAGCAGCAAGAGACTGCGCGAAAGCTCACGCCAGAGGAAAAGGAGCAAGATGACCAGGCGGTTGCGGCTCATGAGACATTCAAGCGCAAGTTTGAAGAGCGACAGGATGAGCTCATTAGAGATGCGCCGCGCAAGAAGCAACGCCCTTCGAAGCACTCGGCCATGATGTCTGGAGCGCTGGGACAGCTACCCCAGCCCGTCTACTCTAACAAGGGCAAAAACCTCGTCCCTGATACGCCCGACGAAAGCACTCCTCCACCGTGGAGCGATGAGGGACCCCCTGCCGCCAGGGTTCGACTAAAGGTGACGTCGGGCTTCTACGTCCGAAGCTTCTGCCATGATCTCGGCACCAAGCTGGGATCCGCGGGTCTCATGGCGGAGCTTGCCCGTGTCCGCCAGAGCGACTTTACCATTGGTGGCACCAACTGTCTCGAATACGATGATCTGGCCAAAGGAGAGGAAGTCTGGGGCCCCAAGGTCGCCGACATGCTCGCGCGCTGGAATGGAGAGCCCGAGGGACACTGGCCCGGCCCCAAGGCAGCTCCTAAGGCCACGAACCAAACGTCCGACAAGGCTGAGGCACAGAAGAAGCAAGAAAAGAGAAGCGCCAGTCCAGTTGCATCGCCTACTGCTGCTGCTCGATCGGAGAAGAGATCACGGTCTCCATCTGTAAACGGAGCGGCGTCGCCCGCCCGTAAGATCCAGGCAAAGGGCGACGGGGAGAAACCCACCCGGCAGACAAACGGCAGCAAGGTGCCAACCAAGTCGGACGACGAAAAGTCATGGAACGGCTTCGATGACTAAAATAGAAGAACACATATATTCAATATCTATCCAGGCAGATACTCGCGTTCCTTTATGGAAGAGGGAACCATATGACAACGTTGCGATACCATGACTGATGACAATCAGTCCCGGAGGCAGTTGGGGACAGGAACACAGGCGTTTGCGGTGAACGAACAACGTCTTAGGGACGTGAAGGCGTCTATATAGAACCGCAAGCAGATACTATGAGTGAATGTAGTCTCTTGCGCCGTATCACAATACAGATACACAATTCTTCAATTTCGCCTCATGTTCCATGTCCAATCAATGCTCTATCCATAGTGGCTAGTACGCACACTTTATACAGAGCATCTTATTATGCACTGCCCGGCCAAGTATCTCAGTCTGTGTAAGCCAAACAATCAAAAATCAAACCGGCACAGATCCCTCCATTCGTGTGCACAAGCCGTTCGCCAACAAAAGAAAAGAAAAAAAAAAGGAAAAAAAGCCAATAGAGAGAAAGATTCCTGCGCTGCCGGTTCCCAATTATCTGATATCCCGTTACCGACCCATGAGACCCAACCAACCAATTAGTTCCAGTAATATTTTATTCCTCGCATTTCATTCATTCATTCAATCTTTTCAGACGCCAGCGACAGAGCTGCTGCATCGTAGCCTTCCAGCAGCAGGGTCTTGACCTTTTCAATGCGGTGCATGGCTAGCTCCAGCTTGTCCAGTCGCTGCTTCTTCTCCACGTCTCGCTTTTCCAGCTCGGATATCCGTTGCTCCAGGGCAGCCCGGGCGCGGCGCTCCGTGGCCACCATCTCGTTTGCCTGCTCGAAGAGTGTCACGCTCAGCTCCTCGACCTCCTTGTTCGTGGCGTTGAGCCGGCCCTCTGCCGCCCTCCGCAGCATCTGCTCCTTGTTGAGGGCCTCGAGCAGGTCCTCCGTCGTGCGGCTGGGGGTCCTCATTGGGCTGGAGTCGGTAGGCGGCGGCGTCACTGGGGGCATGGGTTTGGATGCAGGAGGGCTGGCGGGCTGCGATCGGCGCGAGTACATGAGGGCCGAGATCCTCGTGGCGCCGGCCTGGAAGAAGGACGAGCGTGTAGGGCTCTGGGTGGAGGGCTCGGGCGACGAAGACAGCTTGGCTCGCAGCTTGGACAGCTCGGCCTCGTACTCGGCCCAACGGTTGACGGCGGCGGTGGCCTTTTGGTTCAGCTGGAAGACGTGGGTTTCGAGCTCGGCGATGCGGGCCTGGGCATCGAGCAGCTGCGTCGACGGCGGCTCATCGTGCTGTGGGGGGATCACGAAGCCGCAGCTGGGGCAGCACGACGGGCTGGGATCGACGAAGAGCGATGTTGTTTTCGAGGCCGTGACGACCATGGTGGACGACATGCTTGCTGCACTTGACCGTGTGCGTGTACAGTAGCAGGGTTTAGGCTTCTCCGGTCGGGCTTCACAGACCGCTCTTTGCAGAACCTGTGCAGTAGATACTGGCGCCACTACAAGTATGGCCGGCACACGATGAGGCGGGATTGGTGCCCGTCAAGCACCCAAGCAGCAGGTTTGAAGAAGCAAAAAGTGGCGGGGCGGCTTGAAGAATGTCGCGTGTAGGTGGAGTTGCGGACAGGGGCGCAAGGGAGAGAAGCCCTGCAAACAGGGGGCTGGGGGGGGAGACTGACAGCGGCTGGGTCCGCCTCAGGGCACTTTATATCGCCTGCAATCAATTGATGGAGAGCTGGTCTGTGTGAACTACCGCAGGAATACATCATACACACAGGGGGTTCGATGCTATAATTAGCTACAGGCGACACAGAGGATGCAGCAAAAGGTAAGACAAGTACTTGAGGGTGCCGCCCTGAGCTAGACAATAAGATTGAGAGTATTGATATCTGAGAGTCATATTTGAGGCGGATATATTCGGCAATTCAGGGCCCAACTGGCCACCTTTAGTCAGGCACAAGTCCCTTGTTGTTGGCGGTCCTAAAATAGAGCTTCAATAGCGCGCTAGCCAAAACTTGAACCCACTCCCATTCTATCAGCCAGTCTCGGTTGGCAATGCATCATACAGTAACACATGTCGTTTGGCTGCAGCCCGTTTCAATATATCTCGGCATCCGGGGTTCAAGGAGTGGCCCGTCGACGTACTTGGATGTTGCTCTGTGCTGTGGCTAATTCATCCCAACCCTTGCTCCGGCCCTACACGGTTATGCGCGTGCTTGAGTGGATGCATGTAAGTGCAGAGAGCCCAGGTCAGCAGGTAACCGGACCTAATGTTGCTGATATTATTTGCAGTCCAAGATGTGCTTCTCCATGTGAGGGTGGCGGTTGAGTTTCAACGTCTTGCAGCAGCATCTTCAGCTTGGCTTAGCCACTTTTCGCGGCTCGCTCACCCCCGTCTCGGGGTCCTTAAACTCCTTCCAGCTAATGGGAACCATGTCATTCCCGACGTCGCTCGTGGCCATGATGACACCTAGTTCATTTGATGCCGTTGAGAGGTAATAGTTGGCCTGGTCGCCCAAGGAAATCTGATGTTCGTTGCGTTAGTCTTTGCGAAGATAGCCCCCCCTCAACACCCGGGGAACGAATATTGGCTTACCACTTGAGCCCGAACAATGTCGCCAGGCTTGAATGACTCGTGAATCTTGACTTTATCCTGCTCTGTCGCCCTCACATCTTGTACCCGTATCACGCCCTGCCACTCTGTCTGCAGAACTGTCTCGCCAACTTGCTGGATGACTACAATGGCCTGCTTGGGCATAAGACGCACCACGCGCGCCAATACAATGTTGCCGACATCTGGTAGCACCTCTCGCTTGCGACCGCGTCTAATGACGGATATGGTCGCCAGTTCTTCCACAGAAGGAGCCGTAATCTTGTTCAATCGCTTGACCGGGCCCGGAGCCTTGGCTGGTGCTATGACGGCAACGTTGCCCAGCAGCGAGGAAACGATGCTGCCCTCGTAAATATGCGTGCCCGGGCCCGAAGCATACTTGCTAGCAGGGCCCAGAATTGTGCCTGGTATGGCGAGAGAGGGAATGCCGTCGGTCGCCATCGAATGCAGCTCGAGCACCTATGAGGTACAGCAATGATGCTTCATCGAAAAATCACCATTCACTAGGGTAAAAGTCTTATCGCGATAAGAGTCACGTGCGTGGTGCGTAGTACTACTAGGTAGGTACCTATGTCCGCCGCCTTTTACTAAAGTACCCATAAGCTCCATCCCGGTCTTTTCTTCCGCACTCGGACCCGAGGTGGGTGAGGCAGGCGGCAAGCGGAGCAAAGAATTGCAAGGCAAACGGAGAGAATTGTGGCCTTTGATATGGAGCCTGCTCCATTCAATACGACTTGCGAAGCTCTGCAAGGCTCTGCAAAGTATTACTACGAAACTCCAGGGCTGTCTTCTTCTTCACCGTCTGCAAGCACTCCTTCGCACGGCTTGTGTTTAAGCTTGTCCTCGACGCCCTTTACCACATTACAAACCAAGGCGAATAATCCGGGAATTCTGCTTCATTTCCAGCCATGCGGAGCTTTCGGCCAAGGATTGCAAAACTCATGATGCTCACTCACAGCGCTGTCAGCGTGCAGAGGGAATCCGCTTATTCGGATGCCGAGGGGATTGGATAAAGTAAGCGGTAGTGCGAATTGTCCAGTAAGTCGATGACTCTTTGCTTCCCCTCTCCCTACCGCTACTAGATCCACGAAAAAAGGTACTTGATAAATAACCTTTCTTCTAATACTTCAGCTGCTTGATTACAATTATATAAACCAAGGTATTTCGGTCGTGGTCCCGCTTATTTGCGTACCGCTTGAGTGCTGACCCAATCCGCGCGCGGCAGAATCTTGATTAGTCGAGCAAAGGTCAAAACCCAAAACTACTTAGCCGGGTAATAATAGCGAACAAATTGATAATGCCTACAAAGGTACCGTCAAGAGATCGGGTGGATTTGGTGAAACCCGTGCCGATCAGGCGGTTTCCCTTGTTGCTTACAAACCGTCTTGCCAGCTGGCGTCCAACTATCGACGCTTTCGGAGGAGCTCAGGAGCACTAAGACGAGAGGCTGGCGGGTACGGATTCCGGTATACGACGGGGCTTGGAATCCGGCATTGTTTTACTGGTTGAAACAAAGAAACACTTTTTTGTTGTTTGCGACTTGCAAAAGACCTCCGAGTGCTATCTCCGGTAGCCTCCTGGAGTGCGGCGCCGAAGCGGCGCCGTACTGACGTTGACCATTTTGTTCGATGGTTGCGATCGAATGCCGGCAGCTTCCCAAGGCCAATGCGACGATTCTTATCAATCACGGCATGTTTCACCCGGCATTACTAGACGGTGAAGCATACATACTCGTACATGTGCGGATCATCGATCTCAAGCCCCTATTGCTGAGCTCTTGTCGGCGACAAAAGCTGTTTGCGGTTCCATCTTACGCTGCCGGTGGTGGAGTACTCCTGTCCTGGCCTTTGAATTTTCCACAATAAGGATATTGTATGACAGTATGATTCATTCACCGGTATGAAGCAGCCAATTGGAAAGTTACCGTTGGAGCGCCTCTTGCTCAAGCTGGTCCAATTCGACTAGTCTCCTCGAAGCTGTTCCTTCGCTGTACTGTCTTGCTCTACGCTACCTGCACGCCACCGCACCACCTGCTCAAGCATTGTTCACTGGTCTACGAGTACGAACCCATCGGGTTTCATAGTCTCCGAATTACCTGCCTAGTCCCAACGAGTTGTCGCCCCCTGCTCTTTGAAGGATGGGTTGAATCCAATGTGGATCGAAGCGGGCTTCGTGCTTGCTTTCCATGCTTTGCTTAACCCTGTCTGTGAAGTTTTACAAACGGGAACTACTCCGGAGGAGGCTGTCTATATCCACTTTAGCCATGCATGGCTTGCGGGCTGTCGCTCCGCTCGTTTATAAACGTTTGCTGCCCCAGTTGAGCTGCCTGTTTGCGCGCCGACTCACCTCAAGCCATCTTTGCTGGCTATGTCGCCTGTGTCGTGCCGTATCTGATCCGGGTAGCTCTTTGTTGTTTCTTTATAGCTGCAATAATACCATTCTGGGACAGAGCATCTGGGTTCATGTTCGAGCCTAAAACTCGTTTAGCCGTGAACCACAGAGCCAAGACTCGCTCCACGATAGACTCCACAGTCGACTAGAAGATACCCGTTGCGCCACCCGCTTTGCTGCGCAAGACATCTGCTGCTCCTGGTCTAAGTGACCGCAGCACCACGCCGAGGTCTGTGTAGAGATGGCAGACCCCGGTGCAGAGAAAGAGATACAGGCTCCTACGGCCGCTCCAGAGAATCACGCGATCAACATTCAATCCTCCTCGGAGGGCCGTGGCAATGATTCCGAAGGTGAAAAAGCTGCCCCTGTGAGCGAGAAGGACGACGATGGAATCGAAAGAGTTGAGTCCAGGTCTGATGGAGAAGATGACGCACCCAAGGAGCCTCTGGCAACAACCAAAAGCCATGCTACCGATGCCAGTGTAGTCATGAATGCTGCTGCAGAATATGCGGCGAAACCCTGGTACAAGAAGATGAATCCCATGCGCTGGGGCGGTATACCGGAGATTCCCAAGGAGCGTATAATCTCTCGAGAGTACCAGGCTGGTTTCTTTAGCAGACTCACCTTCTACTGGATGAACCCTCTCATGACGGTGAGCTTGTGACTCTAATTGAATTGTTTCCCCAATGCGGAGGTTGAGACCTCTGTCAACTAACTAAATGTTTCACAGACAGGATATAAGCGTCAGCTAGACAAGCAAGACATCTGGATTGTCAATCCTGACAGAGCAGCCGAGCCAATGACACTTAAAGTGAAGGAGGCATTCAAGAGACGAGTCCAAAATGGCCAAAAGCGACCTCTACTTGGTGCTTTGCACGAAACCTTCACATTTGAATTCTGGCTTGGTGGTGTTTGCTCGCTCATCGCAACTATCATGCAGGTCCTCTCTCCGTTTATTCTCCGCTACCTGATCCAGTTTGCAACCGATGCCTACGTAGCTCACGTCAGCCACTCTCCTGCTCCCCATATCGGACGAGGTCTCGGTTTGGCCATTGGCGTTACTGTCATGCAGATTATACAGAGTGTGTGTATCAGCCACTTCATCTACCGAGGCATGATGATGGGAGGCCAAAGCCGTGCCGTCTTGATTAGTATGATCTACGAGAAATCCATGGTCATCTCGGGTCGTGCCAAGGCTGGCGGCGTCAAGGAGGCCATAATGCCAGAGTCGAACGAGCAAGACGAGAAAGACAAGGGCAAGGACACGGCAAAGGACACGGGCAAGGACGATGACAAGAAAAAGGGAAAGAAAGGACCCGCAGTGCAAGATGGCTTGGGCTGGGGCAACGGGCGTATTACCAACTTGATGAGCGTCGATACTTATCGTGTTGATCAAGCCTCGGCCCTTTTACACATGACCTGGACTTCCCCTGTCGCCTGTGTCATCACACTCGTTCTCCTGCTGGTCAATCTGACGTACAGTGCGCTGGCTGGTTTTGGCCTCCTCCTCATTGGTGTTCCCCTCATCACCAAGGCTATCCAGTCCCTCCTTCAACGAAGAAAGGCCATCAACAAGATTACCGACCAGAGAGTGTCTCTCACCCAGGAAATTCTGCAGTCCGTCCGATTTGTCAAGTACTTTGGCTGGGAGAAGGCCTTTATCGACCGTCTCGCCGAGATTCGCTCCAAGGAGATCTACTCTATTCAGGTCCTGCTCGCCATCCGCAATGCCATCAATGCCGTCAGCATGTCCATGCCGATTTTTGCCTCGATGCTGTCCTTTATCACGTACTCCCTGACCAACCACGGCCTGGCACCTGCTCAAATCTTTTCTTCGCTAGCCTTGTTCAACGGTCTTCGAATCCCTCTCAACTTGCTGCCCCTTGTCCTTGGTCAGGTGATTGATGCTTGGTCCTCTCTTCAGCGGATTGAGCAATTCCTCCTTGAAGAAGAGCAGGAAGAAGAGGTTATCCTCAAGCCTGAGGGAGAGCATGCCATTGAACTCATCGACGCGTCCTTTACTTGGGAGAGAACCCCAACCAAGGAGGCCGATAAGGGTGCTGCCGGCAAGGACAAGAAGAAAGCCAAGAAGTCGGAGGCTCCAAAGGAGACTGTCCAATCTGCGTCTGGTGATGACTCTAGCACACTGGTGGAGGAGCGTGAGCCCTTCAAGTTGCAAGATCTAAACCTGCAGGCTGGCCGAAACGAACTGATTGCTGTTATTGGTACTGTCGGCAGTGGCAAGAGTTCTTTGCTCGCTGCCTTGGCTGGTGACATGCGTAAGACAAATGGTGACGTGGTTTTCGGCGCATCCAGGGCCTTCTGTCCCCAATATGCCTGGATTCAGAACTCCTCATTGCAGAACAACATCATCTTTGGCAAGGAAATGGATAAGGACTGGTATAAGGAGGTTATTCGAGCGTAAGTTCTATTCCCCCTTAGACCCCCACTGTTAGAATCCCAGATGACTAACTGTTTCTGATAGATGTGCTCTTCAACCTGATCTCGACATGCTACCTAATGGTGATCTTACTGAAATTGGTGAACGTGGTATCACAATCTCTGGTGGTCAGAAGCAGCGTCTCAACATTGCTCGCGCCATCTATTTCGATGCCGATATTGTTCTCATGGATGATCCTCTCAGTGCCGTCGATGCCCACGTTGGTCGCCACATCTTTGACAACGCCATCTTGGGTCTCCTCAAGGATAAGTGCCGTATCCTCGCTACCCATCAACTCTGGGTTCTTTCTCGTTGCGATAGGATCGTTTGGATGGACGCCGGCAAGATTCAGGCCATTGACACTTTTGAGAATCTGATGCGAGATCACAAGGGCTTCCAGGAACTGATGGAAACAACTGCCGTCGAAAAGAAGGAAGAGGAAGAAGAAGAGGACGATGACAAGCTGAAACAGCTGACCCTGACTGAGACCGCCGAAGCCCGCAAGAACAAGAAGAACAAGAAGGGCGCAGCTCTCATGCAGCAGGAAGAAAAGGCCCAAGCCAGTGTGCCTTGGTCTGTGTATGGTGCATACGTCCGCGCCTCTGGTACTCTGCTGAATGCTCCCTTGGTCATCTTCGTCCTCATCCTGTCTCAGGGCGCCAACATCATGACCAGCTTGTGGCTCTCGTACTGGACCTCGGACAAGTTTGGATTGTCAATGGGTCAGTACATTGGTATCTACGCTGGTCTCGGTGCCATCCAGGCCCTGCTCATGTTCCTCTTCTCCGTCATGCTGTCTATCCTGGGCACCAACTCCAGTAAGGTCATGCTCCGCGAGGCAATGTTCCGAGTCCTGCGTGCTCCCATGTCCTTCTTCGACACCACACCTCTGGGCCGCATCACGAATCGTTTCTCTCGCGATGTTGACGTCATGGATAACAACTTGACGGATGCCATCAGAATGTACTTCTTTACGCTCTGCATGTGTACCGCCGTGTTTGCCCTGATCATTGCCTACTTCCACTACTTCGCCATTGCCCTTGTGCCTTTATACTTTCTGTTCATTGGCGCTGCGTCATACTACCGTGCATCGGCCCGAGAGGTTAAGCGTTTCGAATCGGTCCTTCGATCGACAGTCTTTGCCAAGTTTGGCGAGGGTCTGACGGGTGTGGCTTCGATCCGTGCTTACGGGCTCAAGTCCCGATTTATCAAGGATCTTCGTGATTCGATTGATGAGATGAATGGCGCTTACTTCTTGACCTACTCTAATCAGCGCTGGCTGTCCCTTCGATTGGATTTGATTGGTAATCTCCTTGTGTTTACCGTTGGAATCCTTGTCGTCACATCACGATTCAGCGTCAACCCTTCCATTGGCGGTCTGGTGCTCAGTTACATTCTGTCTATTGTTCAGATGCTCCAGTTCTCCATCCGCCAGCTGGCTGAGGTTGAGAACGGCATGAACGCTGTTGAACGTCTCCGCTACTACGGCAATGAGCTTGAAGAGGAAGCTCCCCTTCACACCGTCGATGTTCGCGAATCTTGGCCAGAAAAGGGAGAGATTGTCTTTGACAATGTCGAGATGCGTTACCGCGAGAATCTGCCTCTTGTGCTCAAGGGCCTCTCCATTCACATCAAGGGCGGAGAGCGCATTGGTATCGTCGGTCGTACCGGTGCCGGAAAGAGTTCTATTATGAGCACTCTGTTCCGTCTGGTCGAGATCTCAGGGGGCTCCATCTCCATTGACGGCATCAACATTGCTACTATCGGCTTGTTTGACCTGCGCTCCCGCCTTGCCATTATCCCTCAGGACCCGACTCTCTTCCAGGGCACTGTCCGCAGCAACCTTGATCCCTTCCATGAGCACACTGACCTTGAGCTCTGGTCAGCCCTCCGACAGGCCGATCTTGTGCCTGCGGATGCCAACATGGAAGACCGCAAGACTGATCCCGGACGCATCCACCTCGACACCGTTGTTGAGGAAGACGGCCTCAACTTCTCACTCGGCCAGCGCCAGCTCATGGCCCTTGCCCGAGCTCTCGTCCGTGGTTCCCAGATCATTGTCTGCGACGAGGCCACTTCCAGTGTCGACATGGAGACGGACGACAAGATCCAGCGCACCATGGCCACGGGTTTCAAGGGCAAGACACTCCTCTGCATTGCCCATCGTCTGCGCACCATCATTGGCTACGACCGCATCTGCGTCATGGACGCCGGTCGCATCGCCGAGCTGGCTTCGCCCCTGGAGCTGTGGAAGATGGAGGGCGGCATCTTCAGAAGCATGTGTGACAGGAGCGGCATTCGCGTCGAAGACATTGAAAGTGCGAAGCTGGAGTTGGATCAGTTGGATGCTGCTGCTGCCGCTTCCAGCTCATGAAAGAAATGATGATACCCCCTACACACACCCCCTTTTTTTTTCACCTGAATCTTTTCTTTTCTTCGTATGGGGTTTATGAAATGGAGAGTGCTCATTTGGAGCAATCCTATAAAAGTTTTAAGTTATAGTTGATATTTGTTTTCATGATTTTAATGTATGCTTCTTCATATTTAATAGACGGGGGAGGCAAAGGTTATAAAGGTGTTACTGCCTATGCATGACAGTGGGAGGATGGTGAAAGACGCACCTCATCATATAGAAGAATTAATCATTCATACACATTTCACCGTCATTCTCCTTGTGAATCGAGAGTCATTTCCAGCAGTAGAAAATGGACAAAGAGATTTCATCAGCCCATTACGGCATGTATTAAGTATTGCAGTTGACGTTACAAAACAACAAAGCTATATACTCGAAAATATGGCGCTCCAAAAAAACGATGCTACAAAGCTGTTCACAAAGCCGCACAATCCTCCATCTAGCTGTTGACGGAAAAAAAAGTTCAAGTCCCTCCCAGCCTGCTTTACACAAATCTTCTCCAAGGGCCAACCAAAAAAATAAGATAGAAATAAAAACATCATACACTGATCATCATTGACGCCAAGAATCCCCAGTCTTTTAATACTTGATATCAAAGACCCAAACATTTTACGTATACTATTGATAGGGATAGTATTACTTAGAGATGCGCCAAAATAAAAAAAATAAAATCTAGACAAGGCGATTAATATCTGTGCCGAGGACTGCCGCTGCCTCTCGGGCCAGTACTGGGAGGCATCTGTGGGGGAGGAAGGTTTCCAGGCTCGTCGGCAAGCAAGTCTTCAAGGTAGGCGCTCGGGGCTCGCTGGCCCGGCTGGCGGGTGTTGAGGTTCACAGAGCTGCTGCTCATGTCTCTTCGGGGCGAGAAGTGAGGAGAGTCCGGGGGCGAAGGGCCCATGAGCGAGTTCCTTGAGCCGTTGGCGTGGCTCATCGAGTCCGGTCGCAGGTTGGTCAAGCTGATGGAAGGGCCCTGCTGTCCACCAGGCGAGGAGTTTCCGGCCGCGTAGAATCCAGAGGGCAAAAAGGTCGAGCCACGGCCGCCCGGAGCATTGGCTCCAGCAGCGGTAGGCGAGAAGAACAGGTTGGACTGGCTGGGAGTGGCAGACGGCGTCATGGTGTTTCGGTTGGTACGGCGAGCGCCGCGGCCACTGCCGGCGGGAGGCGCAGTAGGAGAGGCGTGGTCGGAATACTTGTAGAAAGGCGCGGGAGGTGCCGGGAAGCTGGCCTTGCTGTTGGCTTCGTGCTGGGCCAAGGCGGCGCGGCGAACAGAGCGGTGCAGAAGGAAGCTGACGATGATGCGCCAAAGCAAAACACCAAGGCCAAAAGCACCGAGGATGGCGCCAACGGCAATGAAGACGGTTCCATCCGGCGCACTGGAGTGCTGCATGAAGGGCGCATTTTTGGTCGGCGGCACGGTTGGTGCAGGATATGTTGGGATGGCTCCTCCTCGTGTCAGCGTCGGGAGGCCAGTTGGGCCCGAATCGGTGTCCGTTGAAGATGAAGACGAAGATGAAGACGAAGATGAAGACGAAGAGGTGGTCGAACTCGGGGGAGGCTTGTTGTTGTTCTTCTGGGCCAAGGCCGGAGCGGCCAGGACGACAACAGCCATCGACAAGATGTTGGAAACCCGCATGTTTACGGAGACGGTACGCTGTATCCTATGGCAAACGAGGTGTATTGAGGCGCAATGCGGGCCAGCGGGCTGAGCGCTGCTCCTTATGAAGCAAAATCAAAGTGAGGGTAAACAAATCGGATCGCTGGCGAGGAGGCCGTATGTCGTTTCGGGAAACAAGACGGAAGCGTCAGGATGCATGCAATAGCGATCGAGCTGAACGAAACCGGCAATGGGTCGCGGTAACGAATGTCGCAGAAGAAACACAATTCGAGGCGAGGCGATGCGAGGCGATTCGAAGCGACCGGAGACGCAACGCCGAACAAACCCGCGGAGAGTTGACGGATCGAAGCGCTGCTGACGAGGATGGAGATAGAAGAGACGGCTCAATTTCAGAGGCTGCGCGTGTTTTGCACCTCCTTTTAGGCCAGGGCAACCAACAATCAGTTGGCGTTGAGCTGCTAATCGTAGGCGGGCAATTGTGGCGGGCTACCGGCGTCAGCGCCTAGGCACACTGTACGAGCTCTGGAATGCAGCGCCAATGGCGGCCGGTTACAGGGCGGGAGTGGCTGAGCGCGGCCCCTCTGTGCGCTGGAGAAAAGCTCGTATCGGCAAGATGGCAGGTGGTCTTACAGTGCGCGGTTGGGGAAATCGGACTTGAATCAATTTTTTTTTTTTTCTTTTTTCATCTTCTCTATGTTGGAATCTGGAGACAAATATTTGCCGTAAAAATGGTATGGAATAGATTGATATACCTGACTCCTTAATACCGATGCAAATTGGTCTCTTTAGCCATCTGAAGGGCATCGCAACAGGGCTATTATTAGCACATGGAGATGCGTGTTCTGCATACAAAAAGTACTACTGTAGTCCACTGAATGCGGATTCACGTCAGAAAGCCTCCTCGTCCTTGCACGGAATCCCGTATCGCATCTCCACACTGAGATGCTTCTTTTAGTCTAGCAGTCGGGGTGCCTTGCAGGTTCTCGATACCGATGGAGCGCCTCGTATTGCTAGCAGGACGGAGTACCTATGAGTATGCAATACGGTATGCTGCCAGAGTGCCATTCAAGATGCTTATGGACCAGAGGGGCAGGTCAACAGCAGTCATCAAGCAATCAGTACAAGTCGAGACATGGCGAACTAAATCACGAAGGGGGTTGAATCAAACAAGCAGGTGTTGATGCATGTTTTATTTACTGTGTCGTTGATAGTCTACCTAGGAAAAGAGTCCTGACTTCGGACTTCATCCAAGACCATTTGGCGCATCACCTCGTTTCAAGTACATCGGTACACGTACATAATTCATCAGTCCGGTGCACGTGACTCTGACGTGGGCTCAGCCTCTGGACTTGCGCTACGGCTAAATCCCAGCCTTTCTACAGAGCGTCATCACCAAGTCGAGCAACAACGTGCAATTCATCCCCTCGTCGCCGCCGCAGTGCATCGCCAGCCTCCTCTCTATTCAGCGCCTTCCATCTCCCCTACTTAAACTCTTCTCCCTGCTGCATTTTATCCATTCCCCGATTCTCCGGTTTCGCCACCCGACAACATGGAGGAAGAGCGCCTTTGGAAGTTCAGGAAGCCCGAGTGGTTGAACAGCATCTGGGCCCGAAACGCTGGCGTCTACGGTGCCGGAGCCCTGGTGAGTCCATTTCCATCTCAATCAAGTCTCGTCAACTCTCCGTCTTCTGTCCCGCGAGGATATTCTTCGAGCCTTCTTCGACATGTCCACGACTTCCAGAGAAGCCGCCAGCTGACGTATGCACTCGCAGTTCTCCCTCGCCTTCTATGTCATGCTCGATTCCGCCGTCTGGTCCAAGTCGGCCAAGAACGGCTCCAACGTCCACGTTAAATTCGTCGACTGGCTGCCGCTCATCTTCTCCAGCCTGGGCATGCTCATCATCAACTCGGTCGAAAAACAGCGCCTCAGCGCCGACTCTTTCAGTTATAGCGGATCTGGTGTCGCATGGAAGGCGCGCGTGGTCTTGTTCCTGGGATTCGCAGCCCTTGCTGGCGGCATGGCCGGAGGCGTCACCGTCTTCGTTCTCAAGTTCGTTGTCCCTGGCGTCGGCATGCCAGCCCTGAGCATGGGCATTGAGAATCTTGTCAGCAACGCCCTTGTGGGCTGCAGGTATGTACAATCCATTCAGCAGCTGGCTGTCAACCAGCAAAAGGATGAGGTGCACCGGCTAATCTTGTATCGTGCCTTAGCTCTGTCGTCTTGTGGATCAGCCAGAACATGGAAGACGAGTACTCCTACAACCTCTCACTGTAAACTGACTTGACCCTATAACTGCGCGCAAAAGAGGGGAGCGAGTGTCGGCGCATGTCTTTGGATCACGGGCGTAACTTGGGGCTCTTGGGAAGGGTCTGGATTTTCTTGTTTTTATTTCCCTTTTGGCACACGCGCGCGCGCACACACACACACGCAGAGACTTTATTAGGGCGCAGCTGGTGATGATTTAAGCCTTTGTTTCTTGTACGAGTCGAAACGATCAGTTTGATGTATGAATTTGAACTTGGGCCATGTTTTATATTATACGGCCAAGACATTGGCCGTGTACTGATGTTCGTAGCCGAGCCTGTCGAGATTTGCTCTCTCTTCGGAAGCCAAGCAAAATTCATGCCTTTTATCATTAGCCAATACACAATATTCTTGCAAAATGAATCTACATAAAGTGCTGCAGGGGGGGAACTGCGCAGTTGAGGCGATCAAGACACAGCCAGCATAGCGCAAACCTCAGAGAGCCGTCACCGATAGCGCTAGTCCGCCACCACTGTAGCCGTCTCCGATAACTTTTTGGGGCCATCCAAAGTCATTGATCCAATCCTCCCTCATTAACAAACATAAACAAAGAAAGACCCTTGCATTCTAGTTCGGCACCACATAATACAAACCGGCACATCTACCGTGGAAAGGCGCAATTATTTTATTCGATAACGCCGCAGTACATTATCTAAACCGTTCATCAATACTACATCTCGTCCGATTTCCAGCTCCAAATCCAAGATATAAAAGCCATGAACGAACGCACCCGCAGCGCCGCCTCCAACGGATCCTCGCGCACGACTAGAAGCTCCGGCCTGGCCGCCGCGAGCAGCAGCAGCGCCAACGGTAGCAAGACGAGCCTCTTCCGAAGCCACTTCATCAGGCGGCCCAACGCAGCGTCGTCCGATCCCGAGGGCGTGCGCGCAGACGTCGAGATGCAGCAGTCCGAGACGGCGGACCTGGTGGTGCGGGATCAGCACGGCGAGGTTGAGATTGGGAACCCCCCGACGCCGGTGGTGGATGACGAGGAGGAGTTGCAGGCGTTGGAGTATCAGCAGGAGAACGAGAGTGAGGAACATCTAGCTCAATGCTTTGGTTCTATCTATCTATGCATTGGGAGTGCTAACTAGGTACGGTGCCGTTTGTCTAGGGGAGAAGCAGCGCTTAGCAGAGGCTATTCGCCATTACCAAATCAGCCACAGCTCCATGGCAGATCAACCGGACGGTAAGTGAATCGCATTCGCACTTGGGATGAGGTTGGCTGACTTTGGGTCGTCTTCAGCCCTGTTCGAGGCGGTCCGCGAGAGCAACAGGAGCAAGGTCAGCGCATTGGCCGAAGACAACTGGATGTTCGAGCCGGAAGAACAGCCGCGCATATCATGAACGACGACGATCAGCGTTATTTTTTGCTCCCCTTCTATCCATCCGCCGTTTTTTGACTATGATACATGACTGATTCTATTCGTCGCTGCCGATCCAAGCATGATATGAGAAGAAGATGATGATCAAGAAGAGACCGCTTCCTAGTCTAGTCCTTCAGCAGCAGGAGCCTCCGCTCCACGAAGCCCCGGCCGCCGTGTTTGTTGCGGCGGCGCGGCACCACCTCCACCAAACAGTCCGCTCATCATGTCCATCAGGGGGTTGCTCTGTCGCGGCTTCTGTATGCCAAAGTACATCTCGCCAATCATCTCTAGAGGCTCCGCCCACGCCTCGGCCTCATCGATTTGCGTCGCATACTTGGATACCAGACCCTTGTAGACTTCGGGAGCCCCTCGCTGGATGGCCAAGAGCAACAGCCCTAAGAAGTTGAGCAGGGGGAGGCTGGGAAAGATGCGAACGTCGGAGGTTGCGCTGGAAACTTCTTGGACACCAAGGGTTGGGTTGTCGTTTGTAAGGGCGCTGGCGAAGAGTCGATAGCTGGTGGCGGCGGCGCGGACGTTGCCGACGAGGAGATAGGGGAGAACCGCTCGCGCCGCAAAGTGTGGTGCCATGTGAGCGTCTCCTTCCTTGTACCAAGCATACTCCATGTTGAAGAGCACTTCTGGCGAGTCCTTGGTTCCCAGTATCAGGTGTCGTTCCGCCTCGTATGTCTCGTGCTCTTCAGCGTATAATGAGCCAGCAACATGGTGCAGCTCGGGATCGCCCGCAGGGTATTCGCCAAACTTGGAAGACCATCTAATGCCAGTCTTATGGTCAGCCATTTATTATCACGTAACCCAAAACCACCACCCCAAGGCATACGTATACACGACAAAACCCTCCCCCCAAAAAGATGTACTCACCCCATGCTCTCAGTAATAAACTTCTTCCTCGTGGGCTCCTCCGGATCGAACAGCCGCAGACACGTCAGCAGCCTGCCCTTGCTCGTCGCATCGGGCTTCAGCTCGGCCTGCTTATACACGTCCACCATCATGACACACAAGTCGCCGCCACTACCGCCCTGCGCCGCCTTGAGCAGCGACTGCGCGACGCTGTAGAGGATGTCGATTGCGGCGGGCCAGTTCTGCGTCTTGATGTAGCGCGAGGCGGCGACTCGCGTCTGCTGCTGCGCTTCGTAAAAGTCGCCCTCGGCGATCTTTTCCTGCAGCCGGGCGACGATGCGGTCGACTTTGTTGGCCATTGTGGGAGGCGGAGACGGTGGTGGAAAGCTCAGCTATAGCGATAGAGTCTCTCTTTTTCCAAGAGGGCGAGGTGATGGTGGCCAAGGCCTTAGGCTATGATATAAGGGAGGAGGAGTGTTCTTGGGAGCTATGGTGATGGATAGTGAGAGGATGGAGGGGTAGCAGGCTTAGGTGGGATCTGCCACTCAGTAGCTCCTGTCTGTTTCCTATATAAGTTGTAACTATAGAATTTCAACTCAAACTCTATTACATCATCATCAGCGCGAATAGTGTAGCGGTTAGCATGCATGCTTCCCAAGCATGCGACCCGGGTTCGAGTCCCGGTTCGCGCATCTCTTTCTGCTTTTCTGCAGTCTGTTTTGTTTCTTTTTGCCCTTTTTGTTGCGATATCTCAATCACCCTTCACTTCTCGGCCTTGAATAGCGGCGAGGTGGTGTCTGCGCTTCTGGAAAGAAATGGAGCATAAAGTGGATCGGCGCTCAGTTTACCAAAAGGTACTGAGTCAAGCAACATCGGTCAGCCTCGAGAATTAAAAGGGAAGTCCTATGAGGTCGTGTACTCAAAAAGACAATGCTTAACTACCAAAGTTACGTACGTTTATCATAAAGACAGGCCGTTCTATACACTGTTGCCTATGATGTGCCAACCCTGGCACTCGCCCTCTGGTTTTATACTCCAGTCTTGGTGGAGTAGGTTTCTCTTGGAAAAGTTACCAGTTTTTAATAAAATAAAAAAAAGTCCCATGATATGTTTATTCTCTTGTGTATTAGTGAGCCCAAGTGCTACCCGATGGCCTTCTTCCCTTCTCGTATAGCCATTTATTATTAAGCCCAATGCTCGTCCTCTTGCCTCCCGATGGGCTTGGTGAGGTAGGGTCGGAGAAGATGTTGGATGAGGTGCTCGCACCGAAGGAGCCTGGTGACCCAAAGGATGGCCTCTTAAGACTCATGCTGTTGACACTTTGGAATAGAGGGCTCCCAATGGGAGAGAATGGGGAGACTGAGCCACCAAAACTCTGAACAAGAGAGTTTGAGATGGGGCTTCCTCGGCCTTCCAGAGGGGAGGCAGGATAGCTGGCTCTGCTTCCCACAGAACCCGCAATGGATGGCGTTCGCGAATATCGCGGTGGGGTGCTGAACTTTGCGTCAGGTGTAGGTGGGATGACTGACGGATCGAGACCCAGCAATTTTCGTTGGGTAGCCGTCAACGGGATATCGGAAAGCTCGTCTTTGGGCCGAATGAGCGGCAGACATGCCATGCCAATCTGGATGAAGGGGAGGAGCTGGGCAAGAAACCACGCCCAGCCGAGGTATAATCGGAATGGCTTGGGCAACCTAAATCGTTGATTTAGTATTAGAAACACTCAAGCATATGCTAGAATCCCAGCCGTCGTCGTCCTTGCTTCTCTTACATTTGCGCGTCTAGTTTGAACTTGGCTAGTAGCTGTAGGGACCACATAGCCAGCAGGGCGACAATGTTGTAGGCAATCCGCCGTACATTCTTCTCCGAGAAGTTGGTAGCATCGCGACGTCTTGTGATTTCGTCGAGTCGAGGGTGCCTCCACGTGCCAGGGCTGTCGGTTGCTGTGGCTGGCGTAATCTGCTTCACGGGCGTGGTCGCCCCGGCCAGACTCGACATTCTGAGGAATTGCGAGCCCAAAGGACACAGCGAAACGATGCGTGGGGGATTCAACGGTAAACGGTCGGCGGTGAAACAGTACGGATGTGTCTTTTCAGTTTCCTGAGGCGGCGTTGGTAAGCTGGGCCAATCTCGTGAGGCTAGGCGCAAACAAGGGCAGAAGAAAAAAAATCAGAGCGACGGATGGGAGACGTGTTGAACATACAAAGACCCTTGCGGGCTGCCGAAGAGAGGCTGAGCCTCGCGCAGATTCACTGGATTTGTTAGTACAGGTCGGGGAGGGGAGGGGACAGTGGCCAGGGCGGCCTTGAGCTTGTGATGCCCTGGGTTGTGTTGTTTATGTTTGCATAGCACGTCGTGAGAGCAACTGGGAAGTTTGACCAGGGGTGGTAGATACAGGTGCACCAGCAGCGTTAGGCGCGCGGGCCCGCATATTTACAAGGGCTCTTCAGTGGCTGTCCGGCTGCAGTCAAGGCCCATCAAAATTCCTTTAGCGGCATCGCCCAGCGCGCCTCTCGCTGAAGCTCGGAGTTGGAGGGCACTGACGATAGTACCTTGGCAGGCAGATGGAGAGGACGGCCGGTACCTGGCTGCAAGGTACTGCGGCGGCGGAAATACAGGCACGTCGGTACTTGTGCGCACGCCGCGACAAAGTACCCGGCGACGCTCAAAACCCGCAGCTAGGGCGAGGCAAGGTCATCGCAGGGCGAATTGGCTTTTGCTGCTAGCCTTATTAGCAATGCGCGTACGTGCGCCTCGTGCTTGACCTCAGCTTTTCTTGCCCGCGAGAATGTGCCGGTGACTTGTCCCCATTTCCCAGTCTCGTGTGGAAACTCGCATTGTCATCAATTCTCTTCCCGCATCACCCTCGCCGCATCCCCATCCATCAGCGGCCTGGCCACGACCTCGCCATCACCATCGCATCGCCATCGGCACCAGCGTCTGCTTGGCTTGGTACAAGTCCGAATTCCCCTGGCGCCAGAATATATTAGATGATGCGCCGTTGATTTCCACTATCCACCACAAGACGAGCGTCGACACACTCTGGTTTCTCCCTCTCAGCAAATCCCAACTTCAGCGTCACCACCACGCAGTGCTCGCGCCATGGCTGCCTCGCCAAGCTCAGTGGACGCCGCGTCAGATGTAGAGCACCCGAGCTCTCCTGCTCCAGAAAGCAAATCGTTCGCTTCGCGCCCCGAAGTCGACGATGAAGACACCATCATTGCCACCCCTTCCGAGGCCGCTGAGAAGCCCGCTAGGAGCAAGGGTAAAGGAAAGGACAAGGACAAGGACAAGGACGCGCAGCCGCAGATTGGCAAGATTAGGCATCTGAAGAAGGAGGATGGAGAGCCTCTTTGGCGCAAGGATATCCAGTATGACTTCTTAAGGGCCGTCTTCGACAACGAACAAAAGGTCTTCACCAACTCGTACGACTCCGAACTGGAAAAACAGTGCTTTGCCGACTTGTACATCGACACAATGGCTCGCAGTTCCAAGACGAGCAAAGTGCTGAGGGACAAGTTGATGAATGACCGAGAAGCCGCCAAGGGCATGGCAATGGTCTGTTTGCTGGTCAACATGGGCCGCATGAACACGACTCTCAACTGTGAGCATCTACCCATCTTCATCCACACATCTACGCATCCATCTGTTGAGTTCAGTCACATGTCATGAGCGCCTTGACAAGCTAACCTGCGAATAGTCTTTCCTGAAATGCGAGCGCAGCTGCGGACATACCACGCCATTCCTTCTCTCCAGGCACAGCAAGATCCTCACGCCTACAAACAGCTGCAGGACGCCCCGCGTCTCAAGTCCATCCTCAAGGGTGGCGCGGAAGACCGGGACGAGCCGAATTCCCTTGACAAGATCAAGCAGCAAGCGATCCCTCGCACAAACCCAGTCAATCTCATCTTTGTAATGTGTAACTCGGCGCAAAAAGTCGCAGAGCTGCACTTTCCACTCCATCGCGAGTTTCACGATGTCATCATGAAAACTCAATACACTAGCATGTCGAGAGCAAAGGCCTTTCTGTGGCTAATGTGGTTCTATCTCGAGTCTGATTTTACGGAGGAGGGATGCGAGGAGAATCCTTTCGGCCCCGGTGTAGACTACGGCCTCGACGTCGCCAACCAAGGTGTCCCTAAGCTCGAAGAGATGACCGAGGAGCAGGAAGCCGCGGAGAATGTTGATCCAGCTGTCGAGATTGAATTTGGCCATGAGAAACAGAAAATCCGTGCCACAATCTTGGAGATGGATCATCAGTTCCTGACGGAGCGAGAGAAGCGCGGCAAAGCTCGGCCATCAATGGCAGACGACGGCCCTGCGATTCTGCCGCGAATCAGGCCCTCCAAACACGAATCTGACATTGAGAGCACGCGATCAACACCACCCCCGAGAGTACTAGCCCGGAATATCGCCGTTATGAATGGACGTAGAACGGTTCCTCTCAAGTATCAGATTTTCGAGGGTTCCTCGCCTGCTCGGCACGGAAACGAGAGTGGTGTTGTCGCCAGAAAGCCTCGTCCACCAACAGCCCATCAACTTGCTGTTGAGCGAAATCGAAGCCAAAGGGTCGAGTACATACTAGACCGTGGCCTCCGAAAACACCATCATAAAAGCAGAAAGGTCAGGCGCCAAGAGGGTGCCATTGTGAGAACGTACCGCCGCTTGAAGGCTCAAGCTGATCCTTTCGAGGACAGTGATGGCGAGGGCCATACTCCACGCAACTTGGCTGTCAATGGTGATAAGGGCAACAATGTCTTCCGAGAAAGGGGAATCGGCGGTCTCTGCCTCTTGGCCACCGATAAGGATGACTATGGCGAGGAGGTGAGCTCATATGCCGCCGCCATTCGACGATCAACGCGCCGTCTCGCTCGTTGGCGAGGACACGAAGATGAGCTTGGCGTTATTGCCGCAGTCAAGAAGCCCAAGCCAGCTACAGCCAACGAGAATGCCCACGGTGAGATTGTGGTTGATGCCCCAGACCTCGCCGCCGAAGGTTCTGATGTCAGGGTCAACGGCAATGCATCCAGGGCCAATGACAAGGACGCAAATGGCGACGCTGCCACACTAGATGATGTGGACATGGAGGATGTCGACAACGCGGCGCTTGCGGATGAAGACATTGATGACCCGGATAAGACAGAGGTCATGGTGGACTCGGAGGGGGAGTAGTTGGGCGTGGACGCGGGTTTCGCGCAGGACTATTGATTCTCAAACTAGGAGGAAATCAAAAGGGAACTACACATCGGAAATGTTTTTGCTACACAATGAGGAAACTTGTACACAAAGGATACGGCTGGGAGAGATTTAGATTTTCCGGAGGCGTCGAGGCGTTTGACTGAGAGCCTGCACCAGTGCTCCGTAATGACACAAACTGTTACTGTTATAATTAAATGCAGATTTAAAAAACCTGCTACGGACTTTATTATGAACAAATCAACCAAACTACAAAATCCAATGAGGTTGGTCACCACAATGTTAGACGTTGTCATGATGCGATTACATACTCGGATCTGGCACAACGCACGAGTACGAATACGAAGCTGCATTTCGGGGAGGCCCTCTCCACCAAAAATGGACGGCCTCATCCGGATCGCCGTGATCCGGCCGAGCGGTGGGGTGCGGCAGAACGAGGGCGCGAGTCCTCGGGTACCGAGAATGCTCAATCAAGTCAAATCCCCAACAGTTGCGAGCTGATTGGGTTTCTTTATTAATAGAGCAGATTGAATTGGCTCAGAGCTGTGTGTTGCTCGACGTATCCCGAGCAGCTTTGGGAAGAAATTGGGCTCTTGTTTGGCGGTCTTTTTTTTGGTTATCGCCGGCCGTGTGCTTACTTGGCTAAATTGGGCCCAATCGCCGAAGTGGTTCGTCCTCTCATCTCGCTCTTCTTCTTAGTTTCCCAGCTTTGTTTTCTTTCTTTCTTTTTCTCAAATTCATCGCCATATATATATTTATTCCTTTTCAGGTTTAATTGAAGCAAGCCATGCCTCGAAACGAACCCTCGCCGCCCGGCATCAGCCGCCTGCTTGCCATCCTGGGCCTTCTCACTGCGCTGCTGGCATCGGTGGTATACGTGCTCGACCAGGATCTGGAGCGCTTCTACGTCTTCGACACGGATCACTTGCACGATCTTGCGCAGAGGGGAGTGGCCGAGCATGGCAACAACACGAGGGGGATCGTCAAGTACATTGTGGACGAGCTGAACGAGAAGGTGCCGGGATATGTCAACCTGGAGGAGGACTGGGTGTTTAACAACGCTGGCGGGGCCATGGGAGCCATGTATATCATCCATGCCAGCGTGACGGAGTATCTCATCATTTTCGGTGCGTAGCAAAACCAGAACAAACAACACCACCCCCTCGTCCAACGACGGGAAAAAAAAAAAAAGCAAACTGACACAAAGACAAAACTTCCAGGCACGGCCATCGGCACAGAGGGCCACACCGGCCGCCACACCGCCGACGACTACTTCCACATCCTGTCCGGCACGCAGGTCGCCTACGTGCCGGGCGAGTACGAGCCCGAGGTGTATCCCGCCGGCAGCGTGCACCACCTGCGCCGCGGCGACGCCAAGCAGTACAAGATGCCCGAGGGCTGCTTCGCGCTCGAGTACGCCCGCGGCTGGATCCCGCCCATGCTCTTCTTCGGCTTCGCCGACGGCCTGACCAGCACCCTCGACTTCCCGACCCTCTGGAAGACGACGTACATCACCGGCCAGCAGATGATTAACAATCTGCTCAAGGGCAAGCTTTGAGAGGCCCCCCCGGGGCGTCGTGTGTGTGTGTATGTGTGGCCTGGGCGAAATTGGGGTTTATGATAGAACTCGGTTTTTAAAAAAGGAGCAAGGCAGGCAATCATGTTGGAATCATGCGTTATGAATGTATGCAATAGAAAGTGAAAACAATAGTTCGGGACACAATCCTCGTAACTACTAGGTACCCAGTGGCCAAGTACATAATGTACGGATATAAGGCGAATACAAACCGCAAATCACAACCGAGAGGAAAGGCTAGTCTCATCGTGTCGCTCAAACTGCCCTGTACCACCCAGTTAGCCAGCAATTTGAGACAAAAAGGCCATTGAAAATCCCCCTTGCTCTCCCTTGTGAATCAAACAGGCTCTATACGGCCAACCCCCTATTCTCTCCCTATCCTGATACCTCCAGCAAAAGTGTCCCAACGAAATCACCAGTCACACTCAAGTGAAATGAAATGCACAGGGGTAGTGAAGTGCTTATAGCGAGTTCATATAACTATATACTACTGTGAAGAGGAGAGAAATAGTACGCTCCCAACAATAGATAGCCCCCTTTATCCACCAAGTCCAAGACGCGCGCCCTCGTCACATTTGTTTTATATTTTTTGGTCTCCGCCCTGCCACCAACGCCACGCCAATGTGCAGTTGTGCTAAGAGGAAGAAAATAGTCACCCATGTAAAAACTCCCCATCATCCATAGTCCAAGCGCTTTTTTTCTCGTATGAGTTGTGTGTGAAAAGATCGGTGTCAATCGTAAAAGTGGCCCATTTTCAAGCAGTAGACAGAGACCTACGCCGTTTTGGGGGGGCAAAAGAAGAAGAAAGAAACAAAGAGACCTCGGAGAAAAAAATGGTAACCAAATAAGAAAAGTAATGAAACAGTGCTCCAGATACACCATTCGACTCATTCCGTAGCTCCAATTCCATGTCGATATAAACGCCAAGGCTTGCAAAATACAATAGTCGCCCATCCAATGACGACGCAACCTGCTTAAAAACCAGCCTCCTTAGGCGAGCCAGCTTTCTTCAGCTCGCTTAAGACCACGCATGACAAGTCCGTCTTCGTCATCATCGTCGGAGGATTCTTCCTCTACATCATCCTGGATTCTCATATTCTCCACAGAAGTCGTTGTGGCTTGCATTCGAGCCTCATGGCCGTCATCCTCCTCCTCAAACATCCACGTTAAGCCGTTGGCTTCTTCTTCTAGTGGGAACATCTCTCTTGCGTACTCTTCCAGTCCTCGAGGGCCCTCCCACAGCTCCAGCGCTTCCCGTGGGCAGCTGGCTTCCAGTTTTGGGTCACCAAAGTAGGGCGGTTGCTTTGCGGGGTCCTTTTCGTTGGGATCAAAAAGCTTCTCCAGCGCTTCCAGCTGTTGTCGATAGCCTGTGGGTATGCGGACTTTGATCTCGATGGGTCCTCGTATATAGCGGACAGGACGGCCGACTCCGCGAGCAAAGACCTTGCAAGCCTCCACCGGAGTCAGGTATTCGTACGCCAAAGCGATGCGCTCCCCTTGCCACTTGGATATGCCGTCCTTGAAAAGTTGTATAATAGCAGGCCCAACATCATGTTCGGCGTCTAGCCAGGGAAGCTTGGCGTCTTCGTGGAATGGAGCCTGCCAGGTGAAAGAGCCATCCGGCTGCAGCTCCATGCAGAACAAGGGGTAAAGCAGCGAGGTGAAGTTGTTGTTGTAGATTCCGGTGTAGACAAAGGTGGCGGGCAGGCCCAGTTGCCTCACATACTGTTCAACCTTGTGCTTGGCGGCCCATAGAGGCAGCGACGGCCACCCGCTGTGGTATGCTGCGTGGTCGGGCATGGAGGAGTAGATGTAGTGCTGGATGTTGGCCTTCTTGGCTGCATCGGCCAGAGCCTTGCCGATCTGCAGTTCATCTCCGTAAAAGGTGGTGTTGATAAAGGCAAGCTGTGCGCCGCGGAACAGAGTGTCGATTAGGTCGTGGTTGACGCCGACACCGGGCATGGGGCCATTCTGGGTTACATCCTTGTTCTCCTTGGTCGGCTGGTGTCTTGTATAGAGCTCGCCAACAATGACGGTGACGTTGGGATTGGTGGACACTTCGGTAGCGACGACTCCCTCGAGATTCCTCAGCTGTGCACGAACATGGTAGCCAACGGCAGTTGCTACGCGGATCAGCGACGCAGCTTGGCGGCCGCTAGCGTTTATAACGGCAATGGTCTTTGGGGTAGACATGAACCTCTTGGGCGGGCGGAAGGTCAGAGAATTGTTCCTCGAGTTGGCAAGAGGAGAAGACTCCGAGTAGGAGGACCGAGAGTGCTTATGTTGCTTGTGGAAGCCGTTTGTCTGGTCGGTCGCGATATGGATGGGAAGGGCGCCCGTGACGGACCCGTTGAGTTGTGCCGGCATGGCTCCGTCGCCTTGTCGCTGGGTGTTGAGGCCGAAGCCGATTGGAGTTGGTCGCCGAGACAGGGAGATGATTGCTCCGACGCAGGCTGTGTATTTATTCGACAGGCGAGGCCACCGTTATCCGGACGCGCCAGCCCGCCTGTAAAACAGAGGCAGTTCGCCCTGGTTGCGGATTTGATGGTGGGGGATGAAGAGGTAGCAGTAGGGCTTGTATCTCAGCTCATGGATCGAAGCGGATAGTCAGTACGTAAGAGCGAGGTGTGACGGTGGATCGTGGCCGTGGGCCGTGGGCCGTTTGAACGGGTGAGCGTGGGAGGACAAGCAGCGAGCACGGTATTACTTGTACTTGCAGCAGCAGCAACGGGACGAGAGGCCAATGCCGGCGGCTGGACGCGGCGTACACACAGCAAGTGGTGATGCGATGCTACAGTATGTATGTAGGATCCCACGAGGGCAGCTTGGCGAGTCTCGGGGCAGAACCTGTCGGGTCTGGGCCGGTAGCACACAACTCTCTCCTACTCTGGCCTGGGGGGACAAGCTGCGGATGATCGAGAGAGCGGTGGGCGAATGAGTAACAAGAGGCGGAAATGGGTGGTACAATTGGTCGCAGGGGCCGAGCCGGGATTGCCTATGATATAACGAGACAAAAGGGGGCCGAGACGCTGTTGCGCATGCAATGCCGTCGCAAGGAGAGCATTCGCCGTGTAAAAGACCAGCGAGGCGAGGCGACGGGATACGCCCTCTGGATATAGAGGGGTTCTTTTTTTTTTCCCCGATAAGAACAACGGCTGTGGTCGATTTAGCTCGCGCGAATTGGGAGACTAGCTTGGAGAGAAGAAAAGATTGGGGTTAGTTGGAGTGGCTCGCCACGCCAAGGCTTGCGAGGACTACAGCAATTTCTTACTTAAATGGCGGCCGCGCGCTGAAACCAGTCAGATGGCTGGCTGCTATGGGTGGCAGGGCGATAAGGGATGCGGAGGGGGGTTTGTGTTGGGATAATTGGCTTCAAGATGGAGGGAGGGGGGGAGGGAGGAATCTTGATGGTGCTTGTAATCAGGCAAATAGACCACCTCACTTGCTGTACCTGATGAATTCACCGAGTTCTTGTCGGTCGGTATAGAATCCGTATTCCCCCATGTCCTATACGTAGGCAGTTTACTTGAGGCTTATCCAAAGACAAAAAGACATGACGAAGAGACAAATATAGGTAGATAGCAATTACGCAGTCATATTAGTGTATCTGCATCTGACCTCCTACAAGTAAATCCCGAGTGAAGTCAACGGCGATGCAGAATGACGGCACCCTTGCCTCGCCCATGCCTCGCCCAGAGCAGCAGGAGCGAATGTCGGAGGCAATGGGTACAGGTACCTACATGCTACGGATGCAAGTACCGCTTGGACCCCAAAATGTCCAAGATGGGAGGCTCGCGGCGGTAGTACCAGGTACGAGAACTTTTGCACGGCGCACCAGTACCGACGGGGCCAGCATCTACAGCACTGTACAGGTATTGCTGCAAGGTCCTCGATACGGACATGCGCTGCAAAGCTTGGGTTGGTGGTGCCTGGTAGGTGTACGTAGTAGTACTTTGGTCTTGGTTGGTTCTTGGTACTAAAAGCAACTGTACTGTAAGGCGGCTTGTGAAAATTGGGGGGCAGAACGAGCCCTAGTCCCAGTAGCCATTCCCCATGGTTAACGACGGCAAGACGAGAAAAGAAGCAACACAGAAGAAAAAAAAAAAAAAAAAAAAAAGTCGGAGACCCTCCACCATCATCGACAGGAACGGAGCACTTGTAAGCGTGCAAAGTACCAGGTACATAGACTACCGACCTTTTTTTGAGTTGGCTAGCCCCGATCTCCGTCATCATGGATCCCTGTCTGGAGTACCGTGCACAAGCGGGCGACATCTGATTAGATTCGTGCCGGCGAGACAACTGCTACGTAACATGGTACCTGTTTACCTGTATGAGTGCTAGGCCTGTGTTAGTCTTTTGGCCAGTCAGACGCGCCGATATGGCCCGCGACTGGCCTGATTGCTGCAAAGCCTCGAGCAAAGTCGATCCATACACGTGCTGATGACCTGACCGGAACAAGAAGAGAGTCAATGCCGTCCGTTCGCATCAGGTCAGTCAACGGTCCAATCGGGCCAAAGGTGCGCTCAACGCTGGACGCTGGATGCTGTGTCCTCACCACTTGCAACTTGCGTCAAGATGTAGTCTGGGGCCGGCCAATCGGGCGGCGTCGCTAAATGAAATCGCCTCTGGGATGTTTCTTGTTTTGTGTCTTGGCTCGATGCAACTCCGCGGATGAGGCGCAAGGGCTTGCTGGACATGCCGTTTATCTGTATTACTACATGCCATTAGATAGTGCTGGCAGTACCACCAATGGGCATGGACAGCGCTAACGGCAGCCAAAATGCTACACAAGATCACAGCCAGAGAGTCTAGGGAGCACAGGTACCGTCTACGGAGTACGGAGCACTAGGGGCTGCTATCCTGCTGTACTCGTACCAGTACACGTACACTGTGGCAGCGGAAGAAAGGCGCAACCAGGTCAGCAGACGACGTCTGGAAAGGCACAGGACGGCTAGCGGTCTCTCCGGATTCCATCCATTACTCGTACTGTACCAGGTACCTTGGAGGCAACAGAGGCGAGGCCCAGTATTACAAGTCCCGACAGAAATACCTACCTACATGACCTGCCGTTACCGAACACAGGTACTCCATATACTCCATATACTCCATCCAGACAGGCCTCATCAGCCTAATGATACTGCACTCCTGAGCAACGTGTGCCAATATGGAGATACCTAAAGTCCCTACATATGCTGCTAAAGAAAGCTATGGAGCAGTTCCAGCGCCGGGGCTACCCAGAATGGCTGACCCGGCCTTGTCACGCGCTCACTGCGGTCCAGAAGCCGTGGCACATGGTGCTCGGTACTCCGTGCAGCGGCTCTCGACGCAGTACGGTGCGCGCTGCCTGATTTGCACTTTTGCGGCAGCTTATACGGAGCAGACGCCGGATAATGCTGAGACAATACTGGTGATGGATTGCGGCATCGGACCAAAAGTTTGTCCAAGTTACCGCTACTGCTATAGTAAGACTCGAGGTGTAGGTACGTGGTAAGGTACTTTGATGTATCCGGTACAATGCCGTCTGTGTTTGCGGCTCAGAGATAACAAAAAGGCTATCTCACGTATCTTATCGGGCCATTGGCTCTAGGAAGGAACGGGGTAGGATCTTCAAACTCGACTCAGGTCGCAGGCAAAAAGAACCTTTGGAAGGGAAGGCAGAGAAAGAAAAAATTCTTCTCGGCCACAGTGCCATCTCTTCCTTCGTATTCCCCATACCAAACTTCACTAAGCAATACGACCACTAGGTAACTGCTCCCGCCTTTCCGGCGTTCGGCCTATTTGCATTAGCTTTTGTTAATTCTTCCCACGTTTCCACGTTCCAGGTTCAACGAGGATAACCCCAGGGCCAAGAGCGGATACACGCAAAGAGGCAGCGCCCCTGCAGCGGCAAAGGAGAGGTTGAGATTAGGTAAATTTTTGCCCCGGTTCTCCAGTCAGATGATTTCGTTAACCTCATTCCATTGCTCATATCCTCAATTGCTTCAAGATCGCCTTGTTACTGTTGGTCCATGCCTTGAAATTTTTTTCTTGTTGCCGGCCTGGACCGTCATCGATCGATCCAGAGCCCGGGTCACCAGACCTGTGATGATTTTTTTCATAATAATTTTCCATTTTTCTGTCTACCGGACACTCTCCTTGCCTCCCACTCACTCCCTTCCTTCCAATTTCTCTGTGCCCTCAAGGTGCTACAGCTCCATAATGTGATGGGATGGCCATGGCTTGAGCTTGTCAACGTATACCTAGATTGGTACTAGCAGCCTGGACAGCCTGGATGTGCAACAATTTACGCAGCCAATCCAATGCGACATCTTTACCTCTGCATTCGCTTCTTGTCTTTTCATTCGTCGTTCGTCATTGGTTGTGGGTGGCTGCGGTGCCTCGTCGAGAGATGCTGTGTTCCGACATGCCGCAGTGCGCCGTTGATGCGGCTTCCCCATGCTATTACACCAACCGGCTTCCCGCCACTATCGCTGGTCTTCTTTTTTCTTCTTTTCCTTTTAGCGCTGGGTCTGATGGCGCCTCCATGCGGATGGGAAAGCTGGTGACAGGGTTGTGATTTCACTGGTCCCAGACAGTGTCCGTAAACCCAAGAACCGCTCATCTAGCCGACGGTCAACTCCCTACGTGATACTCTTCCTCGTCTCTTCCCCCCGCTCATGCAGGCCATTGTGAATAGCATTGCCCCCATTTATTGGCTAGCTCATTTTCCTGTCCTCGTGAGCTTCGTTGGCGCCGTCTGGCGCAGAGACAGCAAACACTACACTCTAGGGGGTACAGGACACGGTAAGCTTCAGCTCCTCCGCAACTCACGGAATGCGACAAGGCACACAACCACGCCCGATCCATCGAGCTCAAGCGAGCGTCTCAAACGTGGAGGAGGCACTTGTACGCAGTACCTGTGCTTACACGATGAGGAAACGAGGGGTGTGTTGCCCGCGACTCGGCCTATATCATGCATTAGCTCGCGTGCCCTTCAAATTTCATTGCACTTCGGTCCCTATCGCGGTGAAATTATTGCCTGTACAGCAAAGTAGCAATACTCCGGACAGGATGGACAGCCGTTGTCACCCCGCGCCCTGTTGGCGTTTGCTCCCGGGAGCCTAACATGGCTCGTCTCTGGAGGACAAAGCCCCCTGCGACGAGCCGAAAGCCGGGGAGCTTGGAATGCTGTAGTACTCTTTGTTGCTCGCTACAAACGCTCGTTGCTTATCATCCAGTTACGCGGCTTTCAAACACAATTGTTTTTTTAAACCCTCAAACCGGCTCATCCAAGCCACTCCCATCCGTCAGACTTTCCCCTCTTGGTCGAATGGCACGGTGCTATCAACGGTTATTTGAAAAAAGCCCTCCAACTCTTATTGGCGTAGCATCCCAAGTGGCATTTCCCGGTTTGTACTATCATAATGGATGGCCAACCTGTGGGGAAATCGGCACATTCAACTGCATATTTGGCCGCATGAGTTGTATTCGCATCCTTCCTTCACGGTCCATATTGGTCAAACTACAATGCATAGTGAGGCGTAGTTGGGGAGGAATCTCGATGGAGAAGTTACGACGAGTGTTGTGCTGGTTCATTATCAGGGACATGTGACTCTGATTGGACTTGGCGTCGAGAGGGCGTCAAGTTAATTGTCGATTTATTACTCATTTCAGTCAACGCAACACCCCTGTTGGGAAAGAAATGTAACAAGCAGCGCGTTGGCCCATTGCAATGGCTAATGTATCATTATTCGTATTCTCTTATCTCTGCAATGCTCAACTCATTGGCCATTAGTTTCAGGGGCCATATTCCAAAGATCAGCATTCATCATGTCCACATCATCCAACGGCATTCTCTCCATCCACGACTGAGCCGTGCTAGATCCCGACCCATCCGTCACATTCTGGGCCAGGGAAGCATCTAGATGTCTCTGATTTCAATGGTTAGCTTTTTGTCGGACTGGACATGCTTCGTCCAAATGAGGGTTGCTTAAGGAGAGCAGGCTTACCCAATCTACATTATCCACAGATAACATCCAAGACATGTCGAACTGGTTAATGTTGTTGGCTATTGGCGCAGTGGCGTTGCTACGGCCAGGTATAGCTCCCGCATCAGCTGTAGTGGTGGCTACCTGGCCCTGGGAGAATGGCGTTGGTCCGGAGCTCGAGCCAGAATCTGCAGCTTTTTAGTAAACGAAAAAAGATTTGCTAGAGGCATACTGGAATGAAGACAGACCTTCGAAACCGCTGTTGGGATAGTCAGATGCATAGCCAACGGCATCGAGAGACACTACATTGCTGGATACTGATCGACTTGAGTCCCTACCGGACAGAGGGTATTGCGTGCTGGAGGAAGCAGGCGAGCTTCGTTCAACTGGATGCCCGAGTTTAGCAAGCATCACAGCCAGTGTATCGGCCGTCTTCCTTAGATCCGTCAACTTGTTGAATACTCGACAGCTAATATCATGTGATCGCCTGATCATGGCAATCAGCTGCTCCTTGGTCGGCGCCTCCCTTTGTCTGCCCGCCGTGCCGAAGCCGGTGCCATCTTCGGAATAGTTGTCGTTTTGGATGATGAGATATAGAATCATGGCGGCGAGCATGAAGTCGTGTACGGCAAGCGAGGTCATAAACCAACCCGAGCGGCCCAGGACACTTCCGGGCTGACACCCTACCCAAGAAGCATATTGAAAGTCCAGTAGCGTTGTAGCGGCATCCAGGCACTGATTCCGCGAGTAGTCGTGTTCAGGCTTTGGATCTGTCTCTGCCAGATAGCGGCGATGGAGAACACAGCGGCTCTTGTGATATAGAGAGGCAATTCCGTATCGTTGGATGATCTGGTGGGGCTCCTCGCCGACGCACTCTTCCAGCGGCTTCACATACATAAACGACGGGATGCTGCTCCAAGTCTCAGTCAACAGGTTATCCAGCTTCAGCACATCGCTGTAGCTCGGCGGCGTTAGTGAATGGGCCTGCTGGGCAACTTTCCCAAACACCCGAAGTAGCCTGGATTTGTGGATAGCGTAAGTCATAAACGTGTAAACATTCTCCGGCCGGGGCTGCGGCAGCTCCTTGCATTTTTCGTCAAAGTCGTCGTCTTCCAGGTTACGCGGCAGCTCTGTGTCTGTTTCGATTCCGCTGAGCATGCTTGGTAGACCCATGTGAAAAGAGACGAGGACGTCGATCTGGGCAGCCATGTTCCACTGTCTGCGCCTCATCTCGCCTTCGAAAGGGGAAATGTTGGCCAGGTGAGAAGGATCCCTATGGAATCCCATCTTGAGCATCAACCGCACACAGACGCCCGATAAGATGTAACAATTCATCTGTGCCGCTCGGTTGAGAATGAAGTCGGCTTCGACATAGAGTATAAACGCCGGGATCGTTTCAGACGTCGGCTGAGCGTATTTGCCCCATATCAGCGCCCATCCTGCACATGAGCGGTACTGCTTGATTCTGTCCTTGACTGATATCGGAGAGTCACTCTCAACCTCATCGGGGGCGGAAAAGTTATTGAAAAACACGCCCAGGGCGAGCACCATGAAAAGCAGGGCCACCCAATGCAGTGAGGCTTCGCTGGGGTTTTGCCAAAATTGTACATACTTGATGGCATCTTTGTTAGAATCGGAGTTATATTTTAAGCTGGGGCGGGGGGCTTCTCCATCAACTTACCGCTCTTGTGAATGTCGGACGGTGAACAATGTCTGTATCTCACGAGTCAGCTCCCTCCCCCTATAACACAAATATTCTCATACACTTGACAACTCGAGAGGTGTTGAAGGCGTGTACTGACGCTGAGATGGGCTTTTAGATGAAAAATATCGCGTAACTAGCCTGTCCGCTACATGTCTCTCGGGCAGCTGGGCAAGAAGCTCCTCACGGTTGGTCGGCGCTCCTCGAGAGTACAGAAGCATCTCCGGCCCTTCCAGCTCGTCGCCTGGCAATAAGTCGTCGTCCGAGTCACCGGGATCGTCAAAGTAGGCCTTGATGTCTTCAATCTGCACCGCCGGTTAGCTTCGGAATTTCCGCGTATATAACCATCGCTACCATCGCCTCTCATCACTTACATCTTCAAGCATCGCCAAACAATGAGTGGCGCCCACATACGTCGTCGCACGATCTCCGTGAACCACTTTTCCCTTCAACTGCGGCGCGGCGCTCTCACCCGCCGCCTGAGACAGAGGCTTGAGATTCCCCTCATCGTCCATCATGCCTCGCACCATTCCCTCGAGTCTCTTCAGCCGCGCCGCCATGCCCTTGGCCGCCGGCCTCTTCTTCTCCGGCTTTGGCGCATAGACGCACAAGTCCAGGCGGCCCTTCTTCGCGCACTGTCCGCACGGCTGCTCACGGTCACACTTGAGCTTCGAGTTCCGACATGGCGCGCACGAGAGGAGAACCCGCGTGCGCTTCTTTACAAGAGATGCTGAGCTCCCCGAGTTCAATCCCAAATCCATTTCGTAATCACGCTCGACGAGTTTAACCTGCGCGCTGGTCCTCAGCCTTGTGGTGGCCTTTTTGTAATTCAAATGGTGGCGATGATGTTATCCGCGCTGACAAGCCGAAAAGCTCTCCTCTGGAAGTTTGGCACGCCACAACAATTCCCTATATATGCTTAACCCAACTAGCTGCGCACTAGAGTTGCAACGGCTGACAGTTATGAAGTTTATTAACAGCGTCGTAGTCGCTTTAGAGTCTAGAATGTTCAACTACGGACTTTCTGACGACAAGGCTGATGCTCTGTAGTATTACCTAAGCGGAAGTGTAGTGGGATGGTTCGGACTTGCGCTAAACTCCAGTCGCGAGTTGTGCAATCGTTCAACGTAAAACCGAGAATAAAAGGTTGAAGAAACAAGTAAATAAATCAAGGCTTTAACCCATAATCCCGTCATGTAGGCAGCGCTCCCGGAAGCCTCTCTATTACATATTTGCCCCTCGCGACACTCATGATCGGAACACCAGGAATCTTTCGTAGTCTCTGCTTCAGAGCCTTGTCGTTGGTGCCCACGATATATATCCGATCCTTCGTCACCCGATCCACGATACAGTCGTCTGCATACGTGCCCTTGTGATCGCACTGTATCCGCTGCCACCTCTCGTCTCTGGCAATCTTCAATGCCAATCTGTATTTTGTTCCCAGTTTCTCGAGCTCGGCCATGACGCATGAGGTGATGATGGGGTTGCACTTTGCGTAGAGGCAGTCCATCATGGATTCCAGCAGCGACAGCTTCCTCTGGACGGTATGACTGAGGAAATTTGTATCGACGAGGACGCTATACGGCGGCTTGAGATTGTCATTGTGGGCAAAGTACATGCCGCTCGGCATCTGGGAAACTTCTTTGACGAGCTCGCCTCCAACCGTCCTCCTGGCCTCCTTCTCCTTCTGTTTGAGCTCTTCTTTCAGTCGGTTCTCCTTGAGTCGGGTATCTTTCAGGCCAATGACTCGTTTGACCTGGGTTCAAGAGTCAGTATTTGCCTGAAATTCAACGAATATCATTTGGGAAAGAGGACGAACCTGTCCGAACTTTCTCGTCTTCTTTGCGACACCCATGATTGCGTCGTTGAAATCGCCCGACTAGAAGGATGATTGGCCTCTGCGATTTCTGATTTTTTGGAAGGTTTGTAGAATTCAATCCAAATTCGAGGGAATTCGTGACAATATGGGGGGGAGAGAGCTTGGTTGTGGACTGTTTGACCCTCCGTAAAGACAGTCGTGTGATGATATGACGACCAGCGTCCAAAAAAAAAAGTTGGATAGATAAGATTGCGATTGCTTTCTGCGCTATGGTGGCGGTTGTGCACGGACCACTTTTAGTCCTCCAAATACCTTTGTACTGCTGTAGGCAGTTTGGTTTCCACTAAAGCAGTGCCAGAGCTGCTAACTTAGCGATCTCGACGCGTCCTCCAGATCGCGTAAAGTGCTTTATTTCACCATCCCAAAATCCTCACGCAAAAATGCCCGCCGCAAAGCCAGAAGAAAAGGGCGAGTCCTCCAATGCCACATCAAAGGCAGTGCTTGCAGCTTCCTCCAATGGATCGCCGAATTATGAGCTGCCATGGTATGTCGAAAATCTAGCCCCTCCAGGTGGGCAGTAGTGTCTTCCAAATCTGAAGTTATTAACGGTGTCGTTTCCAGGGTGGAAAAGTATCGCCCGGTGTTCTTGGACGATGTCGTCGGCAACACAGAGACTATTGAGCGGTTAAAGATTATAGCGAAGGAGGGAAACATGCCCCATGTCATTATATCGGGCATGCCCGGTATTGGAAAGACGACCAGTGTTCTCTGCCTCGCCCGCCAGTTACTGGGAGAATCATACAAAGAAGCCGTCCTGGAACTCAATGCCAGTGATGAACGAGGTATGACGGCCGTTTTGAATGCAGTACCGTCCAATTGGCCTCTGCTAACTTGTGTACGTAGGTATTGACGTCGTTCGTAACCGAATCAAGGGCTTTGCGCAGAAGAAAGTTACCTTGCCTGCTGGCAGACACAAGCTGGTTATTCTCGACGAAGCCGACAGCATGACCTCTGGTGCCCAGCAAGCTCTCCGGAGAACCATGGAGATTTACTCCAATACTACTAGATTTGCGTTTGCATGCAACCAGTCCAACAAGATTATCGAGCCGCTACAATCACGATGCGCAATCCTTCGATATGCCAAGTTGACGGATGAACAAGTCGTGAAGCGGCTGATGCAGATTATCGAGGCGGAAAAGGTCGAATACAGCGACGACGGCTTGGCCGCCTTGGTTTTCAGCGCAGAGGGAGATATGCGACAAGCCATCAACAACCTGCAGTCAACATGGGCTGGCTTCGGTTTCGTCTCTGGCGACAACGTCTTCAAGGTGGTCGATTCACCGCACCCGATCAAAGTGCAGGCCATGCTGAAGGCTTGCTACGAGGGGAACGTCGATTCAGCTCTGGACACCCTCCGGGAGCTGTGGGATAAGGGGTACTCCAGCCACGACATTATCAGCACAATGTTCAAGGTCACAAAGACGATGCCGACGCTTAGCGAGCATTCAAAGCTGGAATTCATCAAAGAGATTGGCTTCACACACATGAAGATTCTAGAAGGCGTTCAGACACTACTTCAGCTGTCTGGATGTGTCGCTCGTCTTTGCAAGCTCAATATGGACCCTAAGAGATTTAAACCACTGTCAAAATAGGATAGAAGATAATAGCATCATTAACGGAATACAGGTAGCGAATGTGCTTTTTTTTCTCTTCCTTCCCTGCTTCTTGGGCGTTGGAATCGGGGAGATGCTACCATACAATGTGAGGTATTTGGGTATCATCATATGATGCTATATACATGATCAAGCTTTTGATCTTGGCAAATCCGACGTGCTGAGGCCATCTCTCTCTCTCTTTATTTACCATTGTTCTGTGCAACTTCCTGCTCGTACCTATCCCACTTTGCCTTCTCTCTAAGCCACCTTCTCTGAGCTCTCACATGAGCTTCATACTGCCTCAAGCGTTGGTCTGCCCCGATCATGCCGCCGAGGACCATGGCCGACATTTGAACATAACTGTTGATTTGTGAGCTCGTGCGTTACCTAGCGGGTCAAGTTACCGATTTGGTATGCCTACACTTTGAACTGGACGGTGGTTTTGCGATAAACTGGTGACCAGAAGTAGGCGGCGCCCCCCAGGATTGCCGCTCCAACACCCCATTTGGCAGCTCCGATAAGTCCTCCCTTGCCGGCCTCCCATCCGGCATCTTGTGCCTCTTCGCTCTTCAGGGGATCGTGGGGGGAGACGACCATTTTTGGAGGTGAGATTGCAGTGTGGAACGAGGCAATTGAATGATGCGTTGAGGGTCAAAACTTAAGCTAAGGATGTTGTATGAAGAGGGGGGGCAGGACAGAATGGCAATCTTTAATATACCGGCAGCTACAGAGATGCAGATTCGCTTTGGGATGATGCCAAGTTCACATCGAAAACAGCTGCGTGAGATCTAGCAAAGCCGACCGCCCGAGAAATATTGTACGTCATTAATGTTAACGTAAAAAAAGGCTTCAGGGTAGCTGTTTTGTGAGCTTCCCCACATATCCATATTTCGTCGTACGAGAATTATAATCACAAAATTTTCAATGGATATGACAGATGGCAAGACTTTGGTTGGGTACGTATTACTCTCTTACATACTGTCGAGATGGAACATGTTTTGGTTCTGCTTGTTGTTTTGTATGTGTGCTAATAAACTCCAAAATGAAGACGTGCCACAGGTTAGAAAGCGCATTGAGGCTCTGGCCCAGTCCTCTCTCTACATGTGACAATAAGAGACGATTAAACTATCCGAAGTCTGCCACGCGGGGTACATTTTCCAACAATGGTTAGTATTATAATGATCTGATCTAGTAGGCAGAAGTGATATATGTCCAGGCAGGCAACTTAGAGCAGACGATGTAAATCAGCCTTACCATAGGCAATAACCATAGGCAATAACAGCACCCTGCACTTCAGAGCAAAGTTCTCCAGCACTCAATGCCATTTCACGCTCACGTGGGGAATCAACTATTACTAGACACCCAATTGAAAAATTTCCAGCACGCCCACTTGATACCGCGAACCGTCTCAATTTTTTTTCCATATTTTTTGCAGCTGTGGGGTACAAAGCTGCAGGTACGCAACCTTGTAAGCAGTATATGCATTTATGCGGTCCAGGTCAAGCTCTGATGACAAAAGCCCGAAGCGGAATCTTTTGGACACAATTTCTTTTTGTTCTACAGCAGCCAACAAAAGTTTGACGCGAGCAAACCCAGCAATGATTACGCTCCCGTTGTTGCCTGGTGCTGCCAAGTCTGTCCTTTGCTGTTCATAAGTTTCTCTAGCGCACTGGTGTTTTGCATATTCTTTCTTTTCACGTCCACACCTGAGGTTTTTCGCCCTTTGTCGAGCAAAGTTGCCCACAATGGCAGAGCTTTCTTTGGACGCATACTGGCGAGCGCCGCCCATTGCTAGGTAAGAATAGGACACCCTCCTCGATACACGCACCCGAGTGCAAATGCAAGAAGCACATGCTGACTCTGCTTGAACAGAACTGTTGCGACCATTACCTTTGGTCTGTCCTGCGCTGTACACATGGGAGTCCTTGCCGGGGATCTCTTCTACTATGACTTTCGTCTCCTACTGCGGATCCCTCCGCAAGTATGGCGTCTCGTAACATGCTTCTTGATCACATTCCCAAACCTGGGTATTCTATTTGACACTTTCCACATGTACATGTACATGAGTCAGCTGGAGAGAGGTCATCCGCGATTGTCTCGACGAGACGATTTCGTCTGGTACTTGATTTTCGTTAGCGGAACCATTCTGGTAGGTCTTTTAGCTCAATCTCTCATGTGCTTCCCATGTACCCTGATGAAAACCCCTCAAATATCTGCCCGGATAGTGCGATGCCTCTACTGCTATCACGGTTCCTGGAATTGAGGGAGATTACCCCTGCACTTCGAGTCGATCCACTCATTCGCATAAGGATCGGCTTGCGGTGTGGGCATGGTGGGATGTCGTAATGGATGGCTCGTGTGGTTACTATTCACTCGAGTGGTTTTATATGCTCCCTACATCTTTTTCCTCTTGATGACACTTGTGCCTGTTCCTTCTCCATCATCTTCACTTTGTATCATCCTGCTCGTGATTGAGGCTGACACCCCGGCTTCAGATACTCAGTCACCTGACAGGCTTCGGGTTTGGAATACTGACCCAGGCACTTCTCCTCGCCATGGCCTATACCGTAACTCAGGAGCAGCGAGGGCAGACAACGAACTACATGTTCATTAACATCCCGTCCCAGCTTGTGCCGTTCGCCATGATGGCGATCAACCTTTTCTTCCCCGGTGGTATTGGTATCGTATTGCTGCAGCTTCATGGACTGGCTGCGGCACACTTGTATCTGTTCCTGAGCAAGATCTGGCCAGAGGTTGGAGGCGGCCGAAACTGGATTGAGACTCCTGCCTTTATTAGTTCGCTGGTGAATGGGGTAGCACCAACGCCGCAGCGATCAGCTGCTGGAGTCAGAGCGCCTGATGTAGCATCTGCTCGAAGCAGTGGTGCGTCTCGCGGACCATTGCCAGACTCGTGGCGGACAAGAGGACCTGGGCACCGCCTAGGTTGATTCACATAGTAATAATACTTGTCGCCTTTTTATCTATTGAGAATACCAAGAGATGATGACCAAGTAATGATGATGCAAGTTGTTGCACCGTGCATAGAAATGTATTGCAACTACTGAAATGATGTGACGCAACGGCCAGCGCGGCTTCAGAATATAATAGTGAATACATGTTTTGGAATAGAGTATTTTATAGATTTCAACCATAACGCCTTGATAGATATCCCAGGGTATAAAAGATCGACGGCCATTTCCATATGGCTGAATACCTCGCGCAAACCCAACGCCGCTTAACAGATAAAGCCACCACACCAAACCCCGTAGCATCTTGAATAGCCATCCAAGAGTCTTACATCGCTGGGCCTCCCGTATATACGACAAAAAAGACAACAAAGGAAAAGAGAGGTTGTAAACGAGTGTGTGTGTGAGAGGTATATGTGTGAACAAAAGAAAATGTGGGATCTTCCCGTCCTCTCCTTTTCACATTCCGTACAAGACGCTCTTCCCACTAGCCAGAGGAACTTCTGTGTAGGCAGAGTACTTGTCGCTGGCTCTGGGAGTGGGTGGGCGATTGCGGTCGACAATGACGATTCCGGCGCCAAGTGGCCTGTCGATGAATCTCGGGTCGTTCAGGAGAGGAGGCGTGATGTGCAGCTGGCGGTCCGCAGAAGTTCTGACCATTGCCATGGGCTGCAGGATGAGACTTGGGGGAGCGTTTCTCTTGGGTATGTGGATTTTGGGTAGAGAGAGGGAGGAGAGTCTAGAGCTCCAGCGAGATGAAGATCTCAAGGTCGGCGAGGAGGTGGGCTCCGATGGAGATGGTAGTGCAGGCTGTCCTGAAGTAGGAGGTGACTGCAGAGCGGATTGCCGCGAGGCATCTTCCACGACCGACTTGTACGCTTGGATGATGAATGAGTCGGGCGTGCTTGGCCTGAGTTTGTGTGTTGGTCGGGGAGGTGATAGGGAGCGGGTAGAGCCAGCCCTGCTATCTTTCTTTGATACGGTGTTGGGATCGTAGGCGTGGTGAGCAGGCATGGCATTGTCAGGGCCATGAATGACAGATCTTGGATCGTGTGTGAGCTGGATGTGGCCATGGCGAGCAGCCTCTTCCATACGATTATAGTATTGGCCGTTGGTCTCGGAGGCGCCATCAGTCATGTGTGCAGCGCCCTGAAAGTCGGAAAGGTGATGAGGCTGGTTGCCGACATAGCCCCAAGGCTCAACCAAAGTTTTGGGAGAGACATATTCTTCCCTGTAATAGTAGCGTTGCTCGATATAAGGGGAGGGTCTCTGGCGAGCAAAGTAGATGATGAAGAGGACGGTGGCGAGTGCAAAGATGGAGATGACGCCGACGATGATGCCGATGGTGGCGGCTAGAGGAAGGCTTTGCGAAGAAGAGGAGTCTTGGCTGTCTCTTGGGGTGATTTCGAGAGCTTGGGTACACGTAGTCTGGGAGATGGCCAGAACCAACAAGGGCAGATGTATTGAGGAGATCATGTTGGGCTCTCTGTCATATATGACTGGAATAAGAGGGATGGATGGGCAAAGATTATATAAAAGTATAACAAGATGTCAAGTACTAGTGGTCTATCACCAAGACTGCCTCCTCAGTATAGAGTTGAATCAAATCCGCTGCAAGTATCACTCATCCCCTTTCGAGATGATGATACCAACAACAAGATTGATGTAGTTGAACTCATCAACCCTATCAAGACAGGCGACAGAGGGAGACACCAGCTAGCGAGAAGCATAGATCCAAGATGCGGCCGATGGGGAGGCCCGGCAATAGTTATACGGCGATGGAAGCCTGAATTGCACGCATCCTCGGACATGGACACACACAAACTCGCCCGCATCCGTATTAGGGCATCCTGTCAACGGCGTGTTGGTTCTAGCATGCTATGTACAGATTGCATGCATATCCCGATGGATCCCTGCTGGGATGCAACGCTGATGGTGGTGACAGCCACACGCATCTGATCAGGCATTCCGACACCGAGGCACATAACGTAAAGGCAACCGCATATCAGAAAGAGGCCCGCCAAGCAAAAAGAGGAGGGGGTTGTAAGCATGGGAGAGGGAAAAAAAATCTGGGCTTGGCTGAATTATTCTTCATCTAGCCATCCCGGCGATGCTATTCGTCAACGATCCGACCTGAAAGAGCATCTTAGCCTGTGGCAACCTTTTCGATCCTTCGACTGCCCGGCAAACTTTTCCCATCCAAGCGGAAGCCTGGGACTTCTCTGGTAGGACTTTTTGGTGCGGGTGGGAACGAAACGAAACGCAACGACGGCACGAAATGACCCTAAGCCCTGTCCCGTATAGTCGAGATAGAGTACTCGTACGTGAAGGGGGCGTCTGATCGCGGGTCGGCCGAGTTGAGGCTCTCTCTTACAGAGGACAATAGAAAGCTGCGGAACATGGCGTCTGTAGAATACATGCACAAGTAGACGCCACAGACGGTGATCCAATCAGCAGCGGCATAGACGCGCGGGCAAGAGGCGCAAGAGCGCAAGGCCGTGCCGCGGAGGAGCCGTTTCGATGCGGACGAGGGCCGGGATTGGCCAGGCGGATGGCGAGGCCATTCAGACGCCCTCTGGCGACCCGCGAAGATGCAACCCTACCTGTGCGACGATGGGTTAAATGAGCAGTTAATACTCGCCATGCACTGGTATGAAGATCCCCTGCAACATGAGCCCACTCTCTCGTTCTTCTTCACTAAGAATCCGATATTGCTTCATTGCAACCGTTGTCCACCTTCCTTTCTCTCTCACTCCTCCCCTGTCTGTATGCCGTTTGCCACTGACGCTCGACTAGGATCATTGACAGACGCGCAGCTGCGGATATTCGACGACGAAAGTCTCCATGCTGCGGAAGACCTTGTGATTGGCTCCTGTTGAACGGCCTAGATTCCGCGCATCCTCCACTTCGACACGGGACGATGAACAACCCTGTAGATTCACCAAGAGAGGATTAAACCCAAAGCTTGAAAATGAATAGAGCCAACAATGGAGGAGAAAGAAGAGTAGTACAATAATCTTACCTTTGCTATTGGCCCCCCTCCGACAAACTGCCTGCTTGGCTTCATCGGCTAGAGGTGAGCGGTTTTCCTGATAGCCGACCTGGCCGGGGTTTACTCTGACATGCATAACATGGGCTCTTGTTGACGAACCCTCTTGCTTTCGTCGCTTGGCACCGTCGCGCTAGGAAGCTTCCGATAGCCGCGACGGCGCCTGTGTGATGGCCTTTGCAACTCTTGCATGAGCCTGTTTCCGGTAGATGGAGTGTCGCAGTGGCAGATTGCAGGCATGTAGAAACGGATGCTACTTTATGTTTGATTACGGCTACACGGAACGAGCACGTGGATGAGAGATACATTTTGCGTGAATATCGTATAGCCAATGAACTACCTTGACAATGTAGAAACAATCTCTGGCTTTGCCCACCTGATCGGATGTTCATCTCAAAGAGAGAAGGACGTACTCCGTAGCGATTCATTAATTTGGCTAATTCCCTTAGCATCGAGCTGTAGAGAGAGATAGAGAGAGAGACTCGGAATCCCATTGCCAAGTTCTCGAGATATACCCGATTCAAACAGTTGGAAGAAAAGAAAAGGCGTCATTTACGATGCCACCAAATCTTCGTCGAGAATGATGCACAACTTGGACCGACCAGTAGCTGTCAATGCCCACTTACTCTATACGATCACTACGTGTAGCCGCTTTTCACAGTTCACATACAGAATTAAGCCTTTTCCTTCTCGCTGCCCAAGAACGATGCGAAGGGTCAGCCAGGCGCAAAGACTGCAATCTCTATATATACTATTCTTCATTACCCAAAGGTCCGCTGTAGGGTATCCATGAAATAATCTAGCATGCAGCGAGCCAGCTCAAGATTCAACACCAAAATAAAACAAGATTCATGAGACAAGCTTCTATAATTATTCCCCCTTAACTAGACCAGAGTGAGTGCTGTGTCAACGCCATAAAAGTGATACAAGGGGGTGAACATACTCTATTAAACCGTGGCGAGCTTTGTGAGCTCTTGGGTAGCTGAACTTGCCGTGTATCATGTGTGATAGCGGGGGATGCTATCAGGTGTATCCATTATGCAACGCTGTAAAGGTAAATGCAACGGTCTATGTCTTGATTCATTTCTTAGTTCCCATTGGTAATCTCGGCGGGTTTACCGTTAGTCGTGGGCTTTCTCTGGTATAGGTGATGCAATTTGATGTATTTGTAGACGGAATCCGGAATGTCTTCCACCCTCTCTCCGTTTTGTATTTGGGCACGGACGCGTGTTGACTAATACGCCTGGTTAGCATCAACGGCGGCGGGAAAAGCACTAGGCTTTCTTACAGAGACTTCGTTGATAATCGTCGGAACGACCCAGATCTTGGCGTTGTACTTCTCGAGGGGCTCTATGGCATCTTGAATTCTGCATTGGGCGGGCCTGAGATGATAATAAATAGGTTAGCTTTGCTCGAATGACCAGTAACTGCAGTACAGCGCTACCTTTCAACAACGAAAGCTCCATAATGGCCCAGCAATACATCAATATCAGCGGGATCCCAAATCTTGGGATCTGCCATTGTAGCAGCCAGGTCGGCGCCGATGAGCAGCATAACTCGCGCCGCTGTAAAATTTCCGTCCAGGGTCTCAATGCCGCCGAGCACGTTGTTTATCTCGTGATCGAAATGACGGAGCACGTCAACCGTCGGGCTGTACAGAGGCTTGCCTGATTCATCAACGCGGACCGTCTCCCAAGGGTCGATTGTAATAGTAGTCTTCGTATCCGTATCGACAGCTAGGCTGCACACTATGGAGAGCAGTCAGCAGAGAGCTCGCCTCTCCTGGTCGAGCAGATTCAACCTACTTTGGATGCGGTGGTGCGCCGGCGCTAATGATGCCTTTTGATAGGCATCCGAGCAGGGCGACATGTAATTTCCAACGATTTCGAAGCCGGGGTCGCTCTGCTTTACATACTTCTCCGCCAGCTCAAACATTTGCAGGTCTATATACTCGTTAGGGTGCCATTGAGGCTATTCACGTGCCTCGACTACTTACGCAGAGTCGTCACTGGGGAGAAGCTGCCGCAGGCAATTAGAACAAGAGGAACCTTGTCTGGTCGTGTCAGGCGACGCTTCAGATTCTGATATGGAAACGCATATCCGGGAGGCGATGCTATCGACTGGGGAGGAGGCATCGGCGTGCCATTCTGGTGCGGGAGAGTCCCGAAGCTCGACGCCGAAGCCACCATGATATGGGATCTGGGGTATGCGATAAGGGCCGATTCGGAGCGCAAAGGGCGTCGCAAAGGGCGTCGCGAAGGAAGGCGAGGAGCTTGAGTCGGGTTCGGAAGGTCGCGATGTCGAATTTCGGTGGTCGCGTGTGCAGCGACAAGAAGAGGGAAGAGACTATCCGGTGTAAGAGGTTGCGACGGTAATGGCGATGGACGACTATTTAGGTGAAGTGGGTATTCAAGGTGCCGTAAAGACGTAACGCCGAAAAGAGGGATTTACCTCGCCAATAATAGCCTACTGATGCGCTATTCCGAGAGAAGCCCCGACCGAGAGCCTGTCGCAGTTGTTCTAGGCTGCTAGCCTCTGCTATAACAGGCTGTTTCTGTATTATGGTTCAAGGTTCTTTTTTCTTTTAGTAATCTGGCTCTTTGTTTCTCCTGTGGCTGTGGCTGTTTTAGCAGTTTTTGGCTGGATCTAGTTCACTGCCAGACTTGCCGATTCGATATTGACAGCTGCTCAAAGTGTTTGGAATCTAGAGAGTTGGAGAATCAAGTGTCCGCGTCCATGCGAGAAGCGGCATTGAATGTTCTGACGCGCTGCCTAAGAGTGACGTCAATGTCGCCCAGCCAGCGTCTCACATGCATCCTGCAACTCGCAATCTTGTTTGCGCAACCTTGCCAAGATGCAATCGGTGGGAAAACGGGGCGATGGCAAGATTTCGGTAATGGAGTTGTACATGCATTGCATACCTCTACCTGCGCTCCTACGCCCGTAGTAATAAAAAGGCTGTGGTAATCTCCAATCTTGGTCTAGAGTCTTTGCGGGCGTTGGGAAGATGGTCATCAAGGCTGTTATCACATCACATGTCCATCATCATAATGGCTGCATGTATATCTTGACGCCTGTATTGATGATAATAGTCCAAGGATACCTATCTACTCACTTGTCATCTAGGAGTGAAGCTGCCGCCGATAGATTACAGGGTAATAGTCAATAATACATCTATGCATCTCTCTTGGAAAAGTCAACCCAGTTTTCCCACGGTATGTCAACAGGTTGACAGGTCGGGGGAAATTGGGACCCGACCCTTCGGATTGGACGATTACTCATCTTATGACCTCGGTATTCTTCTTTCTACTCCATCATTGAAATTCTACTAGGTAGCCAAATGGCTGCTTCTCTTATTCAGCCAGCCAGCCATAGCCTATGTCTAACGTCGTGTGGGTTTCCCACATGTACTAAGCCGTTGTGGGAGGATACAAGGCATATCTGCCGGGATGCAGCACGTGCGGAGTCTTCCGCTGCTACCTACCTATGCATCACACTATTCCTCCGAATACTCCGTATCTACAGGTACTTGACAGGATTCCACATTTTGCAATTACCTACTCCGTACTCGTGCACCTATAAGCCCCCCCAAGGCTCTGTGCACAGGGACCACTGTACAAATGCATGCCTACTGTAGGTAGGTAAGAAAAGGGGTGGCTGAGTTGGAAGCTTTTGTAGGACAGTATTGTGTATTGTATACTTGGGCATGGACAAAAGACATCCAAATCAACAGCCCCTGCTCATGCAGCAGAAAGGCGGCAAACCGAGCGACGCCGTTGGTGGACGCGCCGTTGGAATCACCCTGCATCCAATCAGATCTTTTGCGCAGATGCTGGCAGACCCCTTGCAGCACATCTGAAACGGAACCCAACGACAAGCAGTTGGTCTTGGGAGACAAAGAAGAAGCCGTGATATACCTGTTTGCGAGGTACTCTGTTGCAAGAAAGCTGTATTGGCATCTTGGAAGCAACACCGAAAGCTGCTCTTTGACATGTAAAGCGAATACATATGTACCTAGCAGGTAGGTACCACGAAATCAGCGAGATGCTGCACAAGTACTACGAAGTACATACATGCTTTAGAGGCACTGTACTCCGTAGGTTAACTTGAAGATACCATGTGGCTGTGAGCAGTCAGCAGATTCCCCCCTTTTCCCAGCATCAACCGATTCTCTTTCAGCAGTGCGCCGTTCAACTTGATACTATGCGTGGTGCATTGTCCCTTGTCATATGGAGTAGCGCTGAGAACTCAAAACCGTTCCATGTACCGGCTACCCCACCCTCCCCCCTCTACTCATACAGTGTAGAGAAAACCCCGTTCCAGATGCTTGGAGGAGCTCTTGTCCTACGCCCAAAACAGTCGATTTGCTGCTGTTGGGTCTAGCATTTCTGCGTGACGGCTTTATAATACAACCGCCTCCTTTGTGGTCGCGAGCCCGAGGCCTATAACAAACAAAGCGACGCGGAAAGTCGGGCTCAGCCCGTGACGCTGGGCTCTGGACTGTGTAGGTCGCTGAAGGGGCAGACGAGCTGGGAGAGAGGCCATCTGTGGAAAGTGAAGAGAGGAAAAGATGCGGATCGCGTGCCTTCAGTTTGCGCCGCATGTCGCAGATGTGGAAAACAACCTCAACAAGGCGGACGAGGTCCTCAACCAGGCGGACTCCGACGACCTGGACCTAGATGTCTTGGTGCTTCCAGAACTGGCCTTCACCGGTGAGGCTACATATCCTGCTTGGCATATGCCCCATGGCTTCTTCTAACGTGCTGCGTGCTCGCTTCAGGCTACAACTTCAAGTCTCTGGCCCACATATCTCCCTATCTCGAGGAATCTAGCACGGGAATCAGCTCGCTGTGGGCTCGAAATACAGCCCTCAAGCATGACTGCACCGTCGTCGTGGGGTACCCCGAAAAGGTAGATCCGACGCTGAATTGGCCTACGGACCCCCAGTATTACAACTCGGCGATTGCAGTCAACGGAGACGGCGAGACAGTGGCCAACTACCGCAAAACTCATCTGTATTACACCGACGAGACGTGGGCCTTGGAGGGTTCCCATTTCTTTGGAGGACGGCTTCCCGGCTTAGGCCATACCGCCATGGGGATATGCATGGATCTGAAGTGAGTAATGGAAGGGCGGCTACTCTCCATATCCTCGTTTCTACCAAAGCTAACACGGCAATCCTTACTTTGAGCCCTTACAAATTTGAAGCTCCGTGGAACAAGTTCGAATTTGGGCAACATGTCTTGGACAGCGGTGCTCGACTCGTCATAGTTTCTATGGCTTGGCTTACCAATGAGAATCCTCAAGAGTTTACCAGCACTCCTCTAGAACCGGATACCACGACTTTATTGTACTGGGTGTCTCGCCTTGAGCCACTGATTCGGGTAGAATCGAATCAAGAAGTCATTGTCATCTTTGCGAACCGCTGCGGCACCGAGGACGAAGCAACTTATGCCGGTACCAGTGCTGTCGTTGGCATACAGTCTGGCGAAATTTGGGTGTACGGTATAATGGGTCGTGGGGAAACGGGTCTTCTCGTCGTTGATACCGAGTCTGAGCCGTATGCCAGACTGTCTTACCAGCCGCTTCAGCCCAGCTTCCGATCCGATAACGATGTATCGCCAGACATGGAAGAAAGTTTTGGCAATAGCCCGAATCCGCAGGATGACTCTAAACACCAGGCTCGCCAAAGCTCTGGGAAGTCTTCCAAGGCGCCCCTTGACCCTTCAACTAATCAACAAGAAGACGATTTACATATGTGGCTCATGAATAACTCGATTACTCCTGATGGGCGGCAGAATCACCAATCTTCGGAGTATAGTAAGGAACATGCTACCAACAGACCAAACAAGCCCCAGGCCGAGAAAGCACCGAGTCCAAAATTAGATATCAGTTCTTTACAGCTTGATATCCCGCCTGAACAATACATGCTTAGGCGATACCTCGAGGCAGAGTCTCCGACATCTCATTTGGAAGCGTTCAAATCTCCAAATCAGTCTATGACAGCACATCCAGAGGACCTCCGGGGCTCGCGAAAAGACCGGGATGACTATGTAGCTTTCTTCCCTGATATGATGGAAGACGAGAAGCGGTTTAGTCTGAGATCTGACGTATCCGTCTGGAACAACGAGCCTGGTCGAGTTCGTCAAATATCTGTCTCGATGATTGACGCCCCTGAACTATCGCATCTAACAACCCAAGAACGGCCCAGGACTGTTGAAGCAGGAAATAGCGCCAGGTTCCAGGAGAGAAACAGACATAGACACAGGGCACATAGCCAGCGGCAATCCTCTGATTGGAATAGTCGACGTGGTAGTGACTATGGCATGCCGATGTCGCGACAGTCGTCTTATAACCAACTTCGAAGCAAGTACAGCTATAGTCAAATCGATGAAATGGCGAGAAGTTATTCCAGCAGCGCTGTTTTACCAGTCCATCTTTTGCAGTCTCACACTGCATCGCAAGTAGCTTCGGAGGAAACTGGGAGGGGTAGGCGGCGTTCTTCGCACAAACAACAGAAAGAGGGACGACGCGAATCTCGTGGAACACACATGTCCCAGAGAGAACCAGTCGATCTCTCACAATTCACCCTCATTGAAGAGTATCCTTCTGCTACATGTCCCGTGCATGGGAGCCGCCCCCCATCTGGGACCCGGCGTCAGAGCAATTCGAGGGCCAGAGGAAGATCGGGGAACCGTTCGCAACCTTTGCTGGAGGCAGAACCGGCTAGGAAACAATCTACCAGACGCGGAACGTCGCAGACCGAGAGCCAGAGGGACGGCCATGGTCTATCACACCGACGTACACACTCGTCACAGCCTAAACAAATCCACTCCAGCAATGAGACGGGACGAGACGAGAATAGAAGGTCCGAGGAATCTACCACAAATACTAATTCCGGTCCCAAGACTCCAACTGCTATGCAACTAATCCCGGATCTGGAGCTACCTGATGGCCTTGAGAAGACATTTTCTTTGCTTAAATGTGTGGAAAAAGCCCCGGCGCATATTGTGAGGCGACGTGTGAGCTCAATCTGGTAGCTTACTTTGGTATCGCTTGGTTTTGATTTGCTTGATTTAGCGAGGATATTTGCACCATAGACGAAGCTTTTCGTAATACTACATGAGATACGGAGCGACGTGAATTCAAGTCCGGAACCGAAAGTTATTTATGCGAGTGACAGAATAATACCCAGATCAAAGATGTGCTGATACTAGTGAATTGCATCAAACTCAGTGCATCTGATATTGTATGAGATAAGCAGGGCCTCACGATTATTACGCAAATGCTGTCCCTTGCAGCTTAGACGTGCATAAGCGAAAGGGAGGGGCTCTCATGTATGGCCACTGACTGGTGCTCATATGCAGCTTTAGTACATGTCCCTTGGCTACCGACGTTAGTACATGCAAATATTGATGCAACAGGCAATAGTCTTTGACATCGTCGAGTGATGATATTCACAGTCGGCGCTTTGATGCGAGATTTATCGGCGCGGCTAGCAGAATCTCGACAAAAGGGATGGATTCTTCAACATTTGCCCCTAAATGGCTTCACCCAACATCGATAAAGCGTGATCAAGTGTGATGGGCTGCGGATGCCAATGGCGCTTGGGGGCGGGTAAATGTGCTCTCGTACGAGTACTCGTACTGCGAGATGCGAGGGATATCACAGAGCACAGGGATATTTGCATTTCCAATCCCCACGCGGACAAGCTGTCATACGGTGCATACGGAATACATGCTCTTGTACACTTCACGGATTGTCCCGTACCGGTAGTTGTACATGGTTTTGTGTTTCCCATCTGGTGATGATGCCGAGGAAATACGAAGCGCCGGTTGATGGCAAAGCAACAGTACTTTTGCGCTCAAATGCATGTTGGTCCAAGGCTGATGCGGACAGGCGGAGAATCTTGGCCCCCCGCAGATGGAATCGCAGGATGAGGATGAGGATGGAGTCGGTGGGCAAGCGGGACGGTAGCTTGACAGTTGCGGTATATCGAAGGTGTGGAATCTTTGCCTTTTGTTCCAACTTACATCTACTGGATTTACTCGCATTATTTCATCAAAAATCTACAGCAGGCTTGAAACTACAGGCTAGACAACAGCGGTCTCTTTCACGGCCTCGCTTATTTTCCTTGATCGTTACCAAAGGGAGGGTAGCAGTGAGGCTTCCTCCTGTAGCATGGCCAGAAAGAGCTCGACATGAACGCATGCGGCCTGTGATGACGTGAGGATCCCGCCCGATTCGGCGTTATCGTGCTAGTACATGTATTTGACAAGATGGGATGCAGAATACAGACACGGCAGGATTGGACTTTGGATTGATTAGTACGAGTATGTACAGGAATTGGGCTTTCTCACGCGGCGGCGGCGGGGAAAAGAGACAATTTCTTTGTTCAACCCGCTCCAAATTGGACAATTTGACATCAGGCCTGTCAGCGGCCATCCAGAGCGTCGAATTAAGCGCCCAGGACGCAGCAAGCCGCCAATCGGAGGCCGGCGACGGCCAGTGGCTGGTGATGGCGATGTGAATGTGAGCAGGGATCCCTGCAGAGGCTTGACGCCACCCAGGGGATCGCGGGTCGTCTCCCGCCTTTTAGTGGCCACAGGAGCCCTTGTCTGCGCTGCTTAGCATCCTGCCGGTGTGAGGTGACTCGAGATGCTACCGTACTTGTACAGTAGCTGCGGATGGTGCGAGGCCCCAAACAGAGGCTAGCCGTGCTGGTTCACCATGGACACGACGGATGAGATGAGCGGCGACATGGCGGGCGAACCGCACGTCCACTCTGGGTGGAGAATGTGATGCACGAGGGCCAAGAGAAAGCTCTGCGGCATGCCAAAGGCCTGAGATGCGACTCTGCATCTTCATCACATCTCGCAGCCAACAGCCTCCAGCCGGGCCCCCCTTGGCTTCACCAGCGAGCGTGTTTTTGACGCTACAGCACAGGCATTATAACAACCTCGACCGGCCCTCTCCGCGCTTCTCCCGCCTGGCCAAGGACCGTCTCTCGTTCGTGAGCAGCTTCAATCAGGATTGCCGTTTCCAGGCGTGGCATGTAGCACAGGCTGGTACTGTGTTCTCCGAAGCTCCTTCGCCCCAATCCTCCCTACGTTCGCTATCACAGACACAAAGACAAAGGCCACCCTCCCACACAGAGCAAGCAGTCAAGCATTGCCCTAGCGAAGCCTCGCCAAAAGCCATGTTACGCCTCCTAACGAGCTTCGCAGCCGCCGGCGTGGTGCTGCCCGCGGCAGAGGCTATTCTTGTTGCGCCCAATTCGCCATGCTCGACCAACTGCGGCAATGTTCTGGATTCGACGGCGCCTGATGACCTCGTATGCACGCCGGGCCAGTACACCGGCGGCTACAACAACGGAGCGGGCACCGTGTTTCAAGGCTGTGTCCAATGTGAGCTATCGAGCGGATATGCAACCAAAAACAACTATTCCGATACCATGGCGGCCTTGTGTATGTATTCCGCCTCACCCAAGCCATGTATATTGTTGCGACAAAGAGTTCTGATCCTTTGACCCTAGATAACCTCCGGTATGCTGTATCATACTGCGTCTTCAACGAGCCGTCGCATTATGACTTTAACAACAACCCATGTGTTACGAGGTAAACGACAGATCTTCCTTGGCCTTGTGTATCATGACTGACATTTTGGCTTTAGCAAAGCTTGTGGTGTCTTTACCAACGCTATTGCGTACCATAACTTGTCAGTCGAGTATGACGACTATGGATACTGCGATACATGGCCTACCGGCGATTCTGTCGATTTCCATGGATGTATAGAATGTCTTCAAGTGACTAACAATTATCTGGCAAACTGTATGATACCTTGCTATACCCCGACACGATTGAGACCGTGGCCCTTGCTAACATGGAGTGTAGTCGTTACTGTTCTTCAAGCTGGATGTGAACAAAAGCCGACCAGTGGTCTGACCCTCGGGCTTCAGGGCAACATCTTTTCGAGCGACATTGTCAACATCACTGAGCCTACACCAACGGCACACGTAGATCCCGCCTGGTTTGACCATGGCCCGCTGGGCTTGGGCGGAAAAGTTGGCGTTGCTGTGGCGGGATTCATTGTATTACTGGTCCTCGCTGGTGTATTCATCGTCTGCAGAGGCAGGAGACGGAGAAAGGCCTTCCTCAGGAACTTGCAGACCAATCTGCCACAGATGAGGTCCAACCCAGGAGGCTGGCCATCGATGCCTGTTCAGCACGAGTCTACTGAAACCCCACTCAGCCAGCGGCCTCTGCGAAATTGGGATGACTCTCCTGTGACCATCAACACGGAGAAGACCTTCCCCCGATACTTTTCGCCTTATTCCTCTCAATTCAACAGTCCTATCAGTGCGACTGACGTTAACCATATGCCGTGGCCGGAACCCGCCCTGGGCTCTCCTCGCTCCCCTCGAGAGATCGGACTCGCACTTGGTTCGGCCATCGACATTAGCAATGCAAACAATGAGCGATGGGCCACGTCGCCGGATGACAAGGGCAAGATGAAGGAAGAGTCATACGAAATGCAATATGTTGACAGTGCTGGGAGCGGAATCGTTGCAAACAAACAGCCCATTCACGTTGAAGCTCCCATCCTGGGCCATCCCGGCTACGGCAGAAACTCTGATAGCCCGCCGAGACAGTACGATGTGCACGGGAACGCGGTATAAAGGGAGAATTATATGCAAACTAATGCTCACGAATTACGATGTGTCATGAGTTGCTGGGTCTGATGAGTTTTTCTCCCTCTTTTCTTTCTGTATGGCGTTTTGGAGTGCTTTAGATATATACCTCTTTGTTGATGCTGTAGCGAAGGAGCACAGTCCATGGGAATGGGGGTTTGAATGAGGCTAGGCGAGCCGGATGCTGGGGATACCCGAACACACCTTGATGGTGCAGGCTTTTCAGAATAAATCATTACAAATCTAGCTAAGTAAAGCACGAGCATGAGTAATTGACTCTCAACTGCCAAATGCAAGCTATTTCTAAGTCGTTTTGTATTAAGCCAGTCATACATGTCTGTTATGAAGATGTTGCGTAGGGGCCTCTATAGTCTGCGGTATTCGTCTGGACTCTTGAGCCTTTGATCTCCTGGCTCACTGGTAGCTCCGTTACATTGCTTGCTGGTAGCTCTGCCATGCTATAAGAGATGCCCTTGTTCCGGAACTTGTATTTCCATACTAGGAATCCCAGAAGCCCAAGCAACAATAGGCCGCCTATTGTGGCTCCAACTGCAATACCTGCAACTGTCTTTTTGGGGAGTTTTTGGGTCGATTGTGGCTCTGGTTCTGGCTGGGTCGTTGATGATTCCTGTGAAATCGATGTCGTTGATGCTGTCGAGGTCGCTGAATTTTTTGTATCACTAGTGCTTGATGAAGTTGTTGTTGAAGTAGATGTGCTTGTTGTAGTTGATTCTGCAGACGTTTTGCTCTGGGACTCTCTGGTGACGTTGAAGTAATGGGACGTGCCGAGACTGAATTTGTCGTCTCCGTCCGTTATTTCGAAATAGAGCGGATTCTTTCCGTTGTCTGATAAATCTATATCATCCGAAGTGATGGAATACCAAAGGCTAGTGACTGAGGTAGAAAAGTCCTTGTCTACGTATGTAATTAGTGAACCAAGACGTGAGTTGCGACTATGTTAAGCTTCTTACTCATAAGGTTTGCTAATCCTTGTGGTGAATCTTTTCTTAACAAAATATTTAGGCTTGTAATATCTTCAGGGATATTTGCAGTCCATTCTACCATAAATCTTGATCCATAGGCGAAAACGGGATTGTCTTCATATTCCCCCGCGGGCCCAGGGGGCGGCGGTTGAACAAAAGTGATCTGCGAGCGAACACTGCGAATAAGAAGAGCGCATACAAAATATAAAACGAAAGCAAATGTACAATGCATTATGATTTCGAATTCATAATACCACCATCGGTAGGTCGCATTTAGAGAACGGTGATCCAATACCTGAGAATAGGAGGCGGCCAGCGATATATACATATACTCCGTATCAGTATCTGAGATTAATACTCCAGCCAAGGGGTGCTTTAATTTACAATTCTGCCTCGTACCCCTCATTCTCCTGCCTAATAGAGCTTAGAAACCAAGAACACGAGCAGTAGAATAAACGATTCTACTGGTGGGATCATCACGATGAGCATCGAACCAACAACAATGTACAAATAAGTTATATGCACTGTATGCCACATAAAACCTTAGAAGTCGGTTCTTGAAACTTATTTACGTACTTATTTTACATGGAAACGCTTAAATTAAGCTTATTTATATTATTTATCTATCTCTATGAAGTAGAATGCCTGTATTTGTTGTGAGAATTAGCTTGAGCTGTGCCGTGAGAGCTGAATAGCGCTGTGTTGCGATGCCGCGGAATTATGCAGCCTTGTCTGCAAATATGCTAGCTTGTACGATAACGTATTCCAGCTGCGTTTACAACGCCCAACCTGCAGAGCCAAGAAAAAACAAGAGGGGACAGGGCAGAGAGGAGGGGATATTCTGAACGAAAGACGGTCGTCGAGGTATTGTCTCCGGACATACATTAATATTACATTTTCCACAACTACATTATCACGGGCATTAGAAAATTCGCTTCTGGTCTAACTCTCCGATAACGATGTAACCGTGGGTTTGTTAGGGGCGCCAGAACAGAGAGCTAGATCTTGGAAAATGACTTTGCAAATTTAATCTTTTTCTTGTAGGACCTTCCTAGCGGTAAACCCTTGGTCCTGGCCCTTTTGATGGATTGAATATAGATGGAGCTATCAGAGTATATGAATTGGTAATGTATTGAAGTCTGGAGCGGTGCCTATCCCTAGAAGTTATTTATAATGTTTGTCTGATGATATTTGAGTGCGAGAACAAAACATAAATCGACTCCCATAATACCAAAGAAAATTCCAGTTGCAAAAAGAGTCCATAAATCGCGCAATGAGATTTGGTGTGGGAGTGGACGCGATAAATGAATCATTGCTGAGGCACACCCTGCTACTTTCAAGCGTTGATGGGATGTGACCACGGACGGCGTCGGTTATATTGTCTCGAGCAGCCCTGCTCTCCGGCTATGCGGCTTGCTGCTGGGCTTGGGCTTCCAGCCAGTAGCTGTTGCCAAATCTTTGGCTATACTTTCTAGAAGAGCCCGAGTCTTGTCTAAATCGGAGGAGCGGATACTTATTTATTACCTCCATTTGTTCGCCGTCTACGTGTTAATAATACGCAGTCGCTGTAATCAAAAGTTGGCATTAACCCAGAACAATAGCAGCATTTCTGTTAATTAACTCACAGCTCTAAAGAACATCTTGGCACGTGCATCGTCTTGAGTGATGGAGTACCGTTTGGCCAGTCCTCGTCCAATCTTGCTCATGTCTAAGACAAGTCGCCTTACTTTCACGGCAGTTTCCCCATATCCTTTAGGGCGCATTAGAATGTCCACCATCTGTTCTTGACTAAACTGCCTTTGCTCTTCTTGCGCGATACGCTTAAGGCAGTTGATATAATCGTCGCTAGCTCCTGTGGCCGCCGCTGCCACCTTGCCGTGGTTCTCAAGGATCTGTTCATATCTGGTTCTCTGCTCGGGAGTCAAGGACGCTTCCTGCGCAGCCGTAAGTGGTGTAAATTTCGGGAAAATTGGTCCCTTTCTCTGAATTGGTTGCTGAGCTGTAAGAAAAATTCACAGAGCTGAGTAATTCGACGCCTCAAAAATACCCACGCGAATGTCTATCATCCCAGCTTATGTTACCTAGATGAATAGGGCTTTGATGACGAGAATGGGACGGGCTGCCGTGCACGCTTGAAGGGCCCATCATGTTGTCGTATGCCATCTGCGCGCCCATAAGGGGGACAGCAACTACGGGTACGGGCACATTCTGCAGACCAAGCGCATTCAGGGGTGGAAATGGATCTACCGCATTTGCCATTGTCATGATTGTTCCCTTCCTCCGAATTGGTTGCTGAGCTGGCTGCGATGCAGCCACGGCCGGTCCGCCAATGTCATGGTGTTCTCCTTCCAGGTTTGCTGCAACATTTGTGCCGTCAGCACGGTGAAGCCCCCCATTCACCCTGACCAGCTGAGGAGTGCTTATCCTAGTCATTTTGGCAATTTGCTGTGTTTTCCTATGGCATTTTGACAGATGAGCCTTGAGAGCGCGAGAAGAAGTTAGAGGTGGGTATTGGCAGTCGGGAACCGTACAAACGATGTGTTGCGTGTGTGTTCGTTCGTGCTCTGATAGTTTTTTCTGGTCGGCGAAGCCCGTGGCTGCACGGGGACAGTTTGGAACACGGCAAGTGAATGCGGCCGTTCGAAACTCTCGTTTAAATTTCTCCAATTCCTCGAAAGTAATTCCTGGGAACGAAGGGATCATCAATAGAGATCGGATGCTGGCTTGGTAGCTTGCTAGAAGGTCTTTGAGATTTTGTGGCGCGAGCCCTATAATATCTGTAGAAACTAAAGTAAACTATTAGCTTGATGACGAATCCTTGAACATCGATCTGGCGCATACAGGTCTCTTGCTTGGCCTGGTCAGAAGTAGCTTTCGTGGACCGCTCTCTTAAAGCAGATCGTAGCATGTCATATATGGCTCCCAGATTTGCGAACTTGTCCAATCGAGTATCTAACGTATCCGATTCTTGCTGCACTGAAATCTCTGCTGAGATCCTCGCTGTGTTCAGCCGGTCCGCTAATGCTTTGGCTGTCAAGCACAGAAGGGAAGCAACCTCGTGGTCATCACATATAGTAGCGTTGCTACATAGTAGGTCTTCAAGCCAGTACTCTGTTGCGTAGATGTGAAAACCATGAAGGCCTCTCAAAATCCTCAAATTTCGCTCATTTGAGTCGTATGTTGTATCAAAGATTCGAAAACCGGCAAGTAGGCAGGTGATGGACGCTATGCTATGTTCGCAAAACGCATAAGTATCTTTCAAAGCCATCGCACTCTCTGTTGATTTGAGGTGACTATACGTAGAAACATATTCAGTAGTAATTCAGGTGAAGCGAGGCAAAACACTTCACTCACTCCTTGACAGAAACATGAATGAATGAGAAAGTTTTATCCTTATTCTCGTGAATAAGCGGCATGCACATTTCAAAAATATACTGGGGTGGCATCACCGGAGTCTCTATATCTCCTTGACTAAATGCCATAGCTGAGCGACATTCAACTTGTGTTAGTGGGCGCCTGGCAAATGCTATCCATCCAAAGATAGATTTGATTCGTCCCATGGATCGAGTGTCTAGCCTGGCAACTATCTGCGACAGAATATGTTCGTAACTTTACTCAAAGTCAGCATATATGGCTGAGGAGAGGGTTTCTTTAGATAAAACGAGAATTCGCACAATTCACTTAGCTTTCTTGGAAGCATGTTAACCGAACAAAACACCTCGTCGCGACTGAAGAAGATATTGGATGATATATATTCTACGACTAATCGAGCCCATAGAAACATGCCTATAAATGGTTAGAGTCGTAAATGCTGGCGTTAGCTGTGATTGGGGACAGGATACTCATACCGTCAGATTTCAAGGATATGCTATGAGAGAGCTCCGTAATATCTGTGCCACAAATGCCAAGCTCCGAGAATCGATTGCGGAGGAGACTTAGCTTCTGATTAGCATAAATTTTGATGGCCTCATCAATTTTGCTCTTTTCGTCTAGAAGTGAAACGGTGGGCCGTTTTCGGAACCTCTTTGTTAACAATGGTGATGGCCGACTAGAAATCAAGACTTTGGAGTGCGTCGGACCCCCCACAGATATGAGCGACTCCAGTAAGTTTATTATTCGTCCTTGTTTCTCAGCATCGCATTCATCTAATCCATCAAGAATGATATGGACGTATTTCTTCTTGGAGGGTAAAGGTGAGATAGCTTCGCAAATTGTACGAACTAGTTGAGAGAGCGACTTGATCGTGACGGCTTGTTTGGCCAAGACAAATTCTTCATAAATATAAGTTATTAGGTCACTGTTCGAGCGAGCCAGTTGAAGAAGTAGAGATCGGAGAATTTGGTCAAATTGGATTGATGATGCGTATGAATAGGTGCAAAAATGACGAATAACAAGAGACTGATCGCTAGCTCGAAGAAAAACGTCAATTTGTGTTGTCAACACGCTTTTGCCCGTTCCCGGATTGCCCTGGAGCCAAACGAATGGAGTTTCCGGCTGTGATTTCATCCATGAGACGAGAGTCGGTTGCTTCAATATCCAGTTGCAAGTCCCTTCACTCTTTTCTGCTTCTGAGGCGATTGAGTCAAAGATGACTTGTTGGTCTGTATCATCCATCTTCAACCATCCAACGATGGCCTGATATTGTTTAGTTGAGTCTTCATCTTCTTGCTTTGCAACCTCATTAAGGCTTTCATTTCTTTGATCACGTAGACTTTCCCTCATCTTGGAGGCTTCCAAGATATTGACGGCATTAGCGGTCTTGTCAATCAATTCTTCATGAGCTTTTATATTAGTGAGAATTGTGTCGAGCCGCCGTTGAAATCGACCCCATGATGTGAGAAAAAATATCTTCCAGCCTTGTTATTATTCACCTTGTTAGTGTCCTGACTCATGACTAACTCGTCGTCTTTGGGGGCGACCTACTACTCCTCCGAACAAAGAGGTAAGCGTGGCGGTGGAACGTCAATATGTCTGCATAAAAAATGGCCAAGGTCTCTTGAAATTCAATTCTTTTACTAAAAGCTTGATTAAGTATCTCGATTCTGGGTAAAGATTCTGCAATTTGTGCATAGGCGGCGACGATTCGTTCAATAGCTTCGACAAAGTCTGATGCGATCTGTGTATTACGATATGATGTTATCAATTAAAAAAATGGACATGAGCAGTGTTGATTTATTGGTCAGTACTACCGTAAGAATGAGTTTTATAGGAGCCCAAATCCAGGGCAGATATGGCGTGCCATTGCAGAGCACCTCAATCGACTTTGAGTAATGTTCCAGCCCTTGGAACAACGGCATCAAACGGCGCATATTTCTGAGCATCTTCCTGGCTGCTAGCTGGTTCTCAATCTCAAGTGTCGCTCTTTGAACGTCTTCTAGCGTCATTTTTTGGAAGTCTTTTGCCTCTAGCGGCGACACTGTCCGCTGCAGCTCCTTGAAGGCATCACGAATGATACGTCGAGCAGGGAGTGAGATTGAACCAACTGTTAAAGGCATTTTGTGGATTGCATGAGGATTTTGCAGCTCCTTGAGGTTCAAAAGCATACTCGAATAAGAGGAAAGCCCATATAATAATAATCGAAACGGTTGTGAATGATGAATGATTGAAGCCTGCATTGAGGCGGTGCAATATCTTGTGGATGCCTCTCAGCCTAACATGCGCCTTCGCTAAGCCATGACATCTACAGCCCGAGATACGTGGGTACCTTTGAATGGCCCGAATCTGGGCGGTTGGGCGTCAAAATGAGGCTGCCGATGTGACAAGGCACTTTGTAGGCGCCCTGGTGCCCACTGCAAGTCATCATTTAGGGACGTGGGAGCCTTTCTTTATTCCATACCAGAATACATCAAACTGGAAAAAAATTGATCGATATTGATAATTATAAAATAATGCCACGAAAATCTGCAAAGAGGCGACGTCTTAAATCGCCAGAAAGGCCAGGCGAGGACTTACAGGTAGAAGATACCAAGGCGAAATCTATTATAACGCAATGGACACAGAGTACCCCTTCGAGAAGTTCGGCCACTTCAGAGTCTGAACGTGAACTTCCTATCTTCTCACTAACAGCTGACGAACTGCGCAAACAAATCGGGCCTACCGCGACAGGTTGCAATGCCAGTGATACAGTCGCTTCTGAAGTTCAAATTGACGATCATGCAACGCAACAGAGCCCATATGACATCTCCAAGGAGATAGTCTGCTTTGGCGAGGTAATAAATAACGTTTTCGGTGGAATCCATCATGAGGCTAATCCTGAAAATGTCTGAATATAGATCGTTGGCATTTCTAGCAAATGCGGAAGTGGTACTGCAGTGCCAAATACTGATGGCACCAGTTTTCGAGCAAGGCTGGAATCATGTGAAAAGTTTGTATCCATCGAGAATAATTCTCTCATTGGAAAAATTGATTCAGATTATACTCATTTGACCAACTTGCTGCAGAATGAGGCTGAACTCGATCTGCAGCTCATATGCACACTCGATTTCTCCCGGTCGTCAGGCGGTGGAAAGAGGACTTCGTCCAAGTTCTCCACGCACGCAATTCCATGCGACATTTCGATCATTATCTACGGGCCATTGAGGATGCTAACTGATATTGGCAACTTCTTCCAAACCTGTGAGATGTACTTGCAAGATCCCAGCGATTGCGATAGAAATGTTAGATACTGTAACCCTCATCGTCTTTCATCAGCCAACTTGAACTCTTGTCCCTGGACCTCAGAGCTCAAGGGTACTCTAAGCAACTTCATTGAGATGAAGCCAATTTCTCCACTACCAGAGCTATTAGACGTCTTGGAGTCTTCCGAGAGACTTCCAGAGGCGATGCAGCCAGATGCTATACGAACTCCTCTAGAAAGGTTATATGAAGATGCTTGAAATGTATTATCGTTTTCTGATCATCTCTATAGACATCAAAGACAAGCATTGACATTTATGCATCGGAGGGAGCTTGGATGGGCTCTTGATGGTAGTCGACCGGACATTTGGGAGTATATGGAAAATGGTCAAAGACACTGGTAGGGTTCACTTCCCCGGCTGAAGAACACGACTCCTAACTTACAGTAGTTTTGTCAACCGCGTGTCAAATGCCTATCAAGATGAAGAACCGGAAGACTTCTCTGGTGGAATTATTGCGGACCCTATGGGGCTTGGGAAGACACTTACCATGATATCCTTGGTAGCAAGTGCTGCTCAGCTTCATGAGTCAGTTATGGATGCTGATGACGTTGTAACTTCAGCTACGACTCTCATTATCGTTCCGCCACCTTGTAAGTCCTTAATTGAGTACGCTCTCAGACGCCCCTCTATAACTAACGGATATAGTACTTGGCACATGGGAAGAACAGTTATTGGAGTGAGTATACCATTGTACGATTCCTCGGGAAGTTGCAAAGTTTCTAACTATGATGAAGGCACGTTACCCCTGGGTCCTTGACTTGGTGTAGGCACCACGGAAAAACAAAACTCACAGAAGCGATGTCCTATAAGGATACCAGCATAGTCTTGACAACATATCACACCGTGTCAGCAGAGTGGAAGTCTCATGGTGAACATTCGCCATCAATTCTGTTCTCAACCCGCTGGAGGCGGGTGATTCTTGACGAAGGTGATACTTTTGTTGTTGCAATTTTGAAGAGCTTCTACTTACTGGTTTCGGGGCAGCACATTTTATTCGTAACAGCTCCTCTCAATTGACTCGTGCCACATGTGCTCTAGATGCTGCTGCTCGATGGGCGGTAACGGGCACACCGATTCAAAATGGGCTTTCAGACCTGACAACATTGTTCAGTTTCTTAAGAGTTTATCCTTATTCAGACCGAAAGCAATTCGACGCTGACATCACTAATTTATGGAAGGAGGGCGACACTGACGAAGCACTGAAGAGACTGAAGAGGCTGGCGGCATGCCTCATATTGCGACGGACGCAGAACACAATACAGCTTCCTTTACGGAGCGATTTACAATGCGCCGTAGAATTTACGGGGGCAGAACGAGCAATTTATGAGGAAATTCGAAATAAAACAATTGCTCGTATTGACCATCTTTTGTACGAGAGCAGCGACGATGCACGACCTTTTGAGTACGTCAATGTCCTACAGCAGATCGAAGCCATGCGTATGGTGTGCAACCTAGGACTACATTACTATAACCGTCGAGATCTTGGAGCCTCTATGCAAAAAGCTCCTGAGAGCTGGGCGACTGTTGCTCAACAAACTTTTAACCTTCAGGGTGAAATGGGCGGCATGCGGTGTCGATACTGCTCTGCTGTTGCAGATGCATCTGCTAGCTTGCTGAACGGCATCCAAAGCCAACAGCCATTACAGTTATCAAAGTGCCTGCAGCTTATTTGTTCCGATTGTATAGTCATGACACGGCCCATTGATTGCGGACACAATCCTCCATGCCCCTTTGAAAAGGTCTATCTAAATCCGAATAGCATGGAGGAGACGTCGTCGTCTTTGTATCATCTTGAAGACGCGACGTCGTCTTTACCGCAGACCCCGAAATTTCCACCGAAAGTGACGGCTCTTGTGGCTCAGCTTAAAGCTCTTCCGCCGGGTGTTAAAAGGTACGCTCTATCACATGGACTCTTAGACCCTTGGTGAGCTGGTTTAACGTGCCATAAGTGTGGTCTTCTCGACTTGGCGAACAACTTTGGATATTGTTGAAGCCGGACTGAACCAAGCATCCATACAATGTCTTCGTTTCGACGGAAGTATCCCGTTGAAGGAGAGACAGACAGTAATTGACCGGTTTCGTCAGGAGCCGATGCCAAGTGTACTTTTATTGACTCTGTCATGCGGCGCAGTTGGGTAAGACACATATTTTATGCAGTGCTTCTGATCATACATGTAAGCTAGCAGCTCATTGTTTGCTAAATTCGACAGGTTGACGCTCACTGTGGCTTCGTACGCTTTTCTAATGGAGCCTCATTGGTAAGTCATAACGGCACGGTGTTACCTGTGATTTCTGATGAACCAGTTAAATTTAACATTTATATATCCAGGAATCCAACGCTAGAAGATCAAGCTCTAGCTCGTATTTACAGGCTTGGCCAGAGAAACGAAGTTACCACCATTCGCTTTTATGTGCGAGATTCTTTCGAACAGGTGAGCCACGCATGCGCGAATACCATAAAAAGGTCTCAACATTTGACAACTACCGCAACATTTAGCGCGTAATGGATGTTCAACAGTCAAAGAGACAGTTCGCAGCTGTTCTCTTAACGCCACAGGATTCAACAGCCGGCCCTAGTTTAACTTCGTTGCAGGTATGTTGGTGTTCGCACTTGAAGTATTCGCAGCTAATCAAAAACATAGGATTTACGGTCCCTTTTGTGAACTACAGCTAATAAAAAGAGACAAATCCTCTGTTTAGCACGAATTTAAAAATGTGGCGAGTGTGGTCGCGTGGAGTTGGTATATGTCTGGCATTCAATTGTACTGCGCTCCGGGCGAGATTTGCGGCGGGCAATCTAATGACAGTGGACTATAGCTCATTCTATCTCATACGTAGTTTTTAAACCAAGCTTCTTGCTTAAAGTGGCAATAAGTGTATTGGATCACTGAAACGTGGAATAAATCTCGCTGCTAATACCCGATCAACGTCTTGAGGCATCTATGCTGCTGAGAGGTCGCACTGGCAAATGCTCCTGAATGCGCTGCAGGAAGCCATAGAATCATTAAATGTCCAGGTATATTAGGATTTGCTCCTGTAAATATACGCGCTGCTATAGAAGGTGAAAGGCGGTTACCTCTTCAAGGCAATGCATGCGTGCATAAGAGGTATTTATCTACCTATGTTGTTGTTGGTCTCATACCTGCCTGGTCTATTGATAGAGATGATTTGGCCCGCTGATAGGGTGGTTATAACTCCAAAAGAGAGTTTTGTGTGCCTTTTATTTCTTATCCATTGCCATAGCACAGCAGTATAATACTTGTCTGTGCTGTTCCATACACATAAATTTCTTCATCTGCATGCTGCGTTTGCAAATTGCTGGCTCTGTCCAACCCATTTCGATGGAACTAAATCTTTTCTGTTTTCTTCCATTATTCTGACATAGTTATTAGATCATCTATATCAATCAACGTTTTCTCTAGAATTGACCCCACATCTGGTTTAGGAAGCTCATCTGCTTGTTTTGAGTGAGAGGAGGCACTGGGTTCCACGAAAGATGACCGCGAGCTAGAGGCTGGCGTAATGTACCCTAGTTCGTTCCATTGTTCGTGGAAACTTATAAGACGTGATAAGATCATACTACCATGTGACTTGCGGAGATTTCTTAGCCTGGCTTCGAGCTCCTTGATCTGGTCTCTGTCATGCTGAATCTGCTGCACACACTCGGCCCCTGTCTGTTTGAACATCTTGTAGTAAGCAGAGAAGTGGTCAATTTTCGCCGTCGCGGCCTGCAGCTGCTGATCGAGACTGTCGATTCGTGTTTGTAAAAAAGCGTTGTTGGAAAGGAGGCTCGCAATCTTATGCCCTTTCTGCTCACTTTCCTGTTCTAGATTATGTACCTTGTCAACTACGCAGATACAAGCATGTATGCTGTTAATCGAGATTCTTTGGCTTTTAGCTAGAGTGTCAAGACCTACGCAGTCCCCCGTTCTCATCCCTTAATTCTTCATTTAGTCGCCAGAGTTCCTCGGTGGTCACTGCTCCAGCATTTCGATACGCTGTAGATTGTTGGAGCTGCACATTGATGTTGCTTGTCGCATCAGTGAAGGAAAAGGACTGGATGCTGAAGTTGAAAATACTGAGTTCTTTCTCTTGCCCTGCAACAGACTCAAAGCCACTATGCTGATATAACTGAATAGAACGCTTCCGATGTAAACGAAGCTCTGTGATATGTTGATGAAGCAGGTCGTGAACATTAGCAAGCGATTCACTATGTAAGACAGCGGGTTAGATCGAAGAATCTTATTTGACTAATGATATCACCACACGTATATATGGATAAGTTACAGATAAAGTTGCAAAATACTTACGTTTGGAAAAGAGACACCAAGGTGTTAATGGCGGCGTGTTGCCCCCTGAGATTTGATAGCAACTGGTTCATGGTCTCCTCATTCCATAATAGTTGCACCTTCTTCATAAATCCCATGTCTTCTGGCTTTTTCCCTTCCACAAGGCGCTCCAGGTGGACTTCGAGCGCGGACAATATGAGCATGCATCCTGTAAGGGCGTTATCAAAGCCCTCTTGAATAGTTTCCGGGGTCGTTAGGCTCGGAGAGAGAGCGACGGGATTCCCAAGGGTGAGATTTTGTAGGTGAGTGAGCGCCGCACTGATGGTTTTGCACTCAGTTATCATAGTTGCGATGATCATCGGCGCTTCCTGAAAACCCTTCCTGATATCTGAGAGGGATTTGCTGGCTTTGGCCAAAGAGAGGACCAGGGAAGAAGCCGCGCCGATTATTGCGATAGGATCCATGGAATCGTCTTCACGGAGAGCGAACCGATGACTCAAATGCGAAAGCCGGTTAGGGATTGATAAATATGAGTATAGAATAATGATTGGTTTGCGGTGATGGACAGACAATGAAGGAAATCATGAAGTCTGCATAACTGTGTCCATAATGCCTTGCTCCCCATGCGTGCATGAATACCCCGCTGGATAAGTTCATGCTGCATGTAAACGCCTGATAGACGTCCAGCCTTGCGATTACGCAAGGCACCCAACCCGTTGGGCATACATGTGCATATTTGGCGACCCAAGGCTGTATTCCGAGATTGGAGCATCGGTAACTACATGTACATGTACACGTAGATATGGAAGACTGAGCCATCCAAGACTGAGGAGTAGGTGCCTAAAATTATGAAGGATTCACCGCTCTCCCTTGATACGTATATCGTGTCGCCAATCACAGTCTCTGCCTCGCTCCGATGCATACATGTAGGCGCAAATACAGGTCTCAGGTGCCCATTCTGGTTGCCTTTTTACTTCGGCTTCTCATCGCCCCCAATGGTAGTGCACAGCCTCGATGTAACGCCGTTGATATTGTAAAATGCCACGAGCAGAGCGCGCCTATTATATTTCGTGGTAAAGTCCATTTTATGTTGATAGTGCTCGCAATCACACTAGAGCAACGGACTTGACTTCCACATCTCTCTGGTTCTCACGGAGTATTTTCCCTCTCATTATAATCCATCACGTTTCTCATCAGCCCATCGAAGCAATATGGCTGATGCTTCATCATCCAAAGTCATTGACTCGATAATGAGTTCGGATGAAAACCCGGGCGGGAGAAGCGAATCTGCTGACCAGCTTCGGGGGCTAGGCCAGAACCAGCAGCGCATTCTGGATGTCATCGACACTCTGCGATCTGCCACGCTCGAGGAGATACAGCTGCCACAGCTCGTCGTTGTTGGCGATCAGTCGGCCGGCAAGAGCTCTGTCCTTGATGCTATTCCCGGGATCCCAATTCCTAAGGACCCCGACGGTTGCACGAGATTCGCAACGGAGTTCCGTCTCCGCCGTGGCGAAGCCAGAATCTCCATGGGCATTATTCCACACAAGAACCGGACTGTTGAGAAAAGAGAGGAGCTTCTCAAACTGACCCATGAGGCGACAGACACAGCTCAGCTCAGCACCTTCATCAAAAAATGTCAGAAGGCCATCTTTGGCGGTGATGAGTCCGGCAAAGGCAATTTTGCCTCACGAGATATCATGACGATAGAGATCCGCGGGCCGAAAATGCCGCTGCTTACGCTGGTTGATCTCCCGGGTTTTATCCAAGCGCCAAATAAGAAGCGGACTGTCAAAGACATTGCGGCCATCAACGACATTGCTCTGGATTACATGAAAAGGGAGCGAACTATAATACTGGCTGTTGTTGCCGGGAGCTCCGATTATGTTAACCAAGTGGTGCTGAGGAATTTTCTGGACTACGACAAAGGAGGTCAAAGGACACTTGGCATCGTCACGAAGCCCGATCTGGTCGATAGCATCGCTCTTGAGGAAAAGTTCTTGAAGCTAGTGAAAAATGAAGATATCAAACTCGATCTAGGCTGGCATGTTCTGAGAAACCGGGCCCCTCAGGAGAAGGAAACAGAGACCAACGACCGTAACCAGAAAGAACATGAGTTCTTTGCCAATGGCAACTGGGGAGATCTCCCAAAGGGCACATATGGCGTCGAGTCCCTGGTCGCCAAACTGAGTGACTTGCTCTACAGTCACATCACTGATTACTTCCCTCGGCTCCTGGGAGAGATCAAGGAGGAGCTCGAGCGCTCTGAGAAAGAACTTCATGCCATGGGACGCCGCGTTAATAATGAATCAGAAATGTTGGCAGAAGTATCAAAACTCTTGTCTCTCTCAAAGCCTCATAAAATCTGGTATTGATGGTTACTACCCTAACCAACACGGCTTCTTTCATATAGGAGATGGTGAGAGCTTTACACAGATATCACCCCGGAATCTCCGCGCGCGCATCAGGCGGGAGAACACCGAGTTTGAGAAAGAAATACGAATTCGTGGCTGCAAGGTGCGCCTTGTTGGTAAGGGCGTGCAACATGAGGACCACGATCTTGAGGATGCCCGACTCAGAGGGATCACCCTCGCGCGTGAATGTGGAAGATTACGAGACCAAAACTGTGCAAATCTACCTTGATACATATGTGGGACAGCATCTACCTGGTGACTACGACCCATTGATTGTCTACCATTTGTTTGTCGATTACTCGGCCAAGTGGGACAGTATCGCCCGTAACTACAGGGACAGGATTCAAGGCATAGTTAATGAATTCCTGCAGCAGGTTGTGAACTCTGTCTGGCCGCAACGCATGCGAACGCGGCTATGGTCGACGCTTCTGGGCAAGAAGATTGAAATGCTTCAAACTCGGGCAGGCGAAGAGCTCGAGAGGCTCTTGTTGGATCGTCGGAGATGCTCCCCAATCTACGGTCCTGAGTATCTCAGACGGCTAAAGGAGCTGCAAGTTAGTTCTTCCCCAGACAAAATATCACCGACTGGGGAGATCTTACAAAGGATGCTAGTGTACTATGAGGTATGTGAGCCTATTGGAGTGTAATAATCCCCTTTTATGTGCACTTCTAACCTCATGCTTTGCAGCTTGCCTCCAAGATCTTTATATCAAACGTCATAGTACAGGTAGCTGAGCGACATCTCATCGACGGGCTGCATACAGTCTTTTGACACATCAGAATTAATGCAGATGGACAAACAGACTGTGGCTGAGCTTGCTGAAGAAGATAAACATAACAAAACTATACGAGATCGTTTAGAGCTAAAAGTTAGCAAGCTGAAAGAGGCTCGCGACGACTGTATGGCAGTTGCCATGGCGAAAGGCCAAAACCTGGTACGAAAACATGAGCTGTGTTATAGCCAAAACTTGAGATGATATACAAACTAACGTTAGAGAATTTGTAGAACCAACAAGTCGAGCCAGACATAGTAAACATAGTAAACCTAGACTCTAAAGAGGAGGATTTAGACAAGCCCTTACAAACCCGGCACCACAAGCACGAAAATGCCGAACCTAACGGAAGGTACACCACGCCTGATAGTATTCCCAGAAGCATACCAGAGAGGATAACGGCGACCCCTCGTCCTAGTGCTAGGTCACCGACGAAAGTACGGAAGACAAAGTCAAGGAGTGAAGGTTTCAGAGGAGGATATATGCCGGTTTCAAAAGAGTCAGAGTCAGACACGGACTGAGAGTCAAGACCGGACAATAGGAACGGCGTGGTAAATAGGGGCAAGCAGAACAGAAGCAGTCCGATGGACGCGGATTTGAAGAAGGCGTGGGACGTTCTCAGTGACGAGGAGAATAATCTTGCTTATAGTAATCACTGAATTCGGCAACTTGGAGCTCTATAGGTCGATGAATCGAGCACAACTGTGAATATATGATGATAAAACTCCTGATATGCGTATCGTTCTCTTGTTAACCGGAGCTTTATATCTATAATGGGCTCTTTTGGTAGATAAGACTATATAATACTTGGATTTTTTTTTAAAATTTTATTATCACTCTAGTTATGTACTTGGTGTTTAGAACTACCTAGGTATATAATACTCGCAGAGGTAATAAACAACCCCTCTAGGTAAGAAGATCCCCGTCGCGATTGAGCATCTCTTGGTCTAAGTAGCATGCCGAAAGTGCTTTGCAGGTCGCTCACGAGATGGAAGCATGCTGCAGAAAGAGTAGTAACGCCACTGGCCGTGATCTCAGATGAGCATTTCACACCACTCCTCTCTTTGTCTTTTTCTTTCATTCTTCCCACAGCCGACCAGCCACATCAATGGCACTCATTTTATTCTTCAATGGCTACTACTGCAGGAGCGGGGGGCACTTTGACGAGATAGATATGCCTTAGGATTATATCTATCTAGATATCCTTGTGACGCGTATATAATACTCTAGGCCCTTGAACTTTAAGAGTGAGCACCAAATTGTATATTAGCTGCCTAAATATCCAATCAATCTCTCTATCTTTGCGCGAGTGATGAAAGTCGCATTACTTAATAGGCGGGGAATTCTTAACACTACCAACATGTTATATTACTCGTAGGCCCAATGGCCAGGGTCAAGCATCACAACGTAGTGCAAGTTTGCATAATGATGTATTCTTCTGCACGCGCACGCTTAGCCTTTCACCACTGAGACTTCATCACAAATTGCAGTCCGACGAGATTCCCAGTAGTCAAGCTCGCCATAGATCCTTGCAGAAAGAGAAGGGCCACTGGCCGTGATATGAGAACATATCCTCCGTCTTTTTCTTTCTTCCTTTCTTCCCACAACCCATCAATCGCGCCAATGGCAGTCGTTTTATTCTTCTTTGGCTACTAGCCACTCCACCTATTGTTTGTAATCCTGGTTCACTCTGGGGGATGCCATTTCCTGGAGACTCAGCGGTCAATAGGATCCCATTGGGTCCTTCGGGAGGCGACACCTCCCGATGACATGATGGTCATCATTGTCTCCAGGTCAGCCCGAGGTCCTGTAGTCAAGCTGGTCAGTTCTTGTACTGCTACCAATACGGGCCAGATGAAATTCCAGCAGTCGGGGTGGCTTGACACTGGCTTTCATCGTCATATGAAACAATGCCTTCTGTCTGCCATAAAAATTGGAGCTAACTAACGCCAACCCCAGATTGCACATTTTTGAGTCTTCCTCGTGTGATTTTCTCCCATGAAAGGTACCCAACTAACCGCGATACCTGACTGTGCATCTTTTCGTCTTCCTCATGTGATATTCCCCCGGTATCCCACTGTGCGCCACACCGTAACGTGATCATCATGTCCGTGTTCTCTATGTCTCCATTGCGATCGCCATGTGATGTTTCCCCGGTATCCCATCATGTGCCGTGTCGTAGCACTCAGTCGTGAATCTTCATTGCACATGTCCCCCAGGACTCAATGGCGCTCGCCATGTCACTCCATCTGTACCCATAGAGTCTTTCGCCAACTGTAGCCCATCTTTGAACACTGTCACAATGTCAAAGCATTACCTGCTGACAAGATTTCCAGTCACGGGCGAAGACGTCTGCCCGATGATGGTGAAGCCATATGGTAAGCGGGTGGATGGAGCGCAAGGTTGAAGATAAAAAGAAAGGGGCACGAGGCGGCTGTGTACGTGTTCAATTCCGGGTGGATTCAAGAAGAAAAGTTTAAGAGGAAATGGGGAAAAGCTAAGCACATAAAACTTTGTTATTTTCTCTCGTATTTACCTAGTCATTTCATGTCTGCATAGGTACAGGTATCGTCGCTTTGTCGGATAAAAGAAAGAGAAACTGGTAGAACCCATGTAGCCATGTGCGATATGGCATAGTGCAGAAGCCAGGCGCTTGACTACATACCTATTTATAGAGGAGAAATCACTGATGATCATTTAAAAAGGCGAGAGGATAAACAAGTAGAGAGCAGTTTTATAGGCCATGCTGCAAACTAAATGTATGCGCCCCCTAAGTCAGCTCTTCTGTTGGCATCAGGACTAGTATCATTGGTGATAGCCTTGGAGATGAAATGAGCCTTCAATACGCCTCAGTTGATGGTAAAAAATTCGGAAGATAATGAACTCGATTATACGATTTACTAGGTATGATAGATTCGATGAAGCCTTCAATATTCTCAGTGAGTGCAATCAACATGTACCTACATTATAGTCTAACATGTACATGTACTGTAGCAGCTCACGTGATTCAGGCGTAAATTTATGAGGAGGCCTCACTTACACCCGCGACACGGTTCCATTACAGTACTGTCCGTTTACTTGAACATGAAGCACAAAGATTAAAGGGATCAAAGAGCCTCTCTATATCATTATTGTGCATAATCAATGGGAGGTTCGTGGGACACAAGCTACCGCCATGCCTCGGCTTTATCACACCAAATCCAAGACTGGCTGCGCTCGGTGTAGAGCTCGCCGTGTCAAGGTAACGTACATAACCTCACACAGCTCCAGCCTATATCTCTGCGTTGATCCCTAAGCAGCCAGCTCACAATTCCTATATGCATACAGTGCGATGAAGCCAAACCCAATTGCGTTCGTGATTTCCCCGAACCAATTCCATGTATTTTATGTTGGAATGCCTAACAACAAGACCCAGGGCTGTTGTACCCGTCACAAAGTTGAATGCTTTTACGACAGAGCAAACCGCTCCGAGTCGTCGACGCCAGCCATTACCAAGATTATTGATCCAGGGCTGCACCAAGCAGGGACAGCGTCGACACAAGCCGCAGCCAGCAACGATGTGCATACTGAGGAGTCAATGCCATTATTGTCAGCAGAAAGCCGTGACCGTCGCCGACTAGAACTCCGACTGCTTCACATGTGGACCACCGAAGTCTGCCAAACGCTTCCAGGCAGCTATGACCCTCAGAATCTCAAAATTTGGTCTAGTGATGTCCCCAAGCTTGCTCTTGACTATGAACCTCTACTCACCGCCATCTTCTCCATCTCCCTCCTGTACATGGCCTTCAGCAACTCTCAGATTGGTAGTACAGAGGGTGAGCTATTCGCACACAGAGCAAAATACTTCGAGGCTACCCTAAGGCACCATCGCAAGGCACTTGGCTCTATGGACCAGCATACCGCTGACGCAGCCGGATTCACTTCCATTATCCTCGTATTTGATGCTTTCGCTAGCCTCCGAGAGCGTTGGATCCAACCGGTCCAGCCCAGTATGCCGTATAAGCCACCTACAGAATGGCTTCAGATGTGTCAGGGAGTCAGGAATGTTATTGCGCTCGGACTTGACATGGTCGGCGTAGGCTCTAATTCTTCTCTCAGTATCATAGCCAAGGGGGCTACCGATTTCTTCAAACCAGAGATTATCTCTTCGGAAGCCAATCGTGCGCGATTCGCTCACTTGCTGCCTGCCGACACCGATAAGATTGAGGATGACGCTGATAATGAGGCGTATACAACCGCGGTTGCGTACATCGGGTCGATCGCGGCGGCAAGGGAAGCTGAAGAAATGCCGTTGAAAATTGCTCGGAGGCTTGCAATTTTCCCCATCATCCTACCTAGCCGTTTTCTTACCCTGCTTGATATGCTCAGCCCACGCGCCATGGTTATCCTCGCACACTATTTCGCCTTGGTATATACCATCGATGGGCTGTGGTGGACAGGCAACTGCCCAGAAAAGGAGATTGAAGCCATCAAGGCTAATCTCAGCAGCGAATGGCATGACATGATGGAGTGGCCACTGCGAGTACTTCATGATCATAGTCAACCATCCGCTATGAGCTGCGACGAGGGATGAATTTCTGGAAGATTTATGCCGCCATGTTTAATTTGGGTAGGAATATGATAAAAGGAGAAAATAATGCTTAATATCTAGTACATTCAACAGAATACTTCAATGTTATTAGTGTTCTGCCCTTTTGCTGGTTTCTGACCGAGAGGATTGCACTGTTAAAGAACTAAATAACCGAGCACAACTCGCATTGCATACGGATGACGAATCACATAGAATATTAAAGCTCTGTCCCCATTCATGCATGTTCTTCACCTATAGAGGCTGTGTTACTCTCATCCTTCGGTCTCGTTCCTCGGTATCGTTTAGGACCCACTTCTCAGAAACCCTCCCCTATGACTCGGTTACGTTGCAGGCCACCATTCTTTTCCCAAAGTAAAGCCTTTGAGTCGATCATAGTTAGTACCTGCAGAGTGGAATTGCGTAGACGATGGAGATAGTGTTAGTTGAGAGGCTGGAGGCCTCAAGAAAGACGAGACGTGTAGGGGCTCAGACGCTGGATAGTTGGCCTACGCTCTAAGCTGTAGACACAACACCGTTTAGGCATAAAACTATCGGAGTCACCAGGCATCAGTTTTCTTTTTTCTCTTCTTTCCTATCAGATATCTTAGGATTACTTTGGAGCACTCAATCCATTACTTTTTGTACTCGTTTTTGCCAGCACTAGTCACAATTGTCTAGCTGGAAGAAGAACTTGACACGAGAAGCCAGCCGCCAGTCTTTTTATTGCCACTCACTCCAACCATTGTTCAACATCGATCGGAGACTAAAACACTCTATATCCCCGTTAAGTGGTTGAAGATACTCAGACGGAAATATTCCGGGCTGCGCACCATGACTGCGACATTAACCGCCGAGCTGGCCATCTATGCCACTCTCACCATTCCAAACATATACATCCTCTCCAAACACGGCCGTTCTGGAATCCTTGGATGGGCGTATCTTCTCGCTTTCTGTACGCTGCGTATTGTTGGAGGTGTTATGGATCTATCTGGAAGCACTACAGCAGGCATTATATCAAGCGTTGGCTTATCTCCTCTTCTCCTTGCTGCATCTGGCATCCTACAAGAAGCGTAATGATCCATATCCCATGCCACATTATAGCTGTTGATGCGTGTATCCTAATGAGTATGAATAGGAGGTCTTATTACTGCGATCCATTGGAGAAAAAACTGGAATGGACTGGCGTGCTATTGTTTCACGGCATTGTTACTACTGGTGTTGCTATTTTAGCCACTGGTGCATCGAACCTGGAGTCCAGTCACATCAAACCCGCAGATGTTTCCACGGATGCTTCTTTGGTAAAAGCTGGCATCGCTCTTTTGACTCTCGCTTGGGCGATTGTTGCCATCGTGTCGGTATGGGCACTGGCTCATCCGGCAAAGTTTCCAAAGTCAAAATCTTCCACTGCTGCAGGAACCAAAGTGAGTGTTCCTCATAAAAGTATATGAAAATACTGTATTTGACTAAACCAGCAATAGCTTCTCTGGTCTGTTCTTGTATCTGATATTTTCAGTGGAGTTCGGGTCATCTACTCCCTCGTCGCGCTGGTCACACAAGACGAGTCTCTGAACCCTCTTACCGGCGCTCTTACAATCCGTGTCCTCTTATCGCTACTTCCAGAGTTGATTAGCGTACTAGCTTTCATAACAGCTGGAATTCTCACCCGAAACGCTGCTCGGGATTTCTCAAAGACAAAGAAGGCCGCAGGTAGGAATGAGCGGACAAATTCAGTGATTTAGGGAGACTGACCCCGGTTTGATCCTAGCTTACATTGAATTATTAAATAGCCAGTAGCTGTGGTTCTTTGACCTTTCACTAGAAGTGGTTTCAATACTCTATCTTTAGTAATTGTCATTGATAGTACGCCAATTTTAGCACAATTAACATTGGTTACCATACTCAATATACCTTGATTCTCCTTCTTTTACATCTTTATATCTTGGACGCCAAGTTAATCTCCCATCCATGTGTTTGTTCATTATGCAATCGTTTGTATTCATCTTGCCACCTACAGGAGTGTTGCCAAAATAATTGCTTCGTCGTAATTAGGATTGTTTGACTGGTGGCGATGGTGTAGCCACACAAAGGGGCGTGGGGATATTGGGTAACCAGATCACATAACAAACGGTGTTGAAAACAATTTGCATCGTTTGGAGCAAAAATTGAAAGATGTTGGGTCATGATAAAGAACTTGAAGGGACCCCAAATTTTCCACTACCTATGGCCATATGTGACTGTTTGAGGTGGTAGATTCGTCCATATTCTCGTAAGACTGAACCACCCCAGACAGCAAGTGTGGCTGGTGTATGCAGAGCTGTGGCTTGCATCAACACGATAAACCGCATTTGGATTAGTGGCCAATTGGCGCCACAATTTTGGGGACGCAAAGTTTCTGCCCCACAGAGCGAAGGAAAAAAAAAAAACTGGAAGCTCCAAAGTTCTTCGAACTAGAAAAAAAAACCATCACGACTGCAAGCGCGCCAGCCTCGTCTTCCGTAATTTGACATCGCCAGACGCTGCACTTTCCTTTGGTTTCAAGATCTTGGCTACTCGGCTGCTTAATTTGGAAAGCAACTGCCCAAGATGGTTACGGAAGTCGTGAACAAGAAGAAGGAGCAGGAGGAGGAATACACCATCAAGCCTCAAGCGGTGACTCCGGCTGTCGACACCAGCCAGTGGCCGTTGCTCCTCAAGAACTATGACAAGCGTGAGTGAAGAATCTGATCTGGTCTTTTTACACTTGCAGGGGGAATTTCGACGCTCAATTGGGCGTGGCGAGGTTGTCCAAACGATGTTGGAGCGCATGATGAAAAACGGCACACGCACAAAAAAGAGAGCCTTCTGTTGACGTCTTTTCTTCATTCTAGTCCTTGTGCGAACCGGCCACTTCACCCCGATCCCCAATGGATCTGCGCCACTGAAGCGCGACCTCAAATCCTACATTAGCTCTGGTGTCATCAACCTGGACAAGCCTTCGAACCCTTCTAGTCACGAGGTTGTGTCCTGGGTTAAGCGGATTCTTCGGTTCGTGGCACCCTGCAGTTTCTTCGTCGATTGGGATTCCAATCGCTCTCCTCACACTGTATCGTAGAGCTAACAATGAAATCGGTGCAGAGTTGAGAAGACTGGTCACAGTGGTACCCTCGATCCCAAGGTCACGGGCTGCCTGATCGTCTGTATCGACCGAGCGACTCGACTGGTCAAGTCCCAACAGGGAGCCGGAAAGGAGTACGTTGCCATCATTCGTCTCCATGACAAGCTGCCTGGTGGCGAGGCCCAATTCGCGCGAGCCCTCGAGACCCTTACTGGCGCCCTGTTCCAGCGCCCGCCTCTGATTTCTGCCGTCAAGCGACAGCTCCGTATCCGAACCATCCACGAGAGCAAGCTGATTGAGTTCGACAATGACCGCCACTTGGGTGTCTTCTGGGTGAGCTGCGAGGCTGGTACCTATATCCGAACTCTGTGTGTGCACTTGGGTCTGCTGCTGGGTGTTGGTGCCCACATGCAGGAGCTGCGTCGTGTGCGATCCGGTGCCATGGACGAGACCAAGCACCTCGTCACCCTGCACGATGTGCTGGATGCTCAGTGGACCCACGACAACACCCGGGATGAGTCCTACCTGCGTAGGGTGATTGCGCCCCTCGAGACCCTGCTCACCGGCTACAAGCGTCTTGTTGTCAAGGATAGCGCCGTCAACGCCGTGTGCTACGGTGCCAAGCTGATGCTTCCTGGTCTCCTGCGTTATGGTATGTACATGATTGGAAAAGATTTAGAAGCGCAATCACAATGCATAGAACGTGTTGCTGACTGAATATTTTTTTTTCTTACAGAGTCTGGCATTGAGCACCACGAAGAGGTTGTCCTGATGACTACCAAGGGTGAGGCTATCGCCATTGGTATCGCTCAGATGTCTACGGTCGAAATGTCTACATGCGACCACGGAGTCGTGGCCAAGGTCAAGCGCTGCATCATGGAGCGTGACCTTTACCCCAGAAGATGGGGTCTCGGACCTGTCGCTCAGGAGAAGAAGAAGCTCAAGGCGGACGGCAAGCTCGACAAGTTCGGCCGACCCAACGATGCTACTCCTTCTAAGTGGACCTCTGAGTACAAGGATTTCAGCGTGTCAGATACCTCTGCGGCTGCTGCTGCTGCTGCTCCCGCCACGACTTCGATCCCCGTCTTGCCTTCCAAGAGCGAGCAGGCTGATAGCAAGATGTCCGATGCCGAGGTCCCCGCCGCTGAGGAGGACAAGAAGAAGCGGAAGAAGCATGAGGGAGAGACGGCCGAAGAAAAGGCAGAGCGGAAACGACGGAAGGCAGAGAAGAAGGCCGCCAAGGCAGCAAAGAAAGAGAGCAAGGGAGACGACGAGGACAGCGATTAAAAGAGGAAGAAAAGAGAGTGTGGAATCGAGACTGAGGATTCTTTTTCAGTGTAAAGTATCCTGGCGTGGGAGTCTTTTGTCGATATGGAAATGGTCGCCTTGTACCTTTCTCTTTTCTAGTTACCCACATGTGGCTCTTGGGCAATTGGCGTTATTAGGTATCAATTCGTACATGATTATTACTAGATGCGTGCAAAGATGTCAAGTAACGCTGAGTGTGATTGGGCTCTCGGGAGATATGAGTGATGTCATTTTTGTCTTTCGGCGCGTATGCCTCGCGCTTACGCTGGAGTGCACAATTGTCTGCTCACGGATCTGACCAAGGGAGATGAAGGAAGGAAACGCATTGGAACAGAATATCAATTTTGTAACTCACCTTTGCTTGGGGGCTGAATTGCTTTTGCAGATACTACCTAAGCTAAGGCAGACGGGAGCATTTGTGTGTGGCCATATAGACAGACCGGCCATGTAGATGAAGATCTGCCAGATTGATATCATCTCCCATCCTTTTTTACCGGTACCTGATCCCAATCACTAGCATACAAAACTATTTAATCACTAAGCCAATCCACTGCTGCATTTCAAGGTTTTGGTACCTGAACTGGAAGGAGGCATTGGGCGCGAACTCACGTGGAGCTTGCAGTTAAGCGCCGACACTTTCTGGACCCGTCATCACACGTTGAGACGCTGCAATCTTGTCCATCTCCCGCTTTTTTTTTTCTTACTAGCATTCTGCGTCCTTCGATTCGCTACGCGCTCACTCGCTAGAGAAAGCACTAGTTTGCGAGATGCTGCTTCTCATTGGGCCGGAATGACGAGATGAACGGCTGTTGCATACATGGGTTTGTTTTTTCCTGGTTTCCGCAGTGTGACTTGGGCGGCGGAATTGGCGATGGGCTTCACTCACGTGGAGCTGCCCGATGCGATGGGATGAGATGAGATGGACAGGGATGCAAGGGGGGCTGAGAAACGGTGTGACGACGAGTGCCGTCAAGGGAGAAGAACAGCTGCACTCGTATGTACGGCATGAGCACAAGCGCCTTGGCCTTGCGGCAGAGCCAGAGACGGCTTATGGCTTATGGGTGTGATGGGAGCTGAGCCCTTTAGCGAGGGGTGTCGAGACGGGCGGCAAGACGTGCGAACATGTTGCCGCCGTCACGATAGTCTTGTCACCGGCGCCTTGGGATCAACAAGCTTAAACAGCCATGATTCACGCACGATATTATGAGCCGTGGCTGCCCCTCGCCTCGAGCCGGCTTGCTTTGGCGTCTCGATCGTTGCTCTTACTCATACTCTCGCTATACCCTCAGGTCTCTCGGTTGCATTTCTCTTGTCTTGTATATTTTTCCTTTGCTGGTGGCGTTACTGCAGTCTGGATACTGCTCTTCCTGATCGGGGTGTACTGTCTTACTTTTGGAACCACGGATGAGAATAGTGTGCCACTCTTAAATGAGGTGTATCGACCTTCCTTGCGGCATTGGCTTCCTCGACTAGATTACTCCTTTGACAGCATTCGCTCTTTTACAACACGCACCAGCTCTGCTTCCGCCGTCGTTTGAATCCAACTCTTGTCAATCTCATTCACTTCAACAAACTACGGCTGTTCATATCAGAGACAATGGCTTACAAGTCCATGGCTCGTTGGATCTTCTCCCTATTTTTCATGGCCTTTTCATTGGTACACGCCCTGAGAGTTTCACCAAACTCACCTTGTACAAACGTCTGCACCACTTCCGATGTGTCGCAGTCCGATCCGAAATTCTTCGATGACCAGTGGAAAGACATTGTCTGCGATGACAAGGACTTTGACAGCAAGCCGGAGGGACAAAAGCTGAAGAGCTGCTTCACCTGCTTGCAGAACAGCACTTACACCCACGGCAGTGAGAATGATCAGGATTGGTTCTTGTGTAAGTCTTTGTGGTTACAATCCCCTATAATTGCTGTTAGCTCATATATTGCACAGACAACCTGCGGTATTCTTCCGGCTATTGCATGTTTGGCTATCCCAATAACACCGGTATCGAGACTGGCCCTTGCACGACAAGCGTCGGATGCGGAAATCTCGCTTCTGCTCTAGAGCTTGGCATTAAGAGCCCAACCAACTCGACTCCATATGACTATTGTGATACAAATGGAGGCGTCATCACCAGTGGGGATGTCGATGGGTGCTTGGAGTGCGTTAAAGCCGATGGGCAGCACCAATATCTATCCAATTGTACGCTTTACACGCCTTTCCTTTCTATCACCTTCTCTTTTACTGATTCCCCTGTTTTGTAGTTCTTCTTGCTCTACAAGGAGCATGCGAGGCGAAACCCGCACCAGGGTCCATTTTAATTCTCAACAATACTCTCTTTGGCAACAGCAACATCCAAGTCGTCGATCAAACGCCCTCCACCAACTATGAGGAACCCAAGCTTTCCAGCTCAGCAATTGTGGGCATAGCCATTGGTGGAGTCGTCTTACTTGCTCTGGCCGCAGGTTTCACTTACATGTGCATTCGCAAGCGCAAGAATCGTGCGAAGCAAGAAGATCGTGCCTCTGGCTACTCGTTTCGCTGCCAAACCAGAGTAACTCCTGTGACACCGAGGTTTCCTGACGACGCCCATGCCGACGGCGTCTTCCAAGGAGGAGAGAAGGCACACGTTAAGGTTACCACTGGTGTTGGAGCAGAACCATATCCTGTGGATCGATACCCATGGAATAGCCAAAGCTCGTTAAACGTCACGATCAGCAGGCAAGACAGTGCGATGATGAGACCCAGTATCATCACTGCTTTGACCCCACCAACTCAGGCATACATCTCCCCTCGGGCTTCCTCTCCCGACGACTTCGCAACTCCAGCTTCAGCTGTCTCAACCCGCTCCAACGCCCCCCTTCTTAGTCACCAGCCTCCTGGATTCTCGCCTTCTCCCCACTTGAGCCAGTCTAGCTGGTCACCCACCCCGAAACCTTACCGTCCCGATAGAAGATGGGAGGAGGAAACCGGAGTGACCAATGCGCTAGGACTAATTACTAGGAAGAGAAGTAAGGCGGGCATGGGAAGCCCTGTTCAAAGCGAGATACTGATAACATCTTTCCCACCGCCACCTACACGGTGATTTGAGGGTGACTGATGATTATGTCGCGGGATTTCATGCTGAAACGATTTTTCTTGGAAGTAACTTGGGGCTTACCTTTGCTTTGTATGATACGATAGCGATGCTTGAGGGTAGAGCGAGACAGCTGGACTGATGACGCTTGAAATAATGCAACGATTTACGACAATACACTTGAAGATACGTTGATGATCGTAATAGAAGATGCCTTGAAGATTACATATGCATTCGCAACCATTTAATTCCTAATTCTAAAGGCCCAGACTGCCAACATCTTTACCCAACACCATGCCATATCCAATACATATCCCAACCAAAATAAGGCGAGCAATCAACACTATCCATCCAAATCTACCCCTTTCTAATCTCCGCCAGACTAGTATTACTACCGGCCCGAAGCCAACAGCCGGTTCCAAGTCCCAAATACCTAGAATAACTATGCTACCTGCCCCAAGTCACCCAGAACCTTGCCTTAATCCTCCCTTCCCTCTAAATATCCGAGGTACAACGCTTGAAAACCCTCTCTATAGGTACTCAGTACCTATCGATCGAGCATCCTAGCAAGTACATGTACATCATTAAGTGCACCATAGCGAGCAGCAGAAGAAGTACTTTTGATATACTCTCCTGGTTCCTCAAGACCTGTTACAACCGCTGCCTAGGTACCTTCTTCTTGTATCCGCTGGTATCAATACCTACCTTTTTTAAATAAACATCTGCCACCATCGCTAGGTGGCTTCGTTTTGAAACTCAATATCAGACCAGTACCTGCTTTTACTCAGCCTCTGTACAGAGCAACTTAGATATCACATGGGCTAGTATATCAAGACAGATGGTATACAAAGTCCACTTCAAGGTTCAGCCATCAGAAAGGCCCGAGGCTGGACGCACTACTCAGCAGAGTAAAACGCGAACTATAATATGCTGCTGCTTTCCGCACATTTTGAGCATAACTGTTTCTCTCTTTTCTTCCTTCAACCATTTTCCCATCACCGCCTGTTATCACTAATATTTCCCCACTACTTGCTATAACCATCTTGAGCGCTCACACCACCATAGCGAAAGTATGTCAGCCTCGCCTCCTCAGAACATGGAACCCCCCTGCAAGCTAACGCCCCGATTCCAGCAAAAAATGCGCATTTTCACCAAAATCAAGGAGCTAAAAGCCCGGTACGACGACTGGAGAATCCGTCGCTGCTGGGAAAAGTACCTCGAGATCAAGGACTGGATAAGCCAACAGGTCGAAGAGGAAGAGCGCAAGGAGCGGTACGAGGCGGAGCGGCTCGCCGCGAAGAAGAGGCGAAGAGCGGCGAGAAGGGCGGAAAAGGCGAAGAGAAAGGCAGAGCGCGGCGAGCCTACCTGGAAGAAGTACATTCCCTATTTTCCTAAGCCCATCGGGTTCACGCCGCTTTGGGAGCTGGATGAGATGATCCGCACGGGGGAGTTCAAGTGATGTTTGGGCTGCGGAAGGGGGGCTTTTGGACAGAGTCATTAGCCTGGGCGTTTTGGAGTGTGGATTGAAGGTTTTTTTTTTTTTTTGTTTTCTTTGTTTTGGCTTTAGGTATTCTTAACCTGGGCGTTTGGAGCAGGAATCAGACTACCTTGTAACTTCAGGTATCTCTAGCCGGGGGCGTTTGGAGTGGAAATTGAGTACTTTATATCTTTCCAGCATCTTCTATGGCTACATCAGCTGGACCATGGCTTGGCGATAGTAACAGGTACCGGAAAAGGGGGGCAACATTTGTAGCAGTAGTTGAATTCTTCCCCAAAAGATATGCAAAGTGGCTCAATAAACAACATACTCAAAGCCTTCCCCCAACCACTCAGATCTCATGCCTCGTGGTTAGATCTGACCGAAACCGATGGAAGTGATGCGAGCCATATGACGTTATAATGGCAGAAGCCGTCAGGCACGAAAAACTGGACTTAATGAAAGAAAGTTTAGGACAGTCTCAAGGAAATCCGGTCCGCGTCATCGAGAAAGGGGCACATCCAGCAACGGCGTCAAGAAGTAACTGCTTGGAGATATGGAGAAGACCCAGAAATGATGGACGGCGAGGCGGAGTATAAGCTTTCAATTATTGATTTAAATTCAACGACTTGGGGATGCCCAACGATGACGCGTTCGACGATAGTCCTGACTTGGATATTCAACAGATTTGTCTTTAGTTTACCCATATCGTCTAAGTTTTGCCACTATTATCCTCTTCTAGTATCTATACCTGATAATAGAGTTAAAGTAATGTAGTTGCCTATCATCTACGGTGAAATTTAGGACGTGGGATGCTGGATACCTAGTCACTCCCTTTTGTTGATACACACCCTCTCTATCACTTATCAGGTTGCAACGGTATCACGAGACACCAAACGTATGAACCATCATTCATATTCAACTTTCAAGATGCAGACGCTGAACCTCTCTATCAACAAATCATTCCATATCATGCCATCACTCTCCTACCTTGAATACTGTATACAGTCTCAATAACTAAAGACAGAAAAAAAAAATACGCTTCCCATATGCCCCTACCGCTTTGACATAAGGAAAGAGAAAAAAAAAACCCATGCGTAAATGACAAACACGGAGAAAGAATAGCGTCCGAAAGTATAAACATCACCGGGAGGATAAAGGGCGAAACCGAAAAATCCACACGAACTTGCGTAAGACGACGCTGTAATCTCTTTTGCACTCGACTACAGCAAACTCCCAGTCCAACAGTCCAATTCGTGGGTATCTGACAATTCGTGCCTTGTTCCTCTGTCCCTCTCGTACGCGTAGAAACAACAAAAAAGAAGCCAAAAGCCAAAGCAAGAATGACGGCTTGCAAAGCTCAAGGAAACTTGATGTGAGAGAATTCTTTAAAAAAAAATTGAAAGATGAGAGAAAAAAAAAAGGCCTTTATTACCATAAATGAATCCCTCAAGCTCTGAATTTGTGACAACCAATCCCTCAAAAAAATACCAATTCCCTCCCTACCAACGCCGATTTTTTTCATATGATGCTTTCGTCCAGAGGCGTGCCTCCTCTGCTCAATATATCGCTTTGCAGCTTTCCATTTTGTGATTTGAACCACGTTGTGCCCTCCTCCATCTCCTGACGCATTGCCCTAAGTTCTTGTATTAAAATTTCCGCGTCACTCATAACGCGCTTATGTGAATCCGTATCATCAATCTGCTCTTTCGCCGTCTCCCCCTCATCTCCTGCAGGTCGCTTCCTCTTGTTGTTAATGGTTAATGGGCTATCTAAAAAGGGGTCTCCTCGAGAGGATGCGAAGACCAGAGGGCTTTGCTGCCTCACTGCTGCTGCTGCCGATGCTGCGCTAGTGATCGATGCCCGTCGGGTTGATGTACTTCCCCTCAGAAGTGAATCTCTCAGACCAGAATCTCTCAGACCTGTATCTTTCTTGAGACCACGTTTGATTTCGTCTACCATGGATTCCGGCAAGGCAGTTCCGTCAGGCATCTGTACGATGCCCATAGCTTTCAACCGCCAGCGCTCAGATACTTTTCTCGCCCGTGATTTCTCCGGTGGCGAGCTGCCTGCTATAGAAGGCAGAGAACGCTGAAACCGGCCAGGTTTGTCTCCGAGAAGTCGTTCGCGCAAAGCTCGTGTTTTCGAACCACCCTCCGTGCTTGCAATCGACCCTGACCGAGACCGCATTCCTTGGCTCCCATTAATCGATGATGGCGTAGGCGATAGTCGGTAATCGTTGCGGAAGATTGCTGAGACGGCCCTTCGCTCGTTTGAAACACCAGATAAGACGCCAGACGCAAGCAGTGCTTCCTCTGCTTTTCTCTTGTTCTGTTGGGATCTCCTGAGTATTGTTGCCAGCTCATCGGGGCGATTAAGAGTGGCCACTTCTGCCTTTTGTTTGGCAATTCGTTGAGCAGCCTCCTGCTCTTCCTTGAGCTGTGCTACTCTCTGAGCTTCGCGAAACGCGCGGAATTGGTCGCGACCGCTTTGACGTAGTTGTCTTAGACGTTTCTCCCGAGCGGTTCTCTTCCACTGGTAAAAATATTTCAGTGAGAGGTTATACGTCCGGAATCTCTTAGCTTCCGCTTCGTCTTGCTCCTCTTTTTCTCTTGCTATCCTCTCCTCCTCATCCTTCTGAAATTTGTCAAAAGTTTCTCGGACGATGCTTTCCACCATGAAGACCTCAAATTCCGTCATCAACCCCTTGTCTCCATTCACAAACCAGTTTGTAAAGTCACCAAGCAGATCGCGTGAGGGGGTCACCGCTTTCAGGGGAGGTGGCTCAATTGGGGAAGTAGAAAAGAAAGCAGTGCGAGGAGGCGAGGAAGTTGGGGTGGTACTGGCAGTTGGTTGAAATCTGCGACTGGGTGTTGGAGAGCTGAGTCCTGGGAAACCGGCAGAAGAAGCTTGCAAAGTGTCAGTCTGTAAGGAGAGGGGTGATTCCTGAGGCTTTTTGGGCTCTTGTCCCAAGAAAGAGTCAGAAAACGATGTGGTTGGTATTCCACCCTTGGGTACTACTTTGTCAAGCACGCTTGATGTAGAGAAGTCAATGCCTCCACCTGTTTGTGGGAATGGCGATAACTTATTGCCCGCATTCAACAGGGATTGGCTCTGCCCGGTTATCGACGATTTGGAGCCTAGATCAAAGGATAATATGCTGCTACTCGTCGCTCCCGCTGAACTAGGCAAAGGCGTACTCGCTGGTACCGCTGGTACCGCTGGCACCACCGGTATTGCTGGCACTGCTGACACTGCTGGATAGGCTGCTGGTTTGCTTGTGCTCACAGGAGCAGGAGCCGGTGAAGGAGAAGCAAAAAAGCTAGGTTTAGATTGGCTTGTCCCTCCCTGGGTTGTGTCCGTAACTGGGGGAAATACTGATGCCTTGATACCACTAAATGGCCCTGACAAGGCAGGCTTTTGCTCTCCAATTGTACCAAAGGAAATCTTTGGCGGGGGAGTAATTCCATTCACAGCTGTCGGCGCAGAAAATGACGGGAATCCGCCTTGGCTTGCTGATAGTTGAGCTTGCGGCTGAGAGGCCGGTTTGCTCTGGAGGCCTGAGAAACTTAGGGAAGGGGCCGGTGCCCCTTGTGCAAAAGGATTAACGGGAGTACTTCCACCCAAGATTGATGGTTGTGCAGGGGGATTCTGAGAGGCGTTGCTTGGCGTGACAGAAGATGCAAAGGGATTCGCTGCCGTAGATGCGTTGTTAAAGGACAGCGCAGGCGCAGTAGAACTCGAAGTTGGATTGCTGCTAAAAGGTGTCGAAGCGGAAGCGAATGGGTTCGAAAATGGACTAGGTTTTTGTCCATCAGGTGCTCCAAAAGTGCTAGTTGTTTGCTCTGAAGCTAAAACGGTATTAGTGAACTGGAATGAGCAAGGATAATGTGCGAGATAACTGCTGATGTTCTTGTATCTGGCAAGGGAATAAATCTCTACCTTGATGTGTGCCGGCGAAGTTGCTTCCAAACCCACTTAAGGTCTGGCCGAACGCAGGAAGAGTTGTAGCAGTTTGTGTCTTGGGCGGTTGAGGTTCGGCTGGTATTCCTGGTTTTGTGTCTGGCACAAAGAGAGATCCTTCATCTTGCATAGAGAAGCTACCGGATCCTGATTCGAAAGACGTAGTCGAGTCCTCGGAGATTGTTTTGTGGATAACGTCTGGTAAAGGTCGATTTCGCCGCTTATTTTCCACGAGAACCTGTGAAAATTGATGGTGAAGACGGGGGTGCCGAAGCGGCTCCTTGTTATTCAAAACCAGGCATTGTTGGTTAGGGTCCATAGGAGCCTGTTTGTCTGGGACGAATTCGATACCGTGAAGTTTCGCAAAGTCGATGGCTTCTTGAATTGTGTCGAACCGAAGAAACTTGTTCAAAGAAGCAGCTGTCAAATCGTTTGTCGGGTCTTTGGGCCGGGCCATTGCTCGCTTCACGGCTCGCAGAATCGACCGGCGAAGCTGGGGGAAGTGGCACTCCGCAAAACAGGCCATGGTGTATGAGACGCTGGGGTCCTCAACAATTCGAAAGTATGAGTGGAAAGCATTAGACGCTGCCAAGAACGGGGCCGCTTTCAACGGACCATGGAAATCGGCTGTGTTTTGCAAAGCTTCAACAAGTGATACTGCGGTCCTAATATCGTCTGAATCCCTCCAAAAATGTGGTTTCCATTGCCGCTGCAGCATCTCAATCGTGTTTGAATCGTGGGCATGGAAGAGCAGATAGTATGCGCGGAATTCGGCTTCGTTCTCACACGTGATACCCTGAGCATTACAGTCATCATACAAATCTCGGAGAGAGAGCAGAGCTTTGCCAAGTTGCTCGAGTTCCTGCTGTTCGACAAAATCTTCGCCAGCCTTTCCTGGTTGTGACAGAAGATGGAGTGCCGTGACATGAAATCTCGCAATATTTTCCAGCACATATGCTTGCGTTTTCAAATCGTCGGCCGTGGGGGAAGAGAAGAAGGTGAAATCTCGACGGATAGCTCGCGTTCGATCCCATAGAAATCCGTGTAAGCTTGGCAAGTTTTCATCGTCGCGAAGTAGGTCGTCAATTAGATAGTCCAGTGTACGTCGTAGTGCTGCCGTAGAGCGGACATCCATTGGAAGAGGAGCTTCCTGTCCAGCGGCCGAACGCGCCAGCTTCTTGACCATTCGGCTCGTCTTTGCAAAGCCTGTCCGAGCATCCTTTTCGGGTTGGGGGACGTCTAATTCAGTGATTCGCGTAATCTTCTCGTACTCGGAGCACATATCCTCGCAAATACCTCGGAATGTGATGGCATTTTCGAGAGTCTTTCGTTTGTCCGGGTCATCGATTAGAGAGGCTTTGGTGAGAGACGCGCGCACTTTCTGTCGATATTCTTCGTACTTTTCCCTAAACTTGGCCATCTCTCCCTTGCTCTTTGGATCTCCTGGCTGAGACGGCCAAGATGGAGGACTGATGCCATCTTTCCGCAGCCGGTCGTATACCTTCTTCGTGTACGGATCGGTGGCGCGCATAGCCGCATTGTCGGGCGTTTCGTCGACGGAGCTCGCACTCGAAGACGAACTAGGGCGTGATGTGCTGTCGTCCTCGGCGCTTGTGGCAGCATGCACACCGTTGCCGCGGCCATCGATCTTCTGCTGCTGCCCTTTTGTACCACCGCGTGTCTTTTTGGGATTCTTTTTGTTTTCTGCCGTTTTCTTATCCCCATCACCACCTCGCTTCTTCCATTGCCTCCCGCTGTCGCTCAGGCTCCCATCTTTGACCTTGAACGGATTGTTGACCTTGAGCTTCCCCTCCGCATCGCTGTCTCCAGCAAGTCCGTTCTTCCGCTTGTTCTTCTTGAGTGAGTTGGAACCCCCTGCACCATCACTGCCAAATGATACTCCTTCACCGGTCGGCCGAGGAGCGAAAGGATTGAAAGCCTGCGACGAGCCTTGCGTCTTCTGGCTGAATGGGGAAAACATTTGGCCCGATGATGCAACGGACGTCGCATTCATCCACGTGATGATTTGCGCATGGAGGAGGAGTGTTGGGCGTGACTTTTCTGAAGTTGTTGAAAACGCCGTGTCGCAAGGATATTGGCCGATGCGCGATGCCAAAGCTAGCCGTACCTTGATTGAGCTTCGCGGTAGGAGGCTGGCCATCACGTGACGCTTACTTTCCAATATCGAACTTTACTTGTCACTCACACTGATCAAACCAAGACGTTTGCTTCAGACAACGCCACAAGTTCCTTGTTTTTTCTGTATACTTTTTCAGAAACATTTCACTTTATTCTCGTTAAAAAAAATTATAGAATTCGCTAGCTCTAACTTTTTCCCTCTCATTGCGGCGCCTAGTCTTCCCATTCCCATCATGATTTAACACGGCCTCGAATACGCGGAGGTCCCAGTTCTCGCCGGATCTCATCAAGCTGCTCCAGTCCTGTTTGTGCTTTCGACTTCTTGGATGTCCGCTTTCCAGGCCTTGTGTAAGAGCCAAGGAAATCATCCAGAATATTGTCGAAGTCTCCGCGAATAGGTCCTTGGACGCTGGAGGCCGTTGAGACCTCTGATACAGATCCCATGTCATCAAAGTCTTCGTTGTAGCGAGCCTCCAGCTTCTCAAATCTCTCGTCTAGCAATGAGAGCTGCTCCGTTCGTACGAGCGAAGAGGACGTCATAGAATAGGCAGAGGCGTTTGTCAGAGCGCCCTTCCGCTTCTTGGTCCTGCCTCCGTTTGTGGTTGTTGTCCACATAGATTCAATTCCAGATCGGGATGGGGCTGTTGGCCCACGTTGGCCTTTTTGGTCTTTCTTGAACTTCTTAAAGTCCTCCATCCAATCCTCTGATGGTCCATGTTCTGGCTCTTCTGACTGTTCTGGCTGAACCTTTACAAGTTCTGGTACTTGCTCTTTGTATTCTTTAGTAGGCTTTGCCGTGGCATCCGATTCCCAGCCATCATCATCCTCGTCATCGAATCCCATATTCTCAAAATCGTAGTCGTCAAGCTCCTCTGAATCTTTCGATAGCTCCTTGAAGATATCTTCGTCATCGTCGACATAGGCATCATCCTCCAAGGCCTCCAAAACCTCACGCAATCGAGGGTCCATATCAGGATTGAAACCAGCAATAACATCAGGTACATCCTGCTGCGCCTGGTAGGTCAGTCTGGTGAGATTCTTGGATGGTAGGATATCCTCGTCCAAAAGATCGCCCGACTTTTGCTCAAGATCCAACTTTCGCAGAGCATCTTCCAATGACTGCTTCTGCTTGCCCTTTCCATTGTTCTGGCTCGCGCTTGATTCGACAAAGACGACATTTCCACCGCCCGAGTTGAGGTCTCTCAGATGTTGCATGTAGTCGTACTCGGTGTCGTCGAAGTAGACGCCATAGTTTGCGGCCTCGCCTTCGTTGGCGCGGATTTCGTCTGCATCAGATCCTAATTCTGATGCCAGATCATCCAGGTGCTTCACTTTTGAGCCAGACTTTGTCTGCACCGGGTTCAGCACCATGGATGGCGCATTCTCGTCGTGGATGAGCGGATCATTCTGCGGACGGTGGACGAGCGTGAAGTGCTGCGCCGTCTTCTTATTACTAAATACGGAAAATTAGCAATGTCCACACAAATAGAAGCATAAAAAGCAACATCATCAACATACATCCACTTTCCCTTGGGCATTTTGGCGGCTTTGCGATTGCGCTGAATCAAATGAGCATGGACAGAAGTGGGCTTGTCAACCTGCGGCCGGGATTCAAGAAATTTCTTGGTAGCGCCAGTACAGTTCGGCTGTTGATAGTACTGTATGCATTTGTGCGCATGGCCTTCAAAATACAGTGCGAAAACTTTTTTCATATGACTATCCAAAAAATTTGCCCCTCCATTATGATGTATTATTCAGCCCGCAAACCTGGGCATGCGACCTTCCACAACAAAATATTTATTCTTGTCCTCCCTGCGATCCGAGGACATACACATTCGCCAGGCATAAAGTCTGAAACCGTTGGAATCGCATTTACCATCCTCGGCGATCGAGGAAAGCCGCAAAGATGGTGTTGGCAAAGTCGAAAAAGAATGAAGGGCTGGGCAATACCCTGATGAACGATCGCTTCGGAAAGGGCAGAGGCTCCGATCACAAGAAGACATCGGCGGTTATGCGAACGAACCACACGACTGGCGAACAATATCTCGTAAACGACAAGAAGGATGCCGCTTGGGTCAAGATGCGCTCCGTTACGGAGCAAGGCGCGCTGGACGAGTTCCTGGCCACGGCCGAGCTGGCTGGCACTGATTTCACGGCCGAGAAGATGAACAACGTCAAGATCATCCACACCGATCAGAAGAATCCCTATCTGCTATCTGCCACCGAAGAGAGAGCCATCCTTGGCAAGCACCGACAGCACAGAAACCGGCTGACAGTCCCGCGAAGACCTCACTGGGATGCCTCGACCACCCGAGAGGAGCTCGACGCACGAGAGCGAGAGGCTCTTGTCGCATGGCGAAGAGGCCTAGCCGAGCTACAGGAGAACAACGATCTACTCATGACACCCTTTGAACGAAATATTGAGGTTTGGAGACAGCTATGGAGAGTCATTGAGCGATCAGATCTCATTGTGCAGATTGTGGACGCGAGAAACCCTCTGCTTTTCCGATCGGAAGATTTAGAATCATACGTCAAGGCCGTCGACCCCAAGAAGGAAAACTTGCTTCTGATCAACAAGGCCGACATGATGACAACCAAGCAGCGCAAGGCATGGGCCAAGCATCTGAGAGAAGCGGGCATTGCATACAAGTTCTTTTCTGCGCAGCTTGCGAAGGAGTTGATTGAGGCTAGAGAGAATTCGGACTATGAATCGGATGAAGAGCCATTTTCTTCCTCAAAGCAAGCTGAGAGGGATGAGGAGAGCGAGGATGAGGAAGCTGAGGCAGAGGAGGGAGAGGGCTCAGGGAGCAAAGCGCAAGAAGACGAAGATACTCAGATTCTCACAGTCGAAGAGTTGGAAGAGATTTTCCTAAGATATGCTCCAACTGACAGAGGTAAGTTTTTTTTTTAACGATAAGATACAATATGTGGCAGTTCTAACTCCTTGGACAGAGTCGAATGAAAAACTCCAAGTTGGATTAGTCGGCTACCCTAATGTCGGTAAATCATCAACCATTAACGCCCTGATCGGAGCCAAAAAGGTCTCTGTCTCTTCAACGCCTGGAAAGACCAAGCACTTCCAAACCATCCATCTCAGTGAACGGGTCATCCTGTGCGATTGCCCTGGTCTCGTATTCCCCAACTTCGCCACCACCAAGGCCGATTTGGTCACTCAAGGTGTGCTGCCCATCGACCAGATGCGCGAGCACTCGGGACCCGTAGGCTTGGTGGCGCAGAGAATCCCCCAGCCATTCCTGGAAGCTATTTACGGCATCAAGATTCTGACCAGGCCGGTCGAAGAAGGAGGCACTGGTGTCCCGACCGCGGAGGAGCTGCTGCGTGCTTACGCTACTGCTCGAGGATTCCAGACGCAGGGTCTTGGTCAGCCCGACGAGGCGCGAGCATCCAGATACATCCTCAAAGACTACGTCAACGGAAAACTTCTCTTCGTCCATCCTCCCCCAGGTGTCGAGGATGAGAAGGAGTTCAACGCCGAGCTGTATGACGAAGCACATCTGCCTGAGCGTCGCCGTGCCGCTCTTGTAGCCGCCACGGAGGCCCTCGCCCTCGGCGGTGATGATGAGAGCCTTGCATCCGAGTTCGTCTCCCTCCCCCAGGGTCCCAAGTCCAAGAGGCTGGACAAGAGCTTCTTCACACCAAAGAACATCCGCGGGCATGTGAACATGCCGTTCAACTACAAGTACACGGAACAGGGCAGCGCATCCGGCAGCACAGCCGGCGGCTCCAAGATGCTTAGTGGACGCAAGGCCCGAGCGGCAATTGCCTTGGAGAACGGGATCGACCCCAAGGATGTGCAGCTTGGGTCGGGTAAGAAGCATTTCAAGAAGGGTGCGCCGAATGGCATGGGCAGGAAGGCGAGGAGAGGAGCCCCCAACTTTGCTGATGACTAGACACTCTTTTTTTCTTTTCTTAAGATATGAATGAAACTGGTAAAAGACTCTATTATGGCTCTGTATCGGGGATTTGGCACTATGCATGGATTATCATTGAATGCGAACCTGAGATGGAATGAATATGATTTCGAATTTTTATATGTAACCCACAAATGTGACCAAATATCCACAATTGCTCATCCCATAAGAAACAATATAAGAAAAAAAGAACATAAAAACGAAAACCATCCCAACGAATTCTCCCCTTCCCCCCCAATCTGTCCCAGAAAGTCTCTTCTCTACAATGCTATTAACAGTATGTATTTCGCTCTCTCAAGTCCTCATTTTATCTTTTTCCTTTTTTTCACTTCTTCTCCTGTGACTTGGGTTTCTTCTCTTGAGCCTTGGGCTTCTTCTCCTGCGTCTTCGGCTTGTTCAAAGACTTGGGATCCAAGCCTCTCCTCCTCATGGCGTTCTTCTTAGCCTTCTCCATGTATTTGACATCCTCATCATCGTCGAAAGCGCTAAAGTCGCCCTTTCCAGTCTCCTTAGCCTTAGCCTTCTTACCAGCCTTCTTCTCCTCAACCTCAGTATCGTCGTCAGTCGTGATGGGCGTCCTGTCAACGACCTCCTCATCGGCATCAGCAGCCGCGCTGACCTTCTTGCCGGCGGCGCCAATGGCGTTGGGCGGCGTAGGTCCAACCTTTTGGAACTTTGCGACGTAGAAGCCGTCAATGTTGTGGGCGTGCGGGTAGAAGCGGCGCGTCAGCTTGAGGCTCGGGTGGAACTTCTTGCCCATGTAGCTGGTGAAGCCCTCCTTGCCAAAGGGAATGCCGGCGTCGACAAGCTTCACGTTGGGACGACGGGACAGCGCATAGGCGACGACACTCTCGCTAAATTGAAGAAACATAGGTTAGAAAACCTTGTCTGCTTGAAGTGTAAAAGAAGGGGGAGAAGAGAAGAGGCAACTTACTTTTCCTCGACAGTGACACTGCATGTAGAGTAGACGAGGAATCCACCCGTCTCACTAGCATGGTTGACTGAATCGATAGCCGACAGCAACAGCTGCTTCTGCATGTGCGGCAGTGAGATGAAGTCTTTCTCATCCTTGTTAGTCTTGACGCTGGGATCCTTGGAGATAACGCCGGTTCCAGAGCAAGGAGCATCAAGAAGTACTCTGTTACACACTGTTAGTCTCTAATTCCTCTTTGTTGCTGTTCAAGGATATGAAAGCTGCTCACCTGTCAAAGCCTCCCATGACTCTGGGGAACTCGCGACCGTCGTAGCTGCAGACGATAACGTTACGAACGCCCAAACGAGCAACGTTACCAATCAAACCCTTGGCACGCTCCTTGTTGGGATCGTTGGCGAAGACAATGCCAGTGTTCTGTGAAGATATTAGCAGGAACCCTTACTAAAAGCTTGTCAAGGCTTGAGCTCGGATAAGTGGTATCTTACGTTCATCATGGCTGAACAGTAGGTTGTCTTTCCACCGGGGGCAGAGGCCATATCAAGAACTCGCTCATTTCTGGTAACACGCAAATCGTCAGCCTCTGTATAACCAATGGTTTATAACCCAGCATAGGTAAACAAGACTTACGGTTGCGGTGAAAGCGCCATGACGGGCAAGAAAGAGGCAGCCGCCTGGATAATATAGTGGCCAGCAAGATACTCAGGCGTAGCACCCAGGGGTACATTCGCCTCAAAAATCTGCAGACCGACCTTGCTCCACTTGCCGACAGGCTCGAGCGTAACGCCACGGTTGATGAGCGCCTGAGCAAGATCTCTTCGGTGTGTTCGGAGGGTATTTGTTCGGATAACGACGGGACGGGCCATCTCGTTGGCTTCGAAGAAGGCAAAGGCCTCTCGCGGGGTGAACAGGTTGAAGAGCTTCTCGGCCAGGTAAAGGCTGTAGCCGTAATACTAAAATCACCACTCGCATTAGTACGATCATCAAGACAAGGCAGAAGCGCTACAACAATATGCAAAAGGGACAGGACTTACACCACAGATATCCTTGAGCAGCTGAGCGGTATACTCTGCTCTGGATCTCCCCTCCTCAGCCAGGTTGGCAAAGTCATCCAGAACTCGTATCGTATCCGTTATCCTCTGTCTCAGGAGCTGCAAATCTGGCGCCAACAAAGACTTGCTCTTCTTCTCCAAGTCATCCTCGTCGTCGTCATCCTCATAGCCCTCGCCAAAGATCTTGGGCCCATCAATGTTTGTCTGCATGGCAGACTCTTGCAGTTCCGTTTCGGTGATAGCCTTATCCTCAGCCAGCTTCTCATCTAATTTTCGCGACAGGCCAGCAATATTGGCGGCAGTGAGTTTTTCCTCAGCGTCAGATTCGTCTTCGTCATCGGAGAAGACAAATTTGCCCTTCTTCCCACCATCTTCCTGGTCGTCCGAGTCAAAGACTGAGTCGTCCTCTTCCGCATCATCGTCTTCCTCATCATCAGACCAGATATTCTTCTTCTTTCCTCCCGAAGAGGCATCTTCGTCTGAGGACCCATCGCCCTCAAGCTGATCTAGGTCAAACTCGTCATCCATCTCCTCGTCGGAATCCTCTTCAGGCTCCGGCAGCTTCTTTGCCTTTCCATTGCTCTTCGCGCTCGCCTTCTTGGATGCGGGCTCCGGCTTCTTCACGGCGGCAGCGCCTTTGGCCGTCTTGCGCTTCTTGTTGCTCAGCGAGGCTTTCTCGACCGGCGGCTCAACGGGCAGGCCTGCTTTTCTCTTGAGGTTGGCAAAGTGTTCCTCGGATAGGGCTTCGGGCATGCCCTGCTTTCTCTTCATGCGACGTCCTTGACCCATGATTGCGACCGAAAATTGCTGTTTTGAGAGTGTGATTTCGATCTCAATGGGGTGGGTGGTTTGAATTGCAAGCGCGGGACAGTCTCGATTTTTTTCGAGACCCTTCACACTCTGGAGACTTTTTTTTTCGGGCGATTATCGATAAGCCACCACTAGCAGTAGCGCCGGGGAGCTAGATGATGTAATATGCGCTGTACCTGAAAGTCCAGCGCCTAAAGTGAGCAGCTGGCTTGATTCCGCAATCAAATAGCATTCCATGACATGTATGATGAGTATTGATTTGTAAAAATCGAACAAAAATATAATTGATATTATTTTATCTGAAAGGGGAAAATGACTCAGTTGTTTATCCATCTAGTTTATCTGCGCTGCGACTTACACTATTCTATGCTGTGGATCTTGAGCAACATAACGCACTACAAAAAGCGTCTCGCACGTGCTCATCTGTAATATCTTCAACAACTTCAACAGGACATTTCATCGCACAAGAGCAAATGGTCCAATAATTAAGGGGTATATATATGATTTGAATTCCACAAATTGGTAAATCCGCTAGCTATATATGGGTATCCTCCGACAATGCCTATAACTCGCTCCCGCAATGACACCTCATGCAGACGTTTCTGTAACACTATGACATGCTATGCCCGCCAATGCCCGCCCAAACAAAACTCCTTGCATGATCTTCTAAACATGCGAATAAAAAATGACAAGTTTCCTCATCCCCGTAAATCAGCTCCCACCCTACTCTAGGAAATTGTTTCTCGCCTTTCCATGTATGGCACATCCGTCGTATCCTCAAATGAAAAATAAAAAAGGAAAAAAGGGAAAAGGGGGGGGGGGGCGCTCAGGCTCTCCTGAACACGCGCTTTGTGCCACCAGCCTTTCCAATCTCGCCAAACTTCTTCTCATTTGGCTTTTTATCCGGGCCACTGGCCATGAGTACTTTCTCTTTGATGCTTTCAACCCAAGCTTTGCTCTCCTCACTCATCTCTATCTTCTTGGCTTTTGGTCCTGCTAGACCCAAGAAGGAGCTCTCATCCTCTGCCCAGCTAAGTCGGGAACTAGGCCTCGAAATAGCCGAGCCCTCAGATGGAGGCGTGCCTTCCGCCGGCTGACCTGGTGTCACTGGAGTCTTTGGGCGCAGGGAGTTGTTGACACTACTCCTCCGTGGCTTGCGTGCTGCTGCCATGGGACTCACAGAAGTGCGATCACCAGTAGCAGTAGGTGGCCGGCTTGGAGGACTAGAATTAGAAGGTCCATTGGAGGCACGAGGAATATCGCGAACCTCTACTTTGACCGTTTCTCTGCCGTTGGAACGGCGGCCATGATGGCTGGCGTATTCCTTCAGGTACTCGGACAAGTCAGCCCACCCACCACCAACGCGAACCATTACTCGCTCTCCGTGTTCTCCCACACAGCGGATGAACAGCTTGATGGGGGCCTCATTTTCCGATCTAGAGAGATGATAGACCCTAATCGGATAGTGACCCTTGGAACGTGTCCTCTGTTTTACTGGAGAGAGGGTAAAAGAAGGCGTAGCAGTCCGCGTGGACATGCCGGACGTGCTCCTTTTAACCGGCTCCTTGGACGGTTTCTTCCTCAAGCGAGGGAGTTGAAGATCTGGCGGGTTAAGGTTGATGCCCGATGTTCCATTTGTGAGCTTGATTTTGGCCGGTATGGATTCAATAATCTGGCTGATTTGCAGTCGTAGCTGCTGCTCGCCAGCACTTTCCCGGCGAGAAGGCGGGCCAGGCAAGTCGGGAGTGTACGAATCCTCAAAGTCGTCCATGAAGGAATCTTCGAATGTTGATTGTAAGAATGACTCATCATCTTCGGCCGTCTCCGCAACCATGGGGCTATCGAGCAGGCCCATGGAGCTTTCTCTAACGCGGCGGCTTACCTCTGGAGGAGAGCTTGGTGGGCTATCATCCTCCGGATAAAACGCCTCGCGAAGTCGACTCTTGGGAACGGCAGGAGATGCGGACACTTCAATAAACTCACTCGATGGGTCGTCGGTGTATTTGGGGGAGTGATGAAGTGCGGTAGATGTTGGGGAACCAAAGCTGCCGCGCCTGAGGCCATTTCGCAGAGGTGGTAGTTCAAGCTCATCTTCTTCGCTGATGGCTGACATGTGGTCCTCCATCATGCCAAGATCCTCAGGAGAGGAACCATCAATGTCGGCGATGGATCTTGGTTTGCGAGAGCTCCTGAAAGAGCTTGCCCCAGACCCGGGCGTGAAGTGGTCTTCGGATGAGGACAATTCATCCTCTGCGATGGGATCCAGGTACGCTCCATGGTCCGAATCACCGGTGCCGGGTACCAGCAGTAATGGCGGTGAAAGTTTGTTGCCAGTGTTCGCCGGGCTAACTTCTCTGTTGCCGACGGAGTGATGAGCCCTTGTTGGAGATGGCGAGAGCGACGAGGTCTTTCTAAGAGGTGTAGGCTTGGGCTTTGACTTTGCGAGTTTGGCTTCGGCCATCTTTCGCTCGCAAGCGGAAACCCATTCTCCGTAACCCTGTTCCACATCTTCCATACGAGTGAGCCACTCATCCGGGAGGGTGTCTGGAGCGCCCTCCAAGCAGTCTAGCATATAATCCAGCGTCCGGCCGGGCTCGGCAACTTTGAGCGCAAGTGACTGTTTTCTGGCGTTAAAGTCTTTGCCCGTCAGGGTACGAGCAGGCAAGACGATGGCTTTTCTGCTTGGGCGCTCCATCTCCCAGTGGGATTGAGAAATCGCCTCCCAGTTCTCTCCAAGAAGCGCCTCGACATCTTGGATGGCTTTAAGGAAGGGATTGACGTGCCGAAGGACGATGATGCGCATATGCCACAGCTGCAGCAGCCGAGACAGCTTTGCCAGATTGGGCAGGGTCTGCACGACAATGGCGGTGATGAGGACGGAGATGTCCTCCATTTTGTGATAGCTCGATAAGGCCGATAGCATCGATCGACTGGGGTCCATGTTCATTGGGGTACCCGGTCTCGACAGCGGCAGGATGTGGTCGTTCATGACATGGCCTTTGATCTCCTCGAGATCCAGCTCATCCATGTCTCTGTTGATTTGGTTGATTCTTGTTTCGTATTTTTCCACCTCTTCAGCAAGGAGGCTCCCCATGTACTGCTTCCTTCCAGCCTCTTCAGGGGTCGGGGCCTGAGCGAAAAGCTTCCTTTGCGTGTTGCTCGGCTCCAGGAAGCCCCCAGACCCCACTTGTTTTGGCCAATTCCACTGGTTCAGCTCGTTGAGCCATTGCCAGATCTTCTGGGATGCCACGGCCGTTCGCATTGCGAAGTCCCGCTCGAGCGCGGAAGCTTCTGCGAGGCACCCCCTGAGAACGCCATCGGGCGGCGCCAATGCTTCGACGACTTTTGCGGGCTCCAGGTGAGCAAAAAAGTCATCAGCAGGACGCTGCCGAGCAGCCAGCAGCTGGCCCGGCGTGGGCGTCGAAAGCCGCTTCTGCTTGACGAGGACGGGTGTTTCGTTCATGGTTGCGTATTCGCGGTCGTCGCGGTTGGTTGTAGTCGTTAGCGCGTGCAACTAGATGTAACAGTGATGCCCCCGAGGCATCATCTGCCGTTGTGGGAGAAAAAGTATTGATTGTTTTCCGTCTCTGACAGTGTAAACCTATGTCATGGACCGGGAGGGATTAGGACAGCGATGATTCGATTTTCGTTGGTGATGCCCATAGTCGGAGAACGGCGATGATGGGGTGTTTTTTTTGCGGCTATGAAATGACAGCCATGCGATCAAAAGCTATAAGCCGTCAAAGTAGACAAAATTCTGCAGGCAAGCGCACGGAGGCAGTGGCCTCTTTCACTTGCCTGGGTCTTTGCTTGCGACTTGTAAAAAAAGACTGATACAAGGTCAAGCGCGACGAGAAAAAAAAGAGGGAAAGGGTAAGAAGAGGAAGAATCAAATAAAGCTGAAGGTGCACTGGAAAAGGTCCACGCTGGGGAATCAATCCAATGGACGCTTCCGCCCTTCCCCTGGTGTAGCTCGGCGCGGAGCGTCGCAGAAGGAAAAGGAATGACGGGGCGTCAGACAGGAGACCAGCGCACACCAACTAGCTGCAGGATGTCCAAATCCAAGCAGTATCGGTATGGACGCAGTCACTGGTGTTTCGGCTCGGCGGTTGGGCACAAGCTGGATGGTGCCACCTCAGTGCTGCTGCGCTGGCAAGGCCTCCGGATAAGCGGGCAGCGAATAAGCAGAGCAGCTGGCGAACAGCGTGGAGTCTGCAATGCGTCTGCGTTTATGCGTGGGATCCGATCCAGGCTCGTTGTATGTACGCAATGTGGCGCGCGTTGGGTATCCGCCGTAGGGGTTGTGTGTTGGGGTCTTTTTCAATCGACGATTATGCAAGACAGACGTGGTATTAACTCCCATATGAGGAAAACGAGGCGATCGATAGCGACAGTCGCGAAGCAAAAAAGCACAAGCAAGGTGTGGTATTGGGCGAGAGCGAAGGACTAGCTGTCAACGCGCGCGCGAAAAAATGAGTGAGAGTGAAACGGAAAGGACTGTGAATCAAGGGGTTGATTATCAAGAGAACGACTGGCCTCGTCCGCAGCAACTAGGGACGGTAACGGCAAAATCACAGCGAAAATGGGAGCAAAACAAAGCGAGCGACGGGGAGATAATCGCGACAGTATTGCAAGTCAAAAGTTAGTTGGTAGAGGGAAAAACAAGACCAAGGAAAAGAGAAGAGAGAGAACGAGCGTGAATCCAGGCGCCGACCTTCACACAACGCGCCGTGACGGCGCCAAAAGGACCCCGAGCAAAGATATTAGCCAGCAACGGCGCCTTAGCAGTGGGCAACCTCATCAAACTCGCCCTGTGTCGCCTCGTACAGGTACAAGCAAAGTCGCCGGGTGCTCTGCTGGCTCTGCTGGGGGCGGTGTTGGGTGCCCGTCAGGGCCTGTCAGAGCCTGTTCAGGGCCTGTCAGTGCGCTGTGGGTGCGCTGTGGATGTTGGCTGGAGGTGCTGTGCCAACGCCCCGTGGCACAATAGCAAGGCGGGCCTCGCTAAGCGTCTTAGCGCCCTCGCCCATGACAGCTCTCATTTGCCGCCTGGCGCAAGGCTCCTCCTTTGCCACAAGGCAATCTTATTCTCACGGCAGGCTAGAGGCTAGCGTCAGGTACCCAGAAGCGTATTACCCAGCACGGAAATACAGATCCATCATGGTACCTAGTACGTACTCGTATTGCGGGTTTCAATCGCGGTCGCGCGCGTCGTGAAGCTGCTAGTAAATCACATTGAAAGTAAATATTTACTTTGGCGCCGTGTTACAGAAGCTGGTGGTGTGAAGAAGTGTGTGAGTGCAGTTGTACAGGTACATGCACAGAATGTCATGATCAGACGGACAAGGCTCTACAAAAGACAAGACAAACAGACAGACCGACAGCGAGTCAAAATCCACCTCAGCCCCCAACCCAAGGGCAGGTTTTTTTCTCTCTTGACTCTGTTCATGTCGCACGCGTCTCCACACCTCCCGCCCATCCGGTTATCCCTTCCCAAGCGCCAGCCCAACCAAGAGACACTTCACCCAGGTTTTTCCCTTTTCTTTAGGGTTCGTCATTCCCGCATACGAGTTACCTAGTCCCCAGACCAGACGCAAGAAATGACGCTGCGATAAGACAAACGAAGACGCGACATGGGCCCTTCATGCCAGATTCCGCTTCCACTTCCGTGGTCCCGTGGCCCCTCCGTTACCGGGGCTGGCAAGGAAAACGCACCGAGAGAGACGCCATGATGAGGTGAACATGGGATGGGTCCAGTCCTCGCGCTCTTGTCGCTCTCCCTTGCCATGGGATCCGTAATGTTAAGCAAACTTGGGAATGTGGTATACATAGTACAGTAATAATGCTTGCTGCCTTAGGTAATGCTCGTACTCGTACTGCTTCTAAGATGCGCCCATTCACATGTCTTCACACGTACACTGGACGTATCTGTTTTACGGCCAAGGAAAAAAAAAGATGAAAAAAACTAGCACATGCAGGCGACGCATCAATCATACGTGCAAGCACACGATACGACGGATCTATTTCCCGCCGTCCCATTGCCACATGTCCCGCCACATGCCATGTACACTATCGGTACTACTACTCCGTTCTCCAGGTCCCTAACGATATGTCACGCATCGATTGGGTCTGGGCATGGACACGCCACGCCATGCACGACAGCCTGTCCACCATGACCGCAGCCCTGCCCTGACAAAGAGGTCATTCCTCGGCGATCAGCCCGCAGTTCCCAAAATTGAATGCGTCCGAGCCTATTACTTGTACAGCCGCCGAGGCGCGTCCAGGTGGTACTGCATGAGAGGTACCTTGGCTGTCAGGCCTTCCCAATCTGAATGCCTCTATTAGGAGGTACAGGTACAGGTACAGGTACCCAACGCGTCATACTGTGACTGCCAAGGCATCATCCCGTCATGGTAAGACTCCATAACAGTAATAGCTTCATAGGCAGATACCTTAGTACCTCATCTACTAATGCGAACACACCTCAGGTATGTGGAATGTATGTAGCACTCTTGACCAAAATCATATTGCCGCTGCTAATTCTACCGACGCAGTATAAAAACAAACACATTCATTCATAAAGCCCCCTTTTAAAGCCTCCTCGGCTCACAGCGTAGCAACCAGCACAACAAACGACCGTGCATGACTCGCCTGCTGGGGTTCGCATCTGACAGTCTTGAAACACTCTCCTTCATCATTATCATTATCATCATCGTAAACGACAACAACAAATAGAGCTAATCAATCATGCCCGTCTTCAGGCCACAAGGACGGCTGAGAAAAGAAAAACGAGAAAAAGAAAAATGCGCAAGAAAACGAAACTCAGTACATCAGCCAGCAGATGCCCGTCAACTATAACCGAGACTTGTCCCTTTTTTTGTAGTAGCAATATCCCACAACATATCCAAAACGCCACCCATTGACGCCTCTCCCTAATCTATTATTTTTTTCAACGTTCCCAATATCTAAGAAAATGCTTCAGAAAGCAGATCCTCCTATTTGTTTGTTTCGACTCAAGTAGAGGTTTCGGGGAGCGCCGGGATGGTGCCATCAACGTTTGTGTTGAAAACCCAGCCAAATGTATTATCCTCACCGCCAGTGAAGGCGGTCGTCATCAGCGTCTCGTCGGTGCCGGCAACTCCTTCAGGGGGGAATTGCAGCCACTGGTCCACATCAAAATCAGTGCCGGCGACCGCGTTCCAGTCGAACTCGTCATGGCCTTGCATGAAATCGACGCCCATAATGTTATCCACTTCCATATGAACCTCGTCCGATCCGCCGCTCACACTCGGAGTCAGATTGGACGGATCAAAATCGGTTTGCGGCGGAGAATTGACCGTCGAGGATCCATGGGTGGTCGAAATGATTGTCCCTGGAGGCCCCATCGGTTTCTGGACCTCCTTGGGCTTCTGATTGAAGAGCGACTCGGAAGCGGTCATGTAGGGGGCATTTTCAGGTGGCGGCGTGTGAGTGCCGAATTCAGGGGGAACCTCCTTCATCATTGCCAACGTCGACGGTTCGACTGTAGCATTGATATCAATGGCCGCCTTCTTGAGAGCGGCATCCAGAAACCCAGTGGCATAGTCGGCGGCAGCGTAGATCTCGCGCAGCTTCTCCATGACACGCATGCACTGGCGGAAACCTCTTGTTGCCCGCGAGCGAGCATCTGGCAATGGGTTCTTCATCTCCAAGAGATGGATAATCATAGCAGGTAGGATCACCGTAACACCCGTGGTAGGTAAGTACCTCTCCAGGCGGAGATGGTGCAGCTCTGTAGCCATATCCGTAATGTGCGTCGCTGCATCCTTCACCTTGAGGCGCGACATTTCCTGCACCTGGCGAGAGGCGGTCGGCGCCTGCATGGGAGACGATGGCAGAAACTGAGGACGGTGCAGGGCAGAGATGGTCGTATGGTACACCATATGGAGGAGCATTCGCTGAACAACAATGGTAGCCCTACCGTTCTTGGTGTCTGCAGGAACCAACATGCGGTACTGGCAACATGCTGGGAGTGATGCTGCCCATTCCTGGAGCTCTGCATCAACAACCTTGATATTATCCAAATTATCCAGTTTCTTGTTGGGGAACAGCATCATGGTGCTATTCGTCGTGTTCTCTGGCTTCATGTTGTCTCGAATGAGAACCGAGTACTGAGCCTTTAGCATGTGGCTAATGCAAATGCACAGCTTAGCCTTGGCAATGCACATGACGGCAAGCTCCCGCTGCATCTCTACATCGCGCATCAACGTGCATTCAGGTGGGATAATGGCAACATTGTCTGGCAGGACCACCAGCTCAAAGTCGCTCTCCACCAGCATCGGCACGTCGAAATCCTCATCCTTGATTCTCGTCGGGCGCCTCATACCCAGAGCAATGAGACGGTCGCGCATAAAACATGACCACCAAATGCGCTTCCACAGCTTCTGGGTCGGCACGGCCATGCTGGTGACCTCGGGGTTGCGATGCAGCCCGATGGTGTGAGCCAAGGAGATGGCCACGCCCATCCAGTGCCAGGTATCTTTCTGGTCATCAGGAGTCTCGTACCAATACGTCATCAATAAAAGCCCTTGAACGAGTATCAATCGGTCTGATTCGTAGTCGAAATCGTAGAGTAGCTATTGACATGTGAATATGGATCTCATCTCCTGCACGTACCGGGGGAGGGGTGCGTGCAGCTCAAATGTATAGTTGGCTTACCCTCGTCTTCAGGAAAAAGGCTTTTCTTGCAGCCTTGCGAGTAGCGTAGCCTGCTTCGCGCAAATGTCTCATATCGACAAAAGCGGTTGCCGAAAACATGACCGCATGGTATAGGAACAGGCTAATCTGACCCTCTGCGGCGTCGTAGCGGTTGATGACGCCGAGAAAGGGAACCAGATCCATGAGTGGCATATAGGGATGCACATACTCGATGTAAGCACGCAGAAGCGCATTCTGCAGCGAGAGACAAGGGATGCTCAGTGCACCCTTTGCGTGTAGATAGCGAACATCTTCGGCTGGGATTTTACTAGGCAAGGGGCGCACGAACGGGGGGAGCTGGACAATTGACTCCGTGTCATCGAGCATGCTCATCATCTTCGTGGAGCGAGACGAGCCATGGCTCACGGAGCCGGCCGTGCTCGCCCAGGAAGACCGACTGGCCTCTGACAGCTGGGCTTTGCTGAGTAAAACGGGCTCATTTCGATATGCAGAGCGTTGATCTAGTGCACCAGAGTGGTCTTGTGGTCAGCATGCTTATGGTCGGAGAGCACCGTGAGGCTCAGTTTAGCTCTGTTGCACATGTCAAATCGCTCGATTTAACATGTGAAGGAAGATCCCCGTCATCAATCCGAGCAGTGTGTATGGTCTGGTGACGGTGCTGAATGGACGGGACGGAGGCTCTAACCCAACCAGGTGGGTCAGGGGGAAGGGGTTGATGCGTGCGGAGAAGTTGGAGAGACTCTTCCCGAGAACGGGAAAGGAAGAAAAAAAAAAGAGGGAGATCCGTGGGTGGTGGGACCCCAAAAATTGAAACATCAAATAGCATTACTTACAGATCATGTGAGGCACATGGCCGTCAATGCCAGCATTGGGAAGCAGACCGCTCGAAGGGTCGAGACTGGCGGGCGAAATCAGGGAGGACCCGCTGGTTCTTCGCAAGTCGGCGCTGTTGATGGCGATGGGGTTCGTCGGTGCTTTGCGCAGCTGAGCCTCGGCTGATTGGCCTTGCCCCACGATACTGGCGGTAACGAGATTCTTTCTAGAAAAGATTGCGTGTCAGTGGATTGGCTTGTCGGGGTAAAGACGGTAACTCCATGGTAGTGCTGAACCCCTTGTCGACTCTCCCCCAGATTGGCCGTTGGGGTATTCACGTGTGAGGTGCCAGTGCCGAGACGCCTCAAAACGCTAGGGCTGTGATATCATGACGGAGGAACACTGTTGCCAACGGATATGGAGGAATGGGACTGGCGTATACCGAGTATGCGCAAGGGGAATTGGGGACGGAGCGGACGGGGTTACTTACTTTCTCCGGCGGCTCTCCTGGACAATGCACTAGAGGAAAGGAGTGAGGTTAGCCAGACTGTAGATGGGTTTTGGTGATGAGGCGAAAGCCAGGCCAGCATTGACCGCATGAGGACGATGCTGTACTGCGCACTGCGTACCTCAACATTGTCCCAGCGGCAATTTCCGCAGGGAGCTCCCTCAACCACATCGCAGCGAACCTTGCGCGCGCGACATGATACACAGGCACGAGCGGCACGTCTCTTGGTAACCTTATGTGGCGGCTCAGCACCGTCATTGGGAGCTGCTCGCTTCTTGGATTTGTCATCGGATCGCCCGTCGGCAGTGGACGCATTGTCGGTTGGTTCTGGCGACGCCGAATCTGACGGTGAGCCGGCATTTGCGGCGGAGTCGTCCGCGGTGTAGGAGAGCTCTTGCGCAGCTTCCGGAGACATTGTGGCTGGCTGCAGTGTTGAGGAGAAAGGTAGAAGATGTATAAACCAGGGAAACCCGTAAACAAAGGCTCTGTGGGCGAATCCCAGGCAGTAGGCAACGTCGAAATGTACTTGAAGGCACGCGTCCGAAGCGAGCCCCTATGCAGACCTCACAGGTTCTGGGCAAGCTCACAGTCGGCTGGAATGGACTGCAGGATGCAATCGTCCCAATAGAGCAGATCCAAGCTGGTATCCAGGAAATGGCTGTTCACTCAAACATGAATCCCGAGTGGCGGTTTAGGTGGTGGCGAAGGTGGTCGTATCAGGTGTTGGGAACGACGTTGTCGCACACAGGCTGGAGAGAAAAGCTGATTCCACACTGCGGCAGCTACTGCTACTCATGTATGAATCGCCAAGGAGAGGTTATGAACCCAACGACGATGGACGTCTATGCTGGCTGTGACGTCGTTCTGGTGGTGTAGTGAAGCGGGATCAATCATTGAACAAGCAGAGCTCTTGAGCCACAGACAAACACAGATCACGACAGCGTGGGGTAAGAGAGGTTCATGGAAAAGAAAGAAGAAAAGGAATGAGTCGAATTGTGAAAAATCCGGGGGTGGATTATCGGAAACGGGGCATAGCGAGGAGGGGCGTGTGGATTCTCACGGTCCGGACTCGTCCTGCTGCTGGCCCTGCCCTTGTCTTTTGTGTGTGCACGCGCTGGGTCTGGATGCGTTGATGTGGCTGTCGAGTCCATTTTGCATTCTAGCAGAGACCAGGCTTGATTCAGCCACAGCGTGCGTGACAGTGACGGATACATGGACGTGTATACCATATACTTCCCTCACTTAGCGCTCGCCGGTGCTGAATAAAGCCATAGCCCATTCCACGACCAAGGTTGCAAGGCCAGAAGATACTTGTACATTCTAGCTACGACGCCAGCGGTGGAGCACCGGGTGCGAAAAAAAGCGAAGTGGAGGATGTCGAGGCCGGGGCGACGCCACGGGACTCCGGGCGCTGACAAGCTGGGATTCATGGCTGGCAGAAAGGATTCGTGGTTGGCTGTGCGCCGGATAGATGGATTTCTGGGCCAGCGCGCCATTCAAGATGGAACCGCAAGTTCCGTCTTCATGTGACAGCTTTGACGCGGAATCACGCTGGTTCTTGGGGCGTGGGTGGCGATGTTTCATTTTTAATCTTCACGATCCAGCATAATCGATTAGAAAGCACTTCGACACTTATACACGGCACTTTGTTGGCACGGCGCACCAGGTGACTCGACTCCATACTCCATGGACACCGGTCTAGGGCCATCGTCGATGCTTGGTCCAGCCTGGGCCCAGCCCTAGCCATGACAAACTACAAGCAGACGTCAAGTCTAGGCGCTTTTTCTCCAGTTGAGAAAAATTGTTTACGAAATTGGTCCGGCTGCCTTTTGCGATCATCGATGACGCCTTGCAGCTGCAGCCCTGGTGTGCGGCCCATGTCATGCTGGGTGCAGAATCGGACTGCCGATGTTGCTGTTTCGTATCCGCCAAGCGCTCGTCTTACCAGATGATACCTAGCAGATACCGGCCAGCCCCAGACGGCACCCGCTTGTCAGGGTTATAAGCGACACTGGGCTGCGCTTTTCCCTGTCAAGCTCATGCCAGAACGGAGGACAAACCCCGTTTGATCTGTTTCGGTGACTAAGTGTCTTTTCAGGGAGCTCGACTGGAGCGTTTGTCGACGGCGCAAGCAACAGCCAGACCCGTTTGTTGTGGAGCAGAAGATGAAGTTATTGGCGATGCTAGTCTGGCTTCATACGGTGTGCTTGTACGGAGTCCGGGAGGCCGGAGTAGGTTTCCGGGATGGCCGCTATAGAGGCAAAGTATGTATAATAGTGAAACGGTGAGTTGCGATCTAGAGCCCGCTGGTTCTTTGATGGGTAAGGTGTCGGCCACAGTCTGGGGATTGGATTTTCAGAATTTTTTGAAAAGGGGCTGAATCTGCTGCATCAGGTCATGTTGGAACTCACAGTTTGTTCTTTGCCCAAGTTACCAGGTACTAAGGTACATGTAGTAGGTACCTGAGGAAAAAAGGTCGCTACCTCTCATCAAGGTGCCATATAGTACCTTGAAAGTACCTGCAGCTTGCCGCGAAATTTCCCTACAATCTCACACTTGACGGTAGTAGCTCTGCGGTACTCCATCCCTGGGCAGTACCTGGTAGTACTTCAACCACTAACGTAACAGCTGCGATTGCGCCTGACAAACCCTGCTCTTTCCTAGCTAGGGTCCATTAGGTAACATTCGCGAATCATCTCTCTTTGGGATGAAAATTTTACTTTTTTGCAATCCTCTCACAACTGCTGCCCAAGATGCGGGAAAAAAAGGAAAGCTGGTCGGCATTCTGTCCGTAGTCCATGGGAAATGCCTCTGTTGAATCGTGTGGAGCCGTCAATACTCACCCCTAGACCTCTTAGAACCACCGGTTCAGGATCGACGATGGCTAGCCTCGTTTTCCCAGCGTCTTCTGCGCTGCCCACGTCGGGATTCGTCTCCGACATGATGCCCACTTGAAAGCACCGTGTTTTGCTTTGGACTGTCCCCTATCGCCATGTAAAGGCCAGTTACGTCTGGTGTTTGTGGATTGAGCGGATACGAGGCTTCAGGCAAGTTCGCGGCTCTGTTTGGTCTTCAGGGCTCATCCCCATGTTGTGGCTGTTCATGACTGTCTGACTAGTCCTCTGCAGCCACTCCCGTTCCAGCCTCTCACGAGAAATGCCACAGGAGGGCTATGGTCCGCGCTTAAGCTTTCAGCAAATACGGAACGCTGGCGCAGCTCTTACCGCTAAGCAGAACGAGTATTATTCGCCAGAGACATGGGCATGACTCTTAGGTCGAGTGAAAAGCTGGGTCCTCTGCATGTTTGTCGACACACAAGTTGGGCCCCGCCTGCCCGAGCTATATTAATTATGGTACGGACAACGGGAATAACAATATCCACAGGGAAACACGGTGCCAATTACATTGATGCCAAGTCTATTGTCGTCGGCAATTAATTCTTCATTACCAGGAAGTCCTGAAAGGATGAAAACGATGGCTCCTTCAACAACACACCAGTAGACGCTCTCAAAGGGATGTTACGCTCTATGATTGCCATCATACGAAGTTGAACGACTATAGTGCCCATGGGTTTCGTCGGAAACGCCCAAGTCCTGCTTCGTTCACCTCTGCGTTGGGTAGCTTCAAGACAAACTGCACAAGTCGAATTTCCCGATCCCTTCTTGGACCTAATTTCTTCGTGCCCTCCTGACCGTTCTTTGGCCGCCGCTAAAGGTATCCCTTGTCCTCGAGCCTATGTACAAGCGTATCGGGGATGTGTGGGCCGAACGGGAGAAATCGTGGAGTGTGGACCCTCCGCTACCTCGGGAGGCCGTCCGCGATTATTGCCATTTTCTTACCTTCTACGAGGATGTAGGTCGAAACCCTCCCCGTGCAGACGGCGGCAGATGCCAACTCTTCGACCCGAAGACAAAGTCTCGAGATATTGTGTTGTGCGGATAGAATAAGTGGATAGCAAAGAACGTAGAGGGTGGATATGTTCTTTTTTATCTCCAAACAATATGTGGCTTCGCCGTGCCCGGCAGGTGAATGCGGCACCTTCGGGGCCGGTCAACGGCCGCACAAGACCAAGACTACTTGTTGTCCGGAAAATGGAATTTCCAGTGCACATCACTTATGTGTAGTATGTGTGGAATGAGGGCTGGCGATGTCGCCGAGGCTGTTCTCCGTTCGGTCGCCGCGACTACCGCTCGGCCTTCCGAGCTTCCTCGGTGGCGTTAACGGCTTTCCGAGCTTGAAGCTCACATGTAGAGCTCAACATGTACGTCAATGTAAGCAAGCTGGGGTGCATATCCCCTCCCTTTGCCCAGAAACGCAATTTCATCACTTAATGTAAACTTATTCTGTTACATGTGTATATCCTCTTCACCTTTTTTTAAACTGCGCTCTCACTATTAACCGACGTTTGAGGGGAAACCAGATTTCAATTGCGAGCTGAGAAGCCAGCAAAGGAGCAAATTGTGGATTCTCGGCCCTCGATCACACCAGAGATGCAGAGCAAGCCCCAAAGTCTGACAAAAGGGTAAGTTCCGATGTCTACTCATGCACCATCAGTCTATCTCGACATGCTTGGTACAGTATGCCGCCGGGTACGAGCCAAATCCGTTGCTACATGCAGTGTGATATAGACACATTCGGATGATGGGCGAATTCATTCAGCAACGTTGGTTACGGTCTCGTTCGAGCTGGCCAAATCGCTCTCAATCACTCTTTAATGCACAAGCCTTGAAGAAGAAGGAAATGACATTGAAAACATCTATCAAAGAAAAGGTCGAGATATCCTAAAAAGACGATCCAACCCAAAAAGTTTTTACCCCAAACGCCATCCTTCCTGCATATACATCTTCCTGAGTTAAGTCGTGGCAAACGTCACTTCTCTTCATGGTATTACTTCCCTCGTCGTTATTGTCAGCACACCTCTTCCATCCCTTCATCCAGCTCCATCACTGGGAGTGCAGTCACAATCGTCCCCTAGCATCCGTAAAGGAAGTGGGATTGTATACACGCTGCTTGATGTAGTTTGTCAGAGCGACATCACCCCACTCTTCCCACTCAATCCAGAGCGACTCTGGGAGCTCAGATACACCATCGCGGCGAGCTGCCTTCATGACCTCACGAGCGACAACAATGCTGGCATCGCGAACTCGGTCGATCTTAGGATAGATCAAACCCTGGTGGACTTCCTCAGCGTTGAGAGAGCCAGCAAGAGCCGCAGCAGATGTGTACACCATCTCGTCTGTTACACGAGTTGCCTTGGATAGGATAGCACCCAGACCCAGACCAGGGAAGACATATACGTTGTTTCCTTGGTTGGGGTGGTAGGTGATGTCGCCCGCATCACCGCCTACCTTGAGGGTGAAAGAAGAGAAAGGAGATCCGGAAGCGAAGACGACAGAACCGTCGGTCCACTGAACG